TCTTATCTGGTAATAATCAATACACCACAATTAGAATGGCTAAGTTCTAGCATTGATATATATATATATCAAAATACATTTAGAGGATACTCTCAGGTGCTAAAACGTCACGATCAAATCAAATCAAATCAAATCGATTAACCAAAAAAAGAAGTAGTAGAAAAAAAATATAAATAGTGAAATGTGTTGAATAATGCTGATATGATTATATATATATGCGTGGTAAATGAACATTATATAGCGAATGTATGCAAGAATGATAATAAAATAAAAATTAGGAAGATTAAAAATAAAGGCATGTGGGAAGGGTGTTGACAGTTGTCAGAAATGCCATGCTGAGATGGGGCAAAGAGCCTTCACTCCTTGTGGGTCTCTTTAATTATCTCTTTTCCTCTTCCCTTCCTTTCTAATTTGTAGTACTATCTTTACTCTATGATCTGTTTATTTGCATTTTTATCAAATTTAAACCCCGAAAAAAAACGAGTTTCTAGACGAGAGAATCATATTATATACCATATGTATCGTTGATCAATGTCTATAAACATTTTCCTTACTCTTAATTACATCATATAAACAGAGAGCCATCAGGTGTTAGGAAATATGCGAGCAAACTAAGCATCAATGACGAATGAAAATATTCAAACATATCATGCTCGAGTTTAGTATATATGAAAGCTTTAATTATCGATTCGAGCTCGAGTTTAGTTGAGAAACTCGATTTCCACCGAAAGACATTCATTTCCACTATAACAGTATCATTTTTTCTTTTTTCGCAGCCAGACAAAATAAAAATATTTATATATTTACTTTCAGCTCTCCATTTTGGTATAAGTATAAATATATATACACTATTTCGAAAATAATCTTTTATTTCAATCGGAAACAATCTAGCTAATGTACGTATATCAACAGCACGTAAATGATTAAATTCTTATAGTATTATATTTTGTAATTTACATATACATATGTTACCCAAGTTTTAACTATTAGTTTACGCATATTCGTGATTACAATTTTATTCTTACAATTCTCCATTTTATATTGCATAAGTTCTTAATTAGTCAATTCCAAAAAATGGAATTTTTAGCCCATATGAAAGATTCAAGTTCATCCATGGACCATACATAGGTTATCACGAAAAGATAAATAAACATTTACTCGCCGAATGTGAAATACGAACATTAAACAATAAAATTAAATGGGTCATTTTCAAATATATATATTGACGTAATGTGAACACACCTGTCATCATAAGTAAGCGATCCACTGTCCTTTTCTAACTAACCTCAACACTTTTACTTCAATACTTCAACTCTCTCTTCTCTCCAGCCTTTATATAAACCCTATTAGTACGTACTCTCCTCACTCACTGAGTAAAACCACGTGTCAATGACCGAGTCATACATCTCCTCCGTCGACCTACAATCGTCTCCGGTACTGGAGGAGGAGGATCACCACCACCAAGATCGAGAGACCCATCGAACCAACAAGAAACGGGTTAGGCCCGACCCGGGTTACAGAGGCGTCCGGATGCGAACGTGGGGCAAATGGGTTTCCGAGATCCGCGAGCCACGCAAGAAGAGCCGAATCTGGCTCGGCACTTTCTCCACGGCGGAGATGGCGGCGCGTGCACATGACGCTGCTGCTCTCACCATCAAAGGAACGTCCGCCGTCCTTAACTTCCCGGAGCTCGCCAATTACCTTCCCCGTCCAGCTTCCTCCTCTCCCCGAGACGTTCAAGCCGCCGCCGCCGTAGCTGCCTCCATGGACTTCTCCTCTTCCTCATCCTCCTCTGCCGTTGTGATCTCCGATCCCAACACCGCCGTCCCGGAGGCGCACTTATCTTCGTCGAGCTACTCGACGTCTACATCGTCTTCCTCGTTGTCACCGTCGAGCGAAGAAGCTGCGTCATCGACGGCAGAAGAACTGAGCGAGATAGTCAAGTTACCGAGTTTAGAGACGAGTTACGATGAGTCTTGGAGCGAGTTTGTGTACGTTGACTCGGCGTATCCACCTAGTTCGCCTTGGTATTTTAATAACTGTTATAGCTTTTATTACCACAGCGACGAAAATGGCACTTCGATGGGTGAACCTTTTGAGTCTTCCAATTTTGGCCCCCTTTTTCCTTAGTTTTTTTAAAATTTAATATCTCTTGTTTTAAATGGTTTCATTTTAGCCCCATTTCTCTAAAGTTCATTTAATTACTGGATTCACAGCAGAGTTTAATATACTTAATTAAACCTGATTTGATCATATAGTATGTTTATACTCTTTTTTATTGTGATCGGATCTTCTAGAACGAAACCTACAACAAATCACGCGATACGTAAGAAAAATGCCAAAAAGTTGGACGATAACTGCCTTTCTCTTTTTCTTTTGTAATTTAGCGAAAGCATTCATTTTTAGGTGAATATTTGAAAAGTTAATTAATTTATGATTATATTAAAGGTATAGGCTGATAATATACACTCTAGTTTATGAATCTTTTGTTTGTATGATTAATTAGAAATGTGTTCTCAGATGGTTTGTTAGTTGGCAGATATGGAATCTTTTCAACTTGGTATATTTATTATAACCCTCCCAATTTAATTCACAAATTTCCCCTAGTTATATCGATATAAGTATATAACCAACTCTGAAATTTGAATTAGTGTCTCTAATCAAACGACGTTAAAAAAAAAAAAATCTCAAGAAAATGACTCCATTTTGCCAAAAACCATTTCGTAGGTTAAGTGTTTGTTATAATATATTCTTATTTGACCTTTTCGCATTAGTCAGACATAATTAATGACTTGACCCTTAGATTAACGTGTACATGCACTAACTCATGCAAATCCAACGATTGAGATTAATACATTCTTTGTTTATTGTATTTTATAAATACTAGACGAAGAACTTTATTTTATTATAAGTTTGAACAGTTCATTTTTTCATACGCAAATCCAGGCATGAGGGAAATACATGTTTTTTGTTTTGTTTTCAATTTCAGTTGATGTTAAATCAATTAAGCATTGCGTGAGTCTTCTCGACGAAAACATCAATCAAAACAGCGCCTCATAAGGTGATTAAGTTAACCCATTTATTATAATCATCGTACATTGATTTAAACTAAAATTAATTGTTACGTTATTTAGTCATGCATTTAACTATTCCGTAGGAAAAGGCCATTGCCATCGGGATCCGCGGTCAACGGAGAGGTTCCACCCACGAGCACAGTCTTTATTTAGTTATCATTTTTTCTCAAAATGTAGACGGTTCTCTTAATTATTTAATGGGCTCCCAATTTTATTATATACTAGTATATATAATAAATAGACTAATTTTTTCCAGGTAAAGTATAGTATATGAATTATTATTATGCGTATAAATCAGAAACTAGAACTTTCTTTAAAAGTATCGCCACACCAACACCATCCCGGTAAACAAATGATTACATATGATGATCCAAACAAAATCAAATTAAAGGATTACGAATATTGCTCAATCCGCTTATATACGTTATTATTTAGTTAGCTAAAAAAAAATATGAAACCAGGTCAGGAATCAATACCCTATTCGATTCTCACCATATATATTCTACACAACCCGATAATTTCTAAAAAATAACTATTAACGTATTTTCGTTAATAATATGAAATAAAATAGCTTTAACGAAAGGTTTAAAACTCTCAAATATTTTATTTCAGCCCTACAACTATTTATGATAAAACGATGGTCAAATTGTTTGCATACGGTACTCAAGTGCCATACCACATAGATTCACGTGACCATGTCAAATTGTCAATGGTCAAATATGAAGAAAGGCGGTTAAACTTCTATAACAATATAAACCTCCATCGAGTTGTGTAATGCAAGGAAGTGCGATTAACAGCTCTAAAGTCAAAAATCTTTGTCGTTAAACTAATTAAGCTTTTCGCAAAAAAACTAATTAAGCTTTACTCAAGCACGCGAAGCTGAGAGACAAAGATCTTGACCTTCATATATAAGCTTTTGGGTTTTGAACGCTTGTATCATATTTCAATACCTTTAATTCGAGGAGTTTTTTTTTATAAAATGCTTACTATCTCTACGTTAAATCATTATTAGGATTTGATATAATATTTATTTTATATTTAGGCAATGACTTACGATTTGTAGACCATATATATATATTTATTAACGATCTATGTTAACAAAAACACGTTAATTCCATTCATCATGACTAAACACATATGAAAATTACTAGATTATTATCCTAGAAATTAGAGTGTAGTATTTTTAACGAACGAGTTTTCTTCAAGAAAAGGAAAAGAGTAAATCTAAACTTACTATATTTAGATACAACGAGTCGCTTTGGCCGAGTGGTTAAGGCGTGTGCCTGCTAAGTACATGGGGTTTCCCCGCGAGAGTTCGAATCTCTCAGGCGACGTAATTTTTATAGTTTTTTGTTAACCGACTCATCTTATTCCACTCGGGGAAAAAAATAATTTAATTTCCAACACTCCGTATATAACAAATTGGTTTGGTTTTTTTAATCACCAACCCTAAAAGGCTTTCTTCAAGCCTGAAACTTTTTTTTTTTTTTTTTATCTAGAAACAAGCTTCACCTCCGTTCATTGTTCTTCACCGCTCTGCGCCGCGTCTAATCTCTCTCTCTCAAAATCGCTCATCCCGTCGATTAATTTCCTCCGAGGTTAGCTTCTTCCATCATATTCGTACACTGCTGTTCCTTTAGGTTTCCGTCTATCTCAAAAGTTCAGCGATTGTTAAAGCCCTACTTGCTTTCGTTTTCGATGTAGATAATTCACCATGGATTTAATCGGATTTAGTCAGGATCTAATAGTCGCGTCGAGTTTATCTCTAGAAACCCTAAATTTTGGTGGATCTGTGCAATCGTAGAGTTTGCTCACCATCGTAATCTGGTAAGTTCTGATTGAGTATTGTTCCTTTTTCTTATATGCAGGTCACTAGGGTTTAAGTATCTCGATTCAGGGTGCGAGCCATCCGTCGAGCTGCTTGCTATGGAGACTCTTAAAGACCTTCTACCTGCGGCCAAAGCTACGACTACGACGTTTTACGACCATTCTAATGATCCATGGTTCAAGAACCGTTTCACCGAATCCGAGACGGAAAAATCCTCCGCCGTGGCCTTCAAAGCGGTGCCTGCTTACCTGAAGCGGCAAGGCTTCCGTCCGAGGAACCCCGAGGACTTTGGGGATGGTGGTGCTTTCCCTGAGATTCATGTTGCTCAGTATCCTCTTGGCATGGGAAAGAACAAGTCCAATAAGCCTGGTTCCAAGACTCTCCCTGTTACTGTGGATGCTCAGGGAAACGTGGTCTTTGACGCCATTGTGAGGCTGAATGAGAATTCGAAGAAGATTGTGTACTCTCAGCATAAGGATATCATCCCCAAGATACTGAAAAACGAGGGGGACTTGGATGCTGTGGTGGATGAGGAGGATGAGCTGCAGAAGCAGATTCAGGAGACTGCGGAAGAAACGAAAGCTGCCATTGAGAAGATTGTGAACGTGAGGCTGAGTGCAGCGCAGCCTAACAACGTACCGAGGCAATCAGGCGACTCGAAGTATATCAAATATAAGCCATCCCAGCAATCTTCAGCGTTCAATTCAGGGGCTAAAGAGAGGATCATTAGGATGGTGGAGATGCCTGTGGATCCACTTGATCCACCAAAGTTCAAGCACAAGAGAGTGCCAAAGGCTTCTGGCTCTCCTCCTGTTCCCGTCATGCATTCGCCGCCGAGGCCTGTTACCGTCAAGGACCAGCAAGACTGGAAAATCCCTCCTTGTATCTCCAACTGGAAAAATCCGAAAGGTTATACCATCCCTCTTGATAAGCGTCTTGCTGCTGATGGAAGAGGGCTACAAGACGTTCAGATCAATGATAACTTCGCCAAGTTATCAGAGGCCCTCTATGTAGCTGAGCAGAAAGCTAGAGAGGCTGTTTCAATGCGGTCAAAGGTGCAGAAAGAGATGATGATGAAGGAGAAGGAGAGAAAAGAGCAGGAATTGAGGGCACTTGCCCAAAAAGCTCGGTCTGAAAGGACTGGTGCTGCTGCGAGCATGCCTGTCTCATCTGACCGGGACAGGGGTAGGAGCGAAAGTGTTGACCCAAGAGGTGATTACGACTATGACCGCGAGAGAGAAAGAGATAGGGAAAGAGAAAGAGAGAGGGAAGGGCCAAAAGAGAGTAGAGAAGAGAGGGAAGAGCGTATGCAGAGGGAGAAGATCCGAGAAGAGCGTCGGAGGGAAAGAGAGAGGGAGAGAAGGTTGGAAGCCAAAGATGCTGCAATGGGGAAGAAGAGCAAGATCACGAGAGACAGAGACCGTGATATCAGTGAGAAAGTTGCTCTTGGAATGGCATCTACGGGAGGAAAAGGCGGTGAAGTTATGTACGATCAACGTCTGTTTAACCAAGAGAAAGGAATGGACTCTGGTTTCGCCACGGATGACCAATACAATGTTTATGACAAAGGCTTGTTCACTGCACAAGCCACTCTTTCGACCCTGTACAAGCCAAAGAAGGATACTGACGAGGAGATGTACGGAAACGCAGACGAGCAGCTTGAGAAGCTCAAGAACACTGAGAGGTTTAAACCAGACAAAGCTTTCACCGGTGCTTCCGAGAGGGCGGGAAGCAAGAGAGAACGACCTGTTGAGTTTGAGAAAGAAGATGATCCTTTTGGTCTTGACCAGTTTGTGACTGATTTGAAGAAAGGTAAGAAACCTTTGGACAAAATCGGATCTGGAGGAACTATGAGGGCAAGTGGCGGAGGTGGTGGCTCGTCAAGGGATGATTATGGTGGTTCTGGTCGAACCAAGATCAATTTCTCACGTGGTGATCGTTAAAAGTCTTCAGCAACTGTTCTGTGTGATTCAATATAACTTATCAGATTTGGATCTGTGGAAACAGTTTACTTTCGATTCAGTAATATGTTGTAGTGTCTCTCTGAACTTGTCATATGCAGCTTTCAACTTTCTATATTCGATCTTTGAGCTTTTTTCTTAAAAAACATCTTTTGAATGTAACAAATTTTTGTACTTTAAGTTGGGTTTAAAGTTTTGCGTAGTTATATGTTTGCAATTATTGATCAGGAGAAAAACCAAATACACACATATGGTCTTCTTCTCTGGTCTTGTCTCTAGGCTTAATAATGGTGCTAAGACAACACATTACGTCACCGTCGTTCGCCGTTCGAATCACTCTTTTACTCCGGCCGCTGTAGCCACCGCGATAGACGAACCATTTGGCTCAATCTCATCTTCCCTAACTACGTCTCTGTCACCCGAAGACCGAAACAAATTCTTAGCAACGCTGTTATCAAACTGCAACAGCCTCGCTCGTGTCCGTCGGATCCATGGTGATATATTCCGTTCTCGCATCCTCGATCAAGCTCGGATCGCTTTCTTATGGAACAACATCATGCGATCCTACATACGCCATGACTCTCCTCTCGATGCTGTTCAGGTGTACCTGGGTATGGTGAGATCAAATGTTTCGCCTGATCGATATACTTTTCCGATCGTAATCAAAGCCGCCGCTCAGATTCACGACCTTCCGATGGGAAAGCAGCTTCACTCCGTCGCCGTGAAGCTAGGGCTCGTCCGAGATGAGTTCTGCGAGAGTGGGTTCATAACGTTGTACTGCAAGGCAGGGAAAATCAGGGACGCCCGTAACGTGTTCGACGAAAATCCTGAGAGAAAGTTAGGGTCTTGGAACGCCGTCATTGGAGGGCTTAACCAGGCCGCGCGAGCCAACGAGGCTGTTGAAATGTTCGTCGAGATGAAAAGAAGCGGTTTTGAGCCGGACGATTTCACCATGGTGAGTGTGACGTCAGCTTGTGGAAGCTTAGGTGATTTGAGCTTGGCTCTTCAGCTTCACAGATGCGTTCTTCAAGCTAAACACGAGGAGAAACCTGACATCATGATGATGAATTCACTCATCGACATGTATGGAAAATGCGGGCGTATGGATTTAGCTAGTCAAGTGTTCGACGAAATGCCTCAGAGAAACGTCGTCTCGTGGACATCCATGATCATGGGCTACGCAGGTCACGGGAAAACACCAGAGGCCTTGGAATGCTTCCGTGAGATGAGAGACTCCGGTGTCAGACCAAACAGTGTAACATTCGTGGGAGTGCTCAGTGCTTGCGTCCATGGAGGTCTTGTGGAGGAAGGTAAAGCATATTTCGCAATGATGAAGTCGGAGTTCGATTTGGAACCGGGCTTGTCGCACTACGGATGCATAGTTGATCTACTGAGCCGAGACGGTCGGCTTAAGGAAGCTAAGATAGTCGTGGAAGGTATGCCGATGAGGCCTAGCGTGGTGGTTTGGGGTTGTTTGATGGGTGGGTGTGAGAAGTTTGGGGATGTTGAGATGGCCGAGTGGGTGGCTCAGCACATGGTCGAGCTCGAGCCGTGGAACGATGGTGTTTATGTGGTCTTGGCTAATGTGTATGCGTTCAGAGGGATGTGGAAAGATGTTGAGAGAGTTAGGAAGATGATGAAGGAGAAGAAGCTTGCTAAGATCCCTGCCTATAGTTATGCTTCGACCACTGTCTGAAAACCCCAATGCTTTTCAAAACCTGTTTCTCTCCCATGTTCAAACAAAATCGAACATCACACGTAGTCTGTTGTTTTTCTTTCAAAAAATAAATTTAATCATAGTTTTTTTTGAAGTTCGAAATCCTTCTCATGACTTTGTAATGTGATTTTGTTTTTTTTTCTTCAGATTTTATTGATAGCTTTGTGTTTCTTTGTGGTTTTTTTTTATGATGCCTAAGCAAATCAATTACTAGTTAATCGGGGTTAACGAGACTTTCCCGAAATTTGAACTCAGAAGAATGAATAAAGCTGAAAGCCCATTATAACTTCCCAAGCTTTTGGGCTTTGAGTCCAATTAGAATTCACTAGTTGACTATTTTGTAAATTCAGATTTTCAATAAATAAACTTAAAAAATTGTACGAATTGTACGAGTCCTTAATATGTAAATTACAGGTGTAAAATCAAAAAGGTCAAAATCATTGGATACTAGCTGCCGTCACTCGAATTATAAACTTATATGCATTCAATTAACTCATAAATATACACATGCATGTGTCATCTTTCGTTTAAGCCAAAACGTGAGGCTCTTGCAATTATCTTTTCTATTGGCATTTGTGATTAACAAAGACAGATGACTACATGCTGATCGGCAGATCGGTCCAAATTAAGGAAAGATTCACTAATTGTAACTTAGATAATGTAATACGGATGGATATCTTTGACTTGTAATCATTTATTTCAGAAAAAAAACCAGTGGTGATTAGAAATAAAGAAATTAGTTAAAATAATTGATATTTTATATATTAATTAAGTAACACATTCTAAAACTTTCTTTCTTAGGCAGCGTAATTACAATACCAAAAAATATCATCTAAAAATACCTAAAACCCATAGAATTATTTATTCATCTTAAAATTACAGAATATGCTATTTTCAACAACTTATAATAATTCCCTTAAGTGACAATTCTTAATTTTTCCCAGAAGCATATTAGCGAACAATGGACAGTCTATGTAAGTAACTACATCTAAATGGAAAATCTGGTTTGTTGAATTAAAACCAAAGCTTTGTCATTTCCTAGAGAAAGCCAAAACTTAAACAAATTATCTTCTGACTGATGACTTTTATTTAAAATATCCACGCAGATTAATCATATTAAGCTTCGAATATGTGTAATACGACAAGTGGAAAGTGACATGAAACGACTTTTTCTACCGTCACGTATGACATGAGAAGCAAAATTATTATTATATTCAAAGAAAAGAGAAAAATTTGGTGCAAATAGGGAAAATCCCAATTTATCAAAGTACTCACGTTCAAAAATAAGATAAAGCATTAATTAACAACAAACTTTTTTTTTATAAAGGGAACGAATATCAAATAATTTATATATTATGCAAAAACAAAACTGGATAAGATTGTGTCGCACTTGTATACATATATGTTCAACCTTCAAAAATCATTCTTGCTCTTGCTCACTTCAAAAAAAAAAAAAAAAGACTCATTCTCTCTCTCAACTTTCCCCCAAAAAAATATCAGAATCAGGCAAAAATATCAAAAAGAACGAAAAAAAACAAGAAAAATCAGTAGAGAAAGGCGAGAATATTTTGAGATGGGGAGTTGGGGAGAAGAAGATTTAGAGAAGCTTGTGATCGATTATATTGAATCTCCGATCTCCGTCTCCGATCATAAAGAGAAGTCTTCAAGAGCTCTTATCACTCTTCAGGTCAATATCTATTTTCTCTTCAATGCATTTCTTTTCTTCCTTTTTTCTTTAGAAAAGTTAAATCTTTAATATATATTTACAGGAGGTTATTGGGACAAAAGGAGAGGAGGAGAAAGAAATGGGAGAGAAGGTAAATGCATTAATCAAGAAAAAAAGATTATCATACGAAGGAGACGATGAGAAGAGAGATATGATGAAAAAGATTGTCACTAAGCTTAGATCTGACGGCTACGATTGTTCTATCGCTAAAACCTCATGGGACTCTTCTTTTGATCGCCGTGAAGGTATATAATACGTTAACACTCAATATCTTGGAAATGAAAAATTTAGAAATATTCATGTGATCAATCTTTGTAAAGTTGAAGACTTTTTTCTCCTTTAATGTTCGAAAAATAGAGAAAGTCAAGTTTTTGATTTTTAATTTTATGGGTTTTGTGAAAATGGCACAGGGTGTAGAGTGTTTAGGTGCACGAGGAAGTACGAGTACATTAACGTCATTATGACGAGTGATCGCGACGGTGATGACGTAAGCAATGGGATGATGATGATGAAGCGTGTGATAATAGATCTTGATTTCAAATCTCAGTTTGAGCTGGCGAAACAGACAGAAGCTTACAAAAACATGACTCAGATGCTTCCGACAATATTCGTTGCGACAGAAGAGAAACTCAAAAGAGTTGTTTCGTTGGTTTGTGGTGAGATGAAAAAGTCGATGAAGGAAGAAGGAATGCCTAGACCGCCATGGAGGACTACGAGATACATGCAAGCCAAGTGGTTACCAGAGAATCGTCGAAGAACCTCTGTCTCTAAGAGAGGATCTTGGTCTTTGTTCGATGATGATGCAGAAGCAGTTGATGCTGTTGGGACAACGAGTGGTGCTACTAGTTCGAAAACTACGTGTTGCTTTCCTATTTTCTGAGAGGGATGCGCTTCGTGTTTTTTTTTTTTGTTTTGCTTATCAATTAAAAAGAAAGAGTTAATCGAATTTTGAACATTAGTTGTTTTTTCGACAAAAAAAAAAGAAAAGAATATAACGTTAGTTGTTTTTTTGTTTGTTCGTATACAAAATCAAAAGAGGAAGTGGGTGGCTTTGTTGTACCAGGTCTTTTTCTGATGCTATATTGTATGTTCTACTTCGATGGCCGATGTATAATATAATATAATATGTTTTTTCTCGTCATGTAAATGTTCATTTTTGTATCTAATGTAGTTTTTTTTTGGTTTAAGATATTTGAATATGTTGGATAATCTTGATAAGACGATTGGCCTACATTTTCTTGAAACGGTTAAACTAATATTCAAAAACACCAATTTTTATAAAATGTTTTCACGAAGTAATACAATTTATTCTCTCTTTTTTTGGTTTGTCAAAGTAATACAATTTATTCAAAAACGTGAAAAGGTACGTACAGAAATGGTGTATCATTATCACCGTGATGTGATGTCAAAACTGAGTTATTCGCTGTCAAAATTTTGTTAGCTAAACTTTCTAATCAGATAATCAAATCAATACCATTGATTTAAATACTCACTGGCTTTTCATGAAGTTCGGATGGTAAATGTTCCTTTTTGCATGCACTGCGTTTACTGTTCAAAAATTACAGTCAGTTGTATTTAGATATATCGAAACTGTATCGAAGCAGAATCATATGATAAGAACGATGAGGTGTATAGAAGAAACACATAAAAAAAATATTGAATCGAAACTGTAATTAATTAATAACCATCCATCACTCTCAACCATATGTTGATAAGTAATCTCACTTTGTTTTTGTCTTATCTATTTCGTCACGCTTTATTCTTTCGAGTTAATCCTCTAGATTTTGACAGAAACTTCGACTAAGCACACAGTTATCAAAATTCAAAAGTCAGATAACTAATTAACTAAGAAATATAATGCATTGATCTATGATTATAACTAGATACGTCATTGAATTAAGTAATGATTAAATAGGGCAGACAATTTAGATGAATGGATAGAAGAGACAGAGGAGGATCTAGTAATTAAATAAAAAAATCGATTTGAAATGGATAGTCAGAAACTGGCTTGTATGAGCCAAGCAAAAAGAAAGAGAAGTATGGAGAAATCGTCTCGAGCTCCACAATTATTTAACTGGTTTTATTACTGATATGACTTTTTAGTAAGATATAGCGAAATTACCACAAGAAGAATATTTCTCAAAGATAGAAGAAAACGTGTTCGTTGACTTAAAAAAAACCCTCAAAATTTTAATCCAACTTAATCGTAACACATTTCCGTGCAAAAACGTTAAACCAAAATACACATATCTTAATTTAGTTGAGTAGTTAAATTAGTTCGAAATTAGTCGGAAGTAAGATGTAGTTAAATTTGGATGTAAGAAGGTTTATTTAAAGAAACTGTGGAATGTTTTATAAATATATATTAAGAAGGGGGGTTTTATGCGATTTCGAGAAGTAATTGAAAACACGAGAAGTAAGAATGCTTCCAGGGATGAGACAAGAAGAGAGAGAGATGTGTCAGTTTCACACTTACATCATATGGCAGCAGCCGAGCTACAAAGATCTTTTTTTTGTTTGTTCCTTTACTCAATTAGGTCTATTTTAATGTTTTCTCTTTTCTTATTTCTGATACCAAAATTGGCATTGCCTTAATACCTTTGACGTCAGTTTCTAATATTTTTCTATTCATTAAATAAAAATAGATTTTTTTTGTTATTGTCTCGTGGGAGAGTAATATTCCAAAATACCACAAACAAAATCTGTTCTCTGGCTTTTGGTGAACTTTCCTATTATTGTTATTACATCTGATAAATAAATACTTCCAAAAATTCTGTAGAAGTGATATTGAAACTCTATCTAAGGGTCTATAGTTTTTACTAAAAAAAATGTATTTATAATCTGTTTTGCGTAATTATGAGTAAGAGAAAAATTTACTCAAGTTACACCTCCTGGTTAGCCATTATTTTGTTCGAAAAACAATCCCAATTAAACTGTACCGCGATGAATACACACACATACCAAAAATTCGATCTTTGGATTTTGGCTAGTCATCATGTACGAAACCAGAACAAGATTCAACGAACCTGACCAGTGCGTTGGGCCGACCATGGGTGAAGCCCAATTCACAAAATGATGGTTTGTCCATGGACAAGCCCAATACTAAAAGTGTCCAACTGGGCTTCGACCACCTGACCCGCGTTCATTTCTGGGCAGGTTAGAGTAGATTTACGGGTCAATCATGGGCCAAAAAAATATGGGTTTTGCAACATAAAGTTTTAATTAGAAAAGCTTGAATTTTACAAAAATATATAGATAGATACAATTGGGCTGTCCATGGGCATGTCCATCTGGACTTGGTCTTTATTGGGCATTGTCAAATTTTGGACCATTGAAAGCCCATATATAAAAATCGAAAAGACCGCCTTCGTGCTGATACATCAATTTCTGAAACACAAAAGCGTCTTTCAAATGAGTACAAGATACACGAAATTTTCAGACTAAGCTGAAATAAAGAGCTTTCAGATGCGACATCGATTCTTTCGACACGGCGATTGAATCTATCATCTCCACAAGCTCAAACCGGGCCAAACCATCGTCTTCAACGCACCAGTGGGCTCACTGGGCTGGTCAGGGCGAATATAGGGTCTCGAACCGGTTCCAATTTCGACAAAACCGGAACCGGAACATGCAAAACCGGTGCATGCGGCCGTGAGATCAAACGGAAAAGTGATATCGTTTAGGAGTGCTTGTGATGTGTTCGATAGAGATGAATATTGTTGCAGAGGAGTTTAAGGGCTGTGGTGTGTCAGCCAACTTTTTACTCCAAAATATTCAAACAAGCTTGTCCTACTGCTTACAGTTACCCTTACGATGATCCGACCAGTATCTTCACTTGTTCCGGCACTGATTACGTCATCTCCGACTCCTTGTGTTCCTCCAGGTTTGTGTCTTAGTACTAGAGGCTTCTTTTAGTCCTCGTTTCTTTATTTTCATTAGTATTCATGTGTTGATAAGCTTAATTTCAATGTAAATTTAAAGTTGATTTGGGTGTGAAAAGAAAGATGAAGATATACACACATAATTTGCAATCCTATGGGGTCCTTCACACCATATGGCTACCTGATCTTGATATCCTCTGTGCTTCTTCCAAATCTTTCAGAAACCTGAGACAAAGCATAATCAATCTTATGATACAGTCTCGAATACGAACAGTGGAAACTAATTTGGATTCCTGATAATATTTTACTGAAGACTAATTTGGGGTTTGTGTGTTCTCGGACTTAACTAACCAATGTTGTTTTCTAGCAATGATTAATTTTGGTCAGTGCTGTTTTTACTTAGAACTCAAACCCAACGAGGCAGACAAATACCCGGTTTAGTGGAAATGCTTTGATGACGTACCTCTTGGAATTAAGCACTGCGGTGCCGCCGAGAATAAATCGAATCCCGGCGTTGGTGGCGTTTTGTAGAGCAACGGAACGTGATTCCTCGTACGTTGTTCCACCAACCATGAAAATAACCACCTCTTGTGGCCTGTTTAACCAGATATTATGCAAATTTTTTTTATTAGTTGATGTAAAGTTTAACTGTCAAACACATGATGACTAGGTTTAAGTGGCACATACCGTCCCTGTTGAAAATGGTCTCCAACAAATGGGTAGTCCACATCTCGTAATCTCCCTCTGGTTATGCTCTCCATTGTTTGAAACAAAAGAGGCTGATGTTGAGTGTAAACATTTTCAACCCCCTGTGTTTTTTCAAAAGTCAGCAACACAATATCTAATATATAGGGAGATTTACAACGTTCCTGGAGAGATGTAATCTCAGAAACAGACCTTAAGTCCACGAGCCATGTTGCGTGCTATATTCAAAAGATCTCTGTTTCCAAATAGATCACCAGTACGCTTCTCCACCCCGGCTTGCTTTAAGAGAAATTGAACTAGCTGCAGTTGTGTGACATCCAGAAAGTTATGATACGAAAAACATGCAACCCAAGTATCAATTGATCAATTACAAAAACAGAAACAAGTATAGTAGGAGCACATCTACAGATCATTATCTACCTTAACAATCAAGAGATGCAATTTAAATTAAACGGAATCAGGTGATAGTTTGAGACTGTACCCCTGGTTTATACTTGGGAGACCGCGAAGCCAATTTATTGAACAGTTGCATCAATTGAACAGGATTTTCTTTCTCATAGCGCAAAGCATACAGCATTACTAAACGTAGCCGGTCGATATCGGACACACTTTCATTATTCAAGAGATCTGTAACTGCCTGCAAATAGGCATCAAAAGAGAGTTAGCTCCGTGCTTACAACAGAGTCAACACGACTTCGCATATCCAGTTATGATGATCATTTATTCACTACCTCATATGCAGCTCCTTGGCCACCATTGCAAGCCAAGTCCTGCTCTGTTTGTGAAACCAGCATCAGTTTCCTTGCTTCAACTAGCTTGCTCATTTCAGTAACCAGTGTTACATGCTTAGAGACGTTGCCTTGCATCTTTTTGTACTCGGGATAGTTGTCAACAAATCTGGCCATGTCCTCTGTAAAACCAACGCATTCATAGATTATCACAAGGACCATATAATTAAAGTCTTTTCAGGAGCATACTTTAAGACTAGCCATATTTGTACCTACTGTCTGGATATTTTGGTTACTCTTTGCCACCTGCTGAAAGTCATCTACCATTCGCTTGATGTTCATTCCGATATCCCCAAAATTTTCATACATGTTAGATTTGAAGAATGCATCTTGTTCTGATGATAAAACCACTTCCTGCTCAGGGAAGAGACTTATTAGCCGTAAGGTTCGCAACTAATAAGAGATATGGTATTGGAGAAGACTCACAACTTGCTGATCTTTCGGAAGACTTCCAATTGCTCTCAAGTCCACCTTATTATCTTGAAGTCCTATGAGTTCGTGCACCATTGCCTACAGAAAAAAATCTCGTTAATGAGCAACCCTTACTTTTACGAAAAAGCAAAACATCTGGAGGCACATCTTATAATTTTTGTTTAGTCAAGTTAACCTGATATGTCCACTGATTCAGCAATGGGGTAACTGGGTCATCTCTTCTGTCAATTACAAGCAGCAGCGGAGAGCTTTCAGTCCTTCTAAAGTCGAAAAGACCGCTTTCATGCTGATACATCAATTTCTGAAACACAAAAGTGTCATTTCAAAATGAATACAGGATACACGAAAATTTACAGACTAAGCAAGCTGGAGATTAGTTTCCATCAAATGCATGCAAAATGTGAGTAGCGGGAAGAAATTAACTTTTGGAGAGCTTGTCCCACAATTTCACTTACAGCTGTTTCCTGTGCAATCCTTTTCGCAGTATCAGAGGTCCTCTGGTATCTGATGACAGGTCTACGTTTCAACGCCAGAAACACTGCCGCGATTCCATCAACAACGCGATCGGAGTAGCGTTGCAAACCAGAGGGATCGACAACTGCTGGGAGCATATACAGGTGGTTTGATGCCATATTCAATGTGAAATGATATGGATCACCAGCAACAAAGTCTGCATAAAACTCCTGCAACATAAAAACCAAAAGGACTATGTAAAACAAACGTCGAGCTTACCAAGCAAGACAGGCTTGAATCAGAAAACTTGAGACAGGCCGGGGAAATAATAAGCTCCACAATTATGGCGGTTTCATCACAAAGCAAGCAACTTCTTAGAGACAGCTAAAAATCTTTACTTAATACTGATCCAAAATTTTGCTACGAAACATTCTTTTAGCATCGGTCTCATGTTCATAACACTATGAAAGGAAGGAGCAAGCCAAAAGCAGGATTCTAAGAACTCACCTGGACTTGTTGTACAACCTCTTGCTCATCCGAATCGGCCAAAATATGAATCTGAGTATCTTTTAACAGATTGGAGAAAACTGAAATATTCATTAGAGAAAACAATAAAAATCAAAGATATGTATAACTGTCAGTGAACAAAATGATAGATTCGAAATTTCTTAAGAGACGATGAAGGAGCGTACATAAATGGTATTCTCCAAATCTAGGATTCGCAAGCTGGTACCGTAGTTTCTGAATATTCTCTGAAGTTGGGCGGATGAAATAAACAGCTTTCAGATGCGACATCGACTCTTTCGATACGGCGATTGAATCTATCATCTCCACAAGAAAAACTTCCTTCTGAAGCAGCTCTGACTGTGAATACACAATGCTTACATTGCTAACCTGCAATTTCAACAAGAAATCAAAACCATGTTATGAATGACGAAGATGTGCCTAATTTTTATCAATCACAAATCAGAGAAGATTACTAATCGAAGATGGAGAAAAGGACGAGATCGGATATACCGTTTCGGAGTCGAGTATGAGAACCTTCATGCCGGAGATATCCTGAAGCATCCGGTTGATGTAATCGCGCACAGACGTAACCAGCACCATCGTTTCACCGCAAAGTTTCGCTACTATTACCCTCGTTCGATCAGATCTACGGCGAGTGATCTCGTCGATTACTGTTGACGACGAAGGCTGGTGAATTCGTTTTTCAGTCTTTCAGATCTTCCTTAACCAAACTCAAACGAAGAAATGAGTTTTGTTTTTTTGCAAAACAAACCCTATACTATTGGGCTTTCCTTTTTATCGACACCAACTTTTTAGTTTCCTTTTTATAAACAAGAGCTGCTTGAGCAGAGAGATGGCTTCTCATGCAAAAAACTTTATTCAACATCAGAAACAATAGTAGCTTTTCTCTAAAGTTGTGAATGTCATAGCATACTATTCAAACAAACGAAACTGATTATAGTTACTTTTGATTTGGCCACTAATGTTACCATAATAATGTTTTTTATAAAAAATAAATTGCCCAAATACCTGAACTAGTTTTTAATTGCAAATAGATAAGTACTACTCCCAAATTACAAGACTTCACTTAAATTCCCCGACGTCGTTTACGAAATCAGATCACATGTCTCATGGGACGGCATCACCGGGAATCCTGCAAAGACCAGAGAATTATCATTCATAGTAGTGACTTTTTTTTAACAACTAAAGAACTAACCGTTAAACGTGTGAAATAGGGTAGTGTCTAAAACGTGTAAAAATCAATAATTCTCCATGTCCATGCCACAAACCATTTTCTCTCTCTCTCTCTCTCTGCTGAGGTTTGTGCTGCAGCATCAGCTACTACTCTAAACGAATAGATGAGGGTCTCTACCTCAAGTCCCGTGGAGTCCAGACACGCAATGTCCATTTCCACGTTAGTCTTTTCTCTTCTTCTTCTTCATTAATTGGTTTCTCGATTGTGTTTTTGTTTTTGTTCCCCAACGTCAAACTTTAGCATTGTGTCTTGAGAGATCTGTTGGTATTTGACATATACATAAGTTGCTACTGCGTTTTTCCATGTAGTGACAACAAGACAAGCAAGAGGAGATTCCAGAGTGAAAAGGTTGTTCATGGCTATAGATATTGGAACCGAATCTCCTCTACACTGAAACTTGTGCTGATCATTCTTACAATTGCTGTGTTCACGCTCTACCGTTCTCCACCGCTACTAATTGCTGAAAACCGATCCAAATGGATACAAGAACCCTCCGTTACCACTGATCCTCGCTATGTATCTACAGCTGAGATAAACTGGAACCATATCTCACATATCGTTGACAACTACTTATCTGATAGAAGCGAGTACCAAGGAATCGGCTTTCTGAATCTCAACGACCACGAGATTGTTCGATGGAAAGAGGTAATGAAACCTGACTGTCAACATATAGCTTTGCATCTAGACCACGCAGCAAGTAACGTAACTTGGGAGTCTCTGTACCCGGAATGGATCGACGAAGAAGAAGAATCTCAAGTCCCCATTTGTCCTTCTCTTCCTTGGATTCAAGTCCCTGGCAAGCCTCGGCTCAGTCTTGTTGTCGCCAAGCTTCCGTGTAACAGATCAGGAGAGTGGTCAAGAGATGTGGCTCGGTTGCATCTACAGCTTGCAGCAGCTCGAGTGGCTTCTTCTTCTAAAGGTCTTCGTGATGTTCATGTGATCTTCGTATCTGACTGCTTTCCAATACCAAATCTTTTCACCGGTCGAGAACTTGTAACCCGTCAAGGAAACACATGGCTGTATAAGCCGAACCTTAACCATTTAAGACAAAAGTCACAGCTTCCTGTTGGTTCCTGTGAACTCTCTGTTCCTCTTCAAGCTAAAGGTCAGTAGTAAGTACTTCAGTCGCAAGTTTCTACGTTCTCTATCTCAGCCACTTTACAAAATTGCAGATATCTTCTACTCATCAAACGCCAAGAAAGAAGCTTACGCGACAATCTTGCACTCTGCTCAAGATTATGTCTGTGGAGCCATCGCAGCAGCGCAGAGCATTCGAATGTCAGGGTCGACTCGCGACATGGTCATACTCGTCGATGATTCGATAAGCGAGCACCATAGAAGCGGCTTGGAATCTGCAGGATGGAAGATCCTCGCGTTTCAAAGAATCAGAAACCCTAAGGCTAAACCAAACGCATACAACGAGTGGAACTACAGCAAGTTCCGTCTTTGGCAATTGACAGAGTACAGCAAGATCATCTTCGTTGACGCAGACATGCTCATCCTTCGAAACATCGACTTCCTCTTCGAGTTCCCTGAGATATCCGCAACCGGAAACGACGCCACGCTCTTCAACTCCGGTCTAATGGTGGTCGAGCCATCTGATTCCACGTTCCAGTTGCTAATGGACCACATCGACGAAGTTGTGTCTTACAACGGAGGAGACCAAGGTTACCTCAACGAGATATTCACATGGTGGCATCGGATTCCGAAACACATGAATTTCTTGAAGCATTTCTGGGAAGGAGACAAGACAGAGGTTAGGAAACTGAAGACGAGTCTGTTTGGTTCTGATCCTCCGATTCTCTACGTTCTTCATTACTTGGGTTATAACAAGCCGTGGTTATGCTTCAGGGACTACGATTGCAACTGGAATGTCGAAAGTTACCAGCAATTCGCGAGCGACGCAGCTCACGGAACGTGGTGGAGAGTGCACGACGCGATGCCTGAGAAATTGCAGAGGTTCTGTCTACTGAGATCGAAGCAGAAGGCGCAGCTTGAGTGGGATCGGAGACAAGCGGAGAAAGGGAATTACAGAGATGGGCACTGGGAGATTAAGATCAGAGATAAGAGACTGAAGACTTGCTTCGAAAAGTTCTGTTTCTGGGAGAGTATGCTTCGGCATTGGGGTGAGACGAACACGACTGGTAATTCTTCCACCACCGCTTCATCGCCGCCGCGTAAAGCCGCCGCCAAACCTTTCCTGTGATTTTTTATGGTCATTGTAACTCCGGTTAGAGTTCAATCGGGTTACGAACTCAAATTCACGCTCCCACAAAATGTTGTTTAATTTATTTCACATAAAAAGTAAACCAGTTTAATTTACCCTCTTTAAACCGGACCTGATGAACCGAACCGATAAATTGATCTTAGTTGAAATCCAGAGGCCAGTCTCTTCTTCTTCTTCGAGAATAACTGGCAGGAGAAGATGGATTTGATTTGTTGTTTCCGACCGCATCAGTCCTGTCGCGGCGGGATTTTAAAATGCCCTGCTCTTGACATACGTCTTTCCGCCGTCAATCGTTTTCGTTCGCCGCCGAATCTACGTTTTGGATTTCCGGCGACGCAGTTTCGTCGGGTTTCGAAATTTTCCTTCGAGACACACGCAAAGAAGACTAAGAAGCGAACGAGTACCGTTGAACCGAAACCGAATAAACTCAAAGAATTACTCTTTGAAGAAGAAGATGAAGAAGAAGGAGAAGAGCAAGTTCTTCTCGAAGATGTTCTAGACGGTGCGTAATAATCATTTCCTAGTCCTCTCGCTCTGTTTTTCACTCCCTTTTTTGTGGTCTGTTCTATGTAGCTTGAGTCCGGTTTCAATCATATACAATCCTTTCATTGATGTTTTTTGATTCTGCAGAGCTACTAACGGATGCTGAAGACGAAGATGATGGATTTTATCTCGAGGATGATGAATTCAATGAGAGCGAGGAAGAACTCTATGTAAGTAGTCTCTAGTTATGTCTAAATTTGTGAGAGTAAGAAAGATGGCAACTTTTGCATCATATATGACTATGTAATCTGAGAACTGTTGTAAGGCGGGAGATGGAGGTGGTGGAGGAGGATTTAAGCTTGCTGGAACATTGTGGGACAAAGAAGCATTGGCATTAGCTGAGAAAGTCTGTGAGTCCTTTAATGGTGATTTAGGCATATATGCTTTCAAGACTCTACCCAATTCCACCATACAAGTTCGGATCGAGAGGCTCACAAACAAGTTCGGTTCCCCTACAATGGAAGACATTGAAGCATATTCAACAATCTACAGAGCAAAACTGGCTGAAGCTGAACTCGCCAAGTCCATACCGGAGAATATCTCTCTAGAGGTTAGCCTTTGCTTCCTTTCGAATCACTTCTCTCATAGATTTTGTTTCCATAGGCTCATCAACAAAAGCTTGAACCTTGTGCACAGGTTTCATCTCCTGGCGTTGAAAGGGTCGTAAGGATTCCGCAGGATCTTGACCGGTATAAGGACAGACCGATGTACGTGCGGTACGCTAACGAGGAAGCTGAGACCGAAGGTGATGGCATTTTCAGGCTGGTTTCGTTCGATGTGGAAGCCAAAAGCTGCGTTTGGGGGATAGCAGATATTAGAGTGAACCGAGAAAAGGCAGGCAAAGGCAGACCTTTGAGCAAGAAGCAACGAGAATGGCGACTCGAAACGGCTTTCGAGTCACTACGGTTAGTCCGTTTGCATTCTGAATGTTAAAAGCACAATATAGGCAAATGGAATATCTCTAGTTTATATTATTAACATTAACAGCTCAGTACAACGATAAGATAATAGATAAAAGACACGAAAACAACTAACTTAAAAACAGAGCATAAAACCAAAATCAATTGGACATGTCTTTTCATTTATTGCTGTGAATGCATAAGAGCAACTAAAACACATCATTGGTGCGAGAATGGATTTAAGCACCCATGGTGATGATGCAGCGGATACTCTCTCCCTTCAGCATGTAATCAAAGGCCTTGTTGATCTCCGAGAAGGGCACTGTGTGAGTGATGAACTTCTCAAGCTCCAGCTCCTGTTGATAGAAAGAAATCACCACAACATTGATATATAATCTCTAAAGATCAAGACTTTTTCAAGGACGTTGAATAGGAAGGATTCTCATTACCTTGTTCATGTACTTCTCGACGACCCCGGGAATATCAGTTTTGGGTTTGTAGTTCCCAAAGAAAGTACCTTTGAGTGTCCTCTCATTCAGCAAATTCATCGGATGGGTCTTGAAGGCATCGTCTTTGCTCGGCACACCGACCAGAACCGCAACACCCCAACCCTGAAACAGCAACATCACATGTATTAACTTCAGATACGCACAATGTAAGTTATGGACGGTTCGGTCGGAAATCGATGTGAAGGGAAACATTACATCATGAACACATTCGAAAGCTTGAATCATGGCCTGAATGCTTCCAGTGCACTCCACACTCCGGTCCACACCACCGTCTGTCATCTCAGCGATGACTTGCTGAACCGGTTTGTCATGCTCTCTAGGGTTCACAAACTCGGTCACACCGAATTTCTTAGCTGCCATTGGAACAACATATCAAACTCAATGTAAGTTGAGGAGATTAGATTTTAGGGAAGAACAGGGTCAAAAGACTAATCATTTTTTCAACTTACCTTCCTCGAATCTCTTTGGGTTGAGATCAACACCAATGACCCTACCAGCACCAGCGATTCTAGCACCTTCCGCAGCGGCTAAACCAACGGCACCGAGACCGAAGATGGCAACACTTTGGCCTTTCTTGGGTTTAGCCACATTCAAAGTGGCTCCTAGCCCAGTGGATAAACCACAGCTCACGATGCAGACTTTGTCAAGAGGAGCCTCCGGGTTGATCTTAGCGACTTGACCGGAGTGAACCACAGTGTACTCACTGAACGTGGATGTCCCAAGGAAATGGTAAATCGGTTTGCCGTTGATGGAGAATCTCGATTCGCCGTCGTGAATCATGCCGCCTCTCTCGGTGTTGATCCTGAGGAGATCACACATGTTTGATTCCTCCGAGTGGCAGTGACGGCAATCTCCACACTCTCCGGTGAAGATGGGCAAGACATGGTCACCTGGTTGAAGATCAGTCACTCCTTCTCCAACACTCTCAACAATCCTACACAAACCCAAAAAAACAAATCTCAATCTCGGAACAGTAAAAACACACAAAAATGAAAGAAAGATTATGGCAATTCTTTACCCTCCAGCTTCATGGCCGAAGATACGGGGAAACAACGGCGTTTGTCCCTGCGGAATCAAAATTCCGAAATTTGTCACTTAAACTCAAGATCAGAGATTTGTTTATATGATAAATTATGGGTTTTTAATTAATTTTTACCTTAGCTTCCCAGAAGTAAACATCGGTGTGACAGAGGGAAGTGAAGAGGATCTTGATACGAACTTCGTGTTTTTGCGGCGGAGCAACCTCTACTTCCTCCATCACCAGTGGCTTTCCGGCTTCCCATGCCACAGCCGCTGCAACCACAACAAAGCAACGACGCCGTTTTGTAATTTCAAAATATAAAGTTACTAAAAAAATTCATATAAAAAACCTCAAAATGGTAGAATCTTATAAAAACTAATTACAAATAGAGACTAAACCGATGGATTAACGAATGAAGAAGACGAAAAAAAAGCAAAACCTTTGCATCGAATAATCTGTCCTGTAGTAGACATTATCAAATAGTGATTAAAACTTGATCTTTTGGATTTGTTTGTGTGATTGTGTGAGATAAAAAGAAACTAACAAATGGAGCTTTTTATAGTTGGTAATGGAAAGAGGACATATTTACAGAAATACCACTGGATATTTAATACTGTCGACGTGTGTCGATAGTTTCGGGCTTTCGCATTACTAGGGGCGTGTTTTGGCTTTGGTTTTGACTTCTCTTGAATGGTCTTTCCACTTGTCGTTACCAGTATTCGTCCACGTGGAATTTTTTCATTTTAGTTACGAATTTAGTCGTAATATCACAATCGGGTTCTTAATTCTTTAGTCTTGATGCTCACGCCGTGGTATTTCCAAAAGGAGAAAACCACCCCACCGAATGTCTTTTGTTTTGGGCGGTTTTCATCTTTAATTAGCACTTAATATTATTATTCTTGGTCATCAAGTTGAACATTTTATTTATTTTCTTATAAATTTTAAAATATGAATCCGATCTTAAATTGGCTCTTAAATTATATTCTTCCCCCTCACTCTCAAGTCTCAGCGATACGATTACTAATTGTTATTTTCCCTCATCGGCTCGTCCTTTTTTGTTTCTTTCGAATTTTGAATTCTATTCAAACCGATTAATCATGAGTCACAGGACAGAAAATACGATGATCAAAAATTGCAATTATATCTTGTATAAATTAATCAACTCGTTATCCATAATTTGGTTTGATATTGTTCGTTATATCATAACAAGAATATTCATTATGATTCCTATATGAATCATGACTTCACTACAGCTCGAAGGAATCAACGTGGAAATAATATTCACGATTATATCATAACCTAAACCTTTAGTCACTGCGTACCTTCCATATGATCAATGTTGAATATCTAAGAACATCGTTTAAGTTACTCCTCTAACCATTTATGCGGTAATTTCAGTTCATCAATGTAATTAAGTATGTAACCGTTAATCTTTCTCACAAGCTCTTCATCAGGAAAAACTAAAACTCTTTTAAGAGCTCACGAATCTAGCTATATCTCCACGCTTCTTTATTCATCGATCATGTGTGAATTCTTTCTTTCGTTGTGTTGAGAATCATAGTCCCAAAAGCACGTAGTAGAGAATAGTTACTGGTAAAGATACTATCATACCAAAGATAACCCTGAAAACAAAAACATCAATAAACCATAAAATTTCACATTAATCAACATACCACTCGTTTTTAAACATTCAAGCCATTAATGTAGAAATGATTAATAAAAAAAAAATTCAAAATGAGCATGCAAGAAACTCACAATGTACTGAGTAAGTCTGGATGCAAACCATATTCCCTCGCAAACACAAACGGTACTATTCCTTGCGGTAGAGCCGCCTATGCATGAACACAAAAACACATCGGTCTCGTCAAGTTTATATTCCATTAATTAATCAAATATGTTTTTTAAAAAATTATAGCCATATGGTATATAGTATATACTATAATACTAAATCGAAGCAAAGTCTGAAATATTAGATATGGAACCAATGTGTACCTGCACGATGGCAGCATGTAACCTAGAGCCTTTCAATCCCACAAGAATCGAAGCAGCAGCCATGAAAAGGGGACCTGAGATGAACCTAATCAACATCCCCATTGTTGCTTTCTTCGCCCCACAAGCGATCATCTTTGGCTGCAACGCCATGAATAGACCTGAAAATTAAAATTTGTTTTGAGTTTTTGTATACTTAAAAACAAAAATGTTTTATCTCGCTATCATGTAGGTTGAAATAAGGATCATGATTATCATTACCTAAACTAAACATGGCCATTCCAAGACCTGCGTCTGATATTATCTTTATTGAAAGCGCCACTATACTTGGCAGAGCTATATGCCATCTGCTTATTATTTATATAAAAAAACAAAAAATTATAATAAGTTAACAATCGGATCAATGAGTACAGACCAGACGAATTTAAGTAATTTTTCACTTACCTGAAGGATATAAGTGACCAGATAAGACCTAAGACGCTAGAATAGGTGTTAGGGTTTCGAGAAAGCTTGCGTCCCACGACAGTTAGTATGAGCCGTACCATCACAGCGGCACTTGGCATTTCTTGCCTGCCAATAGCAGCCACCGGAGCTGTGTCTTTTCCGGCAGCTCCTTCTTCCATGGAAGCATCACCACCGGCGGCCGTAGACGGTGGTGCCATTTTAAGTGCGTCTCTGAAGCTGATCTCCTTTTCTGGTACTGATACATAGTCATATTTTTTCACGTCAGCTAATACAGACACTACCGTATGATTTATAGGACAATCTTGAATTCTTTTTTTTTTTGAAGAAACTAATCATAAGTCGTCTTGTTAATAGTGATTGTGGAATTTACTAACGGAAACATATAATTAAACGAAAAAGTAAATTAAAATCATGCGTCGGTCTCGCTGATGATTACACACGTGGTGGACGAAAATGATAGCATCTCTCAAGTATAAAGTGCTATAAATATGAAAACCAGTTTTAAAAAAAAAAAAATATATATATATATATATATATATATATGTAAAGGATTGACTTGTGAGACCAAAAATATCATGGGCACAAAATGTCAACATCTGCTTGACAATTTTTGTAATTTTATGATTTTATTAACTTTGCGGGTGGTATGAGGGGTCCGCTTTATTTACATGCTTAATCATGTTGTTTCATTAGAATCTTAAGCTCAAAAATACGAAATAAAAAGATCAAGCTAACAAAGTTTTAAAGTATCCACACAAAATATAAAATCAATAAAATAATAGTGATTATTGGTTATATAATTTTTTTTTTTGTGAAATTAGATTAAAGTTTTTAATTAGACTATTCCTTGGGATTTGTGGTAAATACAAGAGAAAAGCTAAAGTATTATCTGAAAAAGCTGCATTTTTTTAGTTTATCAATGTTTTTCTATTCATCAAACTAAAAAGGAGACGAGCCAATAAAAAATAGTTTGAAAATAAATTAATCAACACGAAAGAGAATGAAAATGACCAAGCGTCGTCGTGTCAGCGTTACGAAAACAAGAAAACGACACATCTTTTTCAAAAAAAAAAAAAAACGTACCATTCATAGTATCCTTGGCTACATGCCTCTGCCCAGACTCCCACATCATCTTCGGCGACGAAGTATGCCGGAATATTCTCCCGGCGACAGGAGATTTCATCCAAACCGGCGTACCGGTTCCGTTAAGGTCAAGCTCGTTGAAGTTTGAGGCACGTGGCGTCGGCTGCAACGAGTAAGCATCGGAAGAAGCATAACCCGATAGCCTCCTCGGGCTTACACCACATCCGGGTCGGGTAAACCCGAACCCACCTAAATCTCCGTTACAAAACACGATCTCGTTACTACCGTTATAAAACTGAAGCGTACCGCTTCCACCGCCGTTAAAGAAACGGTTAGGAGTGTTGACGGAGAAAATCTCGGCGTTGGAAAGATTAGAGGCTCGAGGAGTTAAGCACAAGGAGGAGGAGAGAACGGAATCAGGTACGGATGATATGGACCGCCGGATCCTCAGCCTGATCCGACCGTTGATATCGGTTTCAGTTTCCGTACGGAGCGCATCCATGCCGTCTAAGGAGATGACGTCATCGTCGACTTGGATCTTGGCGATTGACCCGGCGGCCTGACCCGGAAACTCTGTTCGGATAAGCAACCTCGCTGCTCGGAGTTCGAAGAGGAAGAGTAGTAAAGTATACCTACACACATTTTAATATCATAGGTTATAAAATAATTCAACTAACTAATTTCATTTGATTTTTGATTGTGATTTTTCCCATAATTTTACCAACCAGTAACCACCCGTTTTCATTACTTTTGTTCTACCATTCTACGAGGATACGTACCAATAAGTCAAAAAGTAAAATAAATAAGGTATAGAAAAAATTGAAAAACGTACCAAATGATGCATTGAAGCACAACTAGTTGGACCATGAGGTTTTGAGTGTAATCTCCATACATGGCTTGAAGCAAAGGGATGCCCATAACGAGAGTGTTAGGGAGAGTGGCGATTGAGAAGAGAGTGATGAGCCAGTCAAGACCACCGGACTTGAAGAGAACGGCCCATAGAGAGAGCAAAACGAAGACCATGAGTTTGGACAAAGTGTCGGCGATGATGAACATAGTGTCCATTTTGTAAGGGTTGTTTTGTGAGATGAAGTGGAAAGAGAGGATCGGGACGGCGAATACGGAGACAAAACGGTTGATTCCGGAGCATTGCTCCGCCGTGAATATCTTCCACCATTTTACCGATCCATAGGCTACGAACATGGCGAAGTAGAGTGGTGCCATTGCACACATTACTTTGTAGAATTCGCCTCCCGTTATCATCTTCTTCTTCTTTTTCTTTTTGGTTAGTTAAGGTGTGTAGTAGGTTAAGAAGTTATGTGCATATGTGTGTGTATTGGGTTATATAGGGCCTTGTTGACGAGATTACCCCTCGTTTATTTCATTATTTGCGTACACATTAATGTAATGACATATCCTAGTTTTCATGTTGTTCAAACTTTTTTAAAATATTTTAGAATAACTTTAAAAATAGATTTACTATAACGCTATTTTGTATACCCAAGTACTGGTGGTATCCATTGTTTTGTCTAACTAAGCTTTTCACCCTTATTATCTTACCTAACGATGTTGTTTTTTTCTCTTGCTTATGACTAAGTTTGTTGCATTTGGTGTATTTAACAATGAGAAGCTAAAGGGATGTTTATAGCTAATTACCGTGATGAGGAGTAGAATAATGTACCAAAAATAATATAAAATTTTATTCAAATCCACATACCGAATCGTTTTACTAAAAGTAATGACTCTGACACTAAATAGGAAATAAAGGACGATGATAAACAGTTTCGTTGCTATAGAGTTAGTTTATTATAATTAACATCGACACAAAAACATATTATGAAAGTTATAAAAATAGAGATGAAAATATTCATTTGCCAGTTTCTTAAGAAATACACCAATTTGCAGCAAACTTGGACAAAATAATATAAATCGAAAGCATGCGTTTATCCAAAACTCCCTCACACTTTGTGTTGTATCGTAATAGGCTTTCGCCCAAATTACCTCCCTAACTCTTTTGTTTTCTTCTCTTGCTTACGATTAAACTTGTTTCTAGTAATGTATTATATAATGGAAAACTAAGTTTCTATTTAAGCCCAAAATCGACCATAAATACATGGCTAAATCAAGATTAAAATCATTCAAATTTAAAGTTTTTAATCAAAACCACCTAACTTGATGAGTCACTCATAAATCAGGCTTTCCTCTATCTGTCCCATAACTCTCATGCAATTGTTTGATGTAGTTTACACCCTAAAAACATTAACAAAGGCTTGTTTTATATGTATCGTCGTACCATTTTATCTTGCTATGCTTATGATTCAAAAAACAATATCATGAGCTCCGTCTTTTAAGTAAAAGAAATTAAATTGAAGATATTAGTAATTAATTCAAGAAACAAAATGAAATACAATGAAGTATAGTTAGTTTTACTCATCTTATCGAAATATGGAAAGCCAACATCTTTGAAACTTAAAAATGTTGGGAACTTTTGACCAAAGTGAATGTAAACTTTTTCTACTACCACTACATGTATATGTCAATTTGGATTATATGCAAATGGTATGCGTAAAGATGATTATTGATCTTCTTAGTATATTCACATTATCACATACATATATATATATATATATATATATATATAAATGTGGGTGTGCTTAAAGAAAGGGAAGGAGATCCTCAAAAAATCTAAGTTCAATGATATTCGCGCAATGGGTGGAGACTTACAGTGTTAGCCTTTTGCTTTAAAGCTTAAAAGCCTTTAGCCTTTAGCCTTTTGGCGATTGCAAACACTAACCTTTTTTCTTGTTAAAGAAATAAATTATTTTGTCAACGAAAGGCTTCACAAAAGTTTGGGATTATTGATTCCGTCCTATATGTCTAACCTAAATCTTAATTAATCCTACTATTAATAAACATCTAGACAAGAGCTCTGTAGGATATTATATAAAACAATGTTTGGTTATGATTATATCTTCCTAAAGAGTAATGGCATTAAAGCCTCTTCTAAGTTATGCAACCTTATACTGTCTGTATATATAATAAGTACACTCATAAATCTGACAAATAGTTTTTTCTTTCTCGTGTGAAGTTGTCCATCTCATTCTATACTGTATTATAGTATCACCTCGTCTCTTTACGTTACACACAAAACATATGTATAAACCGTGGAATAAAAATTCATTAGGTCTTCATTAATGTATAAAATTATATATTGAAATATAAAACACATGAGAAAGATATAGTAATAAAAAGAAGGTAGATGATGATGAGAAAGAAGACTAAGAGGAAGCGCATGGGATCGAGGAAAGGAGAAGAAACGAATAGAAAGTGGGATTATGGGTAGGTTATAAAATCAAATCAACTTCAAGTGCGAAAAATGATGGGTTCATTTCGAGATTCTAAACTACATACTCTATTATTTTGAGTAATAAAAATTAAGAAAAAATGGAAAAAAGTGAGTGAAAAAATGGTCTGTGAAAAGGAGGCAAGAACTAAAATGTGTCTGGTCTAGTCATTGGAGAGAGAGAGAGAGGTTGGGAGTGTGAATATCAAAGGGAAAGTGACATAACATAAGTTTTGCATCTTTATAACTCTCTTCTCTTCGCGTGCCATCAATTCATCATTTTGTTCATTTCCTATTTTTGTTTCATTGGCTCATTTTCCACCAACTTCTGTATTTTTCGTTACAAACGCAGTTACATTATTCCGTCTTGTCAATGTATTACTATGCATATCTACATTAACATACGTACACACTTGTATTATGTATATATATGATTATGATAGATATTTAGATACGTACAAATACCAGGTCGTTTGTTGTTGCAATACAATTTGTTAAAGAATCTCTAAGTTCATAGTAAGAAGCTTATACATCAAATTTGCATGAAAGACGCTTTCTACGTTTATTATATATATGTACTATACGATCGTTATATTTAAACAGTCTTTATGTCATTATGTGTAAAAACTTTCAGAAAATATATATTTATAAAATGTAAAGTAATAGTTTTTTTGCATAAATAACGCTTATTTGTGCTTAAAAGCATAATCATTTTTTTCTAAACACAAACGGAGGATTATTCTAAATCCAGTTCCTACAGTCAAGTTTGGTCTTGAGCCTCTGGCAATGAAATATATATATATATGCTGGGCCCAATTTCATAATATCTTCATCCGTTGTTTTGTGACTACTTACATGTGTAAACAGTAAACTATAACCTTTTCGTTATTTATATAATAAAATGTTACTTAAAAATGTAACCACTCTGAAACAGCTGATGCTGATTGAAAAATGATGAGCAACTTTCAAGGGAAAATATGCAATCTCCCAAACTAATGTTTCCAAGAGCTCCACCAGTCTTGTGATATATGAATCATACAAAATAATGCGAATAATTTCAAGAATTATTTTTTTTAGAATGTGATATATATATATATATATCTTGTACCCTAACATCTCTATCTTTCTCATATTATCTTAACAAATATTGATTTAGTACCCTTTTTTTTCTTGGTCAACGATTGTAATTGATTTAGTATATTAATATTTTCAACTGTCTTATATATTTCGTTAGACTAGCTTCGTGAAACACTAGATTACTACCTAAGTAAATTTACATTCCCCTGATAAATTTGGAGAAGTTCTATAATTGTTTTTCTCATTTTTCTTTCTGTTTTGGGTCTCCTCTTTTGTTTCTCACTACTAACATTTTCACTAGTAGAAAATCTATGATTCTATCAAAGAATTAACTTTCTCTCTCTTTTACAGTCTCCCAACTCAACGAAAGAAGAGGATACAGAGAAAGCAAATTTAAGAAATATCATTGGCTGTTATAGCAATTAAACCGACTTGCACGTGCTCCTCACGTGACAAAGAGCTAACCTCTTGTTTAGATGAAAACCTTCTGCTTCAGCGAGAGTCGTCCACATCCATAGAATTTTTTTTCTTTTTTTTAAAATAAAAATGAGGATTTTCCAAAACTCAGCAGACTCTTTAGTTATTCTACTAGCCGATTCCCCAAAATCCATCCGTAAAATATTCATCGATCACTTAGTCACACTTTCTCAAATTTGTTGCCATGTGCGGTCATTTGGTTGAGGTTTTGTAATATTCATCACATAATTTGCAGAGAAAACAAAAGACGTTACGATGGATTTCAGTATATATCTCTTTAAATTATGCCACATGCAGTATTCTAACTTTAATACTCGCCACGTTATTATAGATTATCCACGTAAACCTTTTGACGTAGCCGTATATTAAGTTTTGTTCTTCTTTTAAATACTATTGTTATCTTTATTTTATGAATAGCTTTTCCATATTTTATCTATTTTAAACAAAAAAGAAAAAAGAAAGCCAAATTTGGAGTAGAGTATATAATAAAGTGATCTTTTTTTTTTCTTTTTTTCCTATTACTTCTTAGATTGTATATATTATTATTATGGTTTCTGGTGGAACAAGAACACAATTTTTTTTTATAATTATAATAATTATTCTGGCTTGTGGTGGAGCAAGAACTCAATAATTTGGAAAAACAAATGGAATAAATTTACTTTATTGAATATTGTAGTACATTTTGTTTGAATGTTACTAGAATACTTTTAACAAAATTGAATAAAAGTTTTGTCACCTTTCAGAAGCTTTTTACGCGGTAACAGCTATGTGCAATGAATAACATGGAGACAAAAATATGAGAGATAAATATTTATTATTTTGATCCTCCTCTATGCATATAAATATCGACCAAACAAATATAAAACTTTGCAACTTACCTTAAATAATCATCATCAAAAAAATGAACCGTATGGTGCGAAAGAATATATCGAATCATTTCTCTAGTCCGAAAATAATCACTGTTGCAATATTCGTAGTTCTGTTTTCTCTTCATGATCAGTTGAGTTTTTCAGAGGCACGACTCCAATTTGGGTTCTACTCAAAAACATGTCCACCAGCAGAACTGATCGTGCGTAACGTTGTTCAACATGCAATGACCCGCGATCCCGGGAATGCTGCTGTCTTGCTCCGTCTCCATTTCCACGATTGCTTTGTCGAGGTCCATTCGAAAATCTAACGCAAAAATGATTATTTCTTATCATGTTTTTGTAACACTACATCATGATGTTTGTGTTCCGAGTTTATAGCTGACATAAAGTTTGGTTTGGTTACATGTTGTAGGGTTGTGATGGGTCGATTCTAATAAAACACGTCGGAAATGATGACGAGAGGTTTGCTGTGGGTAACGCTGGTGTGGGCGGTTTCGATGTGATAGACGAAGCCAAATCACAGCTTGAACGTCTTTGTCCGGGCGTTGTGTCTTGCGCTGACATCGTTGCACTTGCTGCTAGAGATGCTGTTGCTGAGGTAAACACTTCAAATATATACAGTTTCAACAAATTTAATACTTTATTAATTTGTTGGTAAATATTTCTCAAAAGTTTATGCCAAAGAGGATTGAAACAGAAAGGACAAATTTGATATTGAATATTATAAAATAGATTTTGGATTTAAGTATATAAAATTTTAGGTCAGGTATATCAGATGAATAATAAAATAACGGAATAACTGAAAAATTACTAGCGAAATGAATTTAATTGAATAATATTTCAACTGAATAATTGTAAAATATTGAAAAATTACTTTTAATAGATTAATCACATTTTGTTTTTTTTAAATTATGTTTTTAACATATTAGTGAAATCATGTTTTAAAAACATTAAAAACGTGAAAATATGATAAATAACATAAATAGTAAAAAATTACAAAACCAAATTTCCAAAACGTAAAAACGTGAAAAAGCTCATATCATTCAAACTTTCGTATCCTATACTGTACCAATAAAAAGTGATTTCATATTATATATTTTGGATTAAAGTTATAAAATTCTGATATTGAATATTTTATTTGATAGGCAAAAGGACCTTTTTACGAGGTACCAACCGGTCGAAGAGATGGTCAGCGTGCAGAAAAGAGTAACGCTGCGAACTTGCCAGATGTTGAAGATTCTTTAAGCATTTTGAAATCCAAATTCAGAGAAAAAGGGCTTTCGGACCAAGATCTTGTACTTCTTAGTGCTGGTACTTATCATAATCTCGACAACTTCTTGATTAAATACATTCTTGTTTTTAAAAAATATACATAAATTATTGTTGATTGAAATTTGTTTTTGTTTATAGGTGCACATACTATTGGTACAACAGCGTGTTTCTTTGTCATACCACGCTTAGATGCTCAAGATCACACCATAGATAAAGAATTCTTCAAAGTGTTGAGGTCAAAGTGTCCTAAAGGTGGCGATGTTAATGTCAGGATTCCATTAGATTGGGGAAGCCAGTTTGTGTTTGACGACCAAATCTTTCGGAACATCAAAAATGGCAAAGGAGTCATTCTATCGGACTCTGTTTTGTATCAAGACAATAATATGAAGAACATAATTGATTCGTATGTGGCAAGTAACCGGAGTTCGAAGACTAACTTCGCTGCGGATTTTGGTAAAGCCATGGTGAAGATGGGTGCCATTGGGGTGAAGATTGGTACTGAAGGAGAGATCAGACGCATATGCAATGCTACAAATTAGTTTCGATAAACGATATTATCTATTAAGTATCCTATGCCAAACTTAAAATTACAGGATTCTCAACCTTACACAGTAATACAAATATACATGATGTACGGTTGATCATCCATAAACTCTTTGAGTCACTTGTAGAATAACCGATGAGTCAAAACAAAAAAAAGTTTTGGCAAAATGCCTTAAACAACACGGAACGAAGTGGCTATCCTCTTGAGATCCTTGTAGTATCTCTTCCATTGAAGCCCTGTAGTACCAACACATTAAAGCAATCTAGTTGTGTGAAAAGCAAACCCAATAATGTTCAGCTGTGTCATAGAAGAGAGATTTTGACTGACCGTTTCCGGTGACACTGAACAAGTAAAGGCGGTTTCCGGCAGCTGTTGCGGTGATCAGTACATGAGGCGGCTCTAGCTCGAACTGGTAATAGAGCCTACCCTCGTGTTCTGCTACATTTGAACTCAACACTTTCCCTTCAACGTTTTCTCCAATAACTTCTGGTCCAAACGCGTTGATCACCTTCGCTGGTGGTCCAATATTTTCAATCTTAACGTCATCCCCAAGATCTGTTCGAACACATATTATGTAAGTGGAACACACAAAACTAATCCATCTACTAACACAACTAGACCAGACTGCAGATACCACTTACTATCTGCGAATCTTAGAACGGGAGCGACAATAACAGACAAGCGGCCTTCTTTAGGACTAGCAAATCTCAGGTCAATCTCGGTGCCACCAAGATCAGCGATCGATACAGGTACCTATTGATCATAAAAATTGGAAAAGAAAAGAAAAAGAGTCTCAAAAGATGATTTAAAGCATTGCAAGAAACAAAAGAGACAGGAACCTAGTCACAAGAACCTCATTCCAATCTTGAGGAACAGAGAAGGCGTAAGGGATAATAGGACTCCAGCCAACGCCATGCCCTCCTGACTTCTCGTCTGGTCTACGGTATGTTCTCCAACCTGTCTGAGAGACATTACAATTACATTTCACCAACCACTTGTACTAGCTACAACGTCCAAACTCCTATGACTATCTCTCAACATACAGAAAATGCTAATCTGCAATTTTTCAAGCAAACCAAGAAGGAATACGAAGAGAGAAACGAACCTTCATCATCGGGTTCTGAAAGACCAGGAACTCTCCCGGCGAGAAGACCCTGTTTCACGACGGCCAATACTTCCCCTGGAAACCCTAAAGCCGTCGAAGGGACCAACGAGAACCCAGCAGCCGTCGCCAGTACCGATCTTCTACTCAAAACCCTAGCACACCACTCGTCTTCTTCGTATTTTCGCGGGATCGATTTCGGTCTCGGAGCCTCACCGTCGATTCTGTGAAGAGCTGCGATTTTCTTGTGGTGGGGATGGCCGGAAAAGCTGACGCAGTACCGGAGCAGAGCTGTCTCCATCTTTCCCTCTGATTCCGAACCAGCGAATTCGAGAAATGGCGTTTGATCAACCAGGTGGTGGCTCATACCGCTCGACTTCGTTCGTGATAGATATGCATCATTTTCTAGCCTCACACGTGGCACCACCGTGTGATCTGAAGATGAAACTAAATATTTTCCTTCTTTTTTTTTCAATCCGTTTAGAAAAATCAAAATAAATAAATGTATGAGTGAAGCGGTTTGCAGTCACTGCTCTGTATATAAACAGAGACCGCTTCCAATAAAAGAGAGAGTTTTTTCCTCTGTTTTTTTTTTCTCTTTTCTAAGTATCTCCTTCTGGTTTTTGTGTACTTAGCTGCTCCGTTCTTGAAGTTTCTCAACAAAGGTAATATTCAGTCTCCATCTAAGCTAAAGAAAAAACCAAGCTTTTTTTATTTATTCATATCATCTACGAGAATCATCAAGAACAACAAGTCGACAGAGAAATTCTGCGGCATCCCCTTCCCAATGACTCTTCTCAACTGTCTCCTAACCCGCCTGATAAAATAACCTTTAACCTTTTTTCATAAACCTTAAAAATCATGTCTTTACTATGAATGCAGGATGTTTAATCAGTTTAGACAGTAGTGGAACAGGAGCAGTAATCGAAACAGTAGACTATTTTGTTCTTCCTTGTGTTTAATTGCTCCTGAGAAGGAGAAAGCTAAAATCTTTGGCATTTTCACATGCGTTGAGTGCACATGCCTCTTCTTGTTCCTCTGCGTGTTTCTCTGTAGAAACCTCATTGGGTGGGATCCATTTTGTTGCAGTAAGTAATAGTTCCATTTTTGTGACTTACTTGGGATGGAAGCAAAGCTTTTGTACTGAGCTTTATATTTGTTTCTTGCAACTGATAAGGCATAGGGAACAAGTCTGATAATTGCTGCAATATGTAAAGATTACTTTTGATGCCAAGAAAAGCAAAGACAAGTTGATATATGGAATTAGATGTTGTGATCGGTCCCAGTTTTGGATCTAAATCAGCTCTAACCACCAATCCTTGGTTCAATTTAGACCCCGGTTTACTATGATTCAAGATAAGACCGAGATAACCACGCGCTGTCTGATAAAATCCAAAGCGCGTGGGCTCTGTCTACGCAAACCTCATTATCCTTCGTTGATCAGCCTCGGTTTTGTCGTCTCTCCACTCTCCAATTAACGGCTCGATTACAGAGAAAGGAAAGACTTTTATCGAGCTTCCAAGAATGTCGATGCTAATGGCGGTCAAAACCACCCCCCTCTGCAGCAGCTTAAACCTCACGGGTTCACCCAGATTCCGACAGAACCCTCGTGGGGCCAAAATAGTGAATCCGACGGCGAGAATCCAGACACGTATCCATCGTCTGATTGAGGAACAAGGCATTGTCCTCATGCCTGGATGCTACGACGCCTTATCGGCCGCCATCGTAGAGAAGACCGGATTCTCCGCCGGTTTCATTTCCGGTTATGCCCTCTCCGCTTCTCTATTGGGAAAACCCGATTTCGGTTTGCTAACGTGCGCCGTCTCTCTCTCACATTCTATTTCCTTTCTTTCCTCTGAGAATAATTCGTTTTGTTTCTATGCTGTCGTTTTATTTGGTTTGTGTCTGTTTTGTCGTTTAGGCCGCCGGAGATGGCTGCGACGGCAAGGTCGGTGTGTGCGTCAGCTCCAAATATACCCATCATTGCAGATGCTGGTAAAGTTTCTAATTTGATAAAAGAAGTTACCAGAAAAAAGCAAGAAACATAGGAAAAGTTTGAATCTTGTTTGATTTGAATGAGAAATGAAATTCCAAATCTTTATCGGTTTATAGTTTCATAGCTCTTTTGAGAAAGGGGATTGCTTGGTTTAGCTCTTTATCTAATGAGATTATATATCTTTTTGATCTGTTTCAGACACTGGTGGAGGAAATGCGCTTAACGTTCAAAGAACGGTAAAGGATTTGATCGCAGCAGGTGCTGCTGGTTGCTTCCTTGAGGTATATTGCCTCTGGTTCTTTTGATGAATCTCTCTAATCTCAGAATTGATCAGATAAAGCCGTAGTTCATATAACATTTCTGTCGGGTTTTCTCCGTAGGACCAAGCATGGCCAAAGAAATGCGGTAAGTGTGACATCTTCTAAGTAATTTTTAATAGTCACTCTCAATAGACGACAACACATTGTTTATGATCTGAATGTTTTTTTTTGTGTTAGGTCATATGCGAGGCAAACAGGTTATATCTGCAGAAGAACATGCTGCCAAGATAGCATCAGCGAGAGACGCTATTGGAGATTCTGACTTCTTCCTTGTCGCAAGAACAGACGCACGTGCTACTTCTGCAAAATCAGGGCTTGAAGACGCCATCGCGCGTGTAAATCTCTACATGGAGGTACCACCAAATCATTATCAAGAAAATGAAAAAACAGAAATGGTGTCAAATTATAATAAACAAGAACTTGTTTGCAATCGTGAAGGCGGGAGCTGATGCTTCCTTTGTGGAGGCACCGAGAGACGATGAGGAGCTTAAAGAAATCGGAAAACGCACAAAGGGTTACAGAGTTTGCAACATGATTGAAGGAGGGGTCACGCCATTGCACACCCCTGAGGAGCTTAAAGAAATGGGCTTTCACTTGATTGTTCACCCGTTAACCGCGCTCTATGCATCGGCTCGAGCTCTGGTCGATGTTCTCAGGACCCTTAAAGAAAACGGAAGCACTCGGGATCACTTGCAAAAGATGGCTACTTTTGAGGAATTCAATAGTTTGGTGGATTTAGAGTCATGGTTTGAGCTTGAAGCTAGATACTCAAACCTTAGGAACGCTCTTGGGACAACCAAACCATGAAGAGGTGGCTACTACAGAGACAAGTTTTTTTTTTTTCAAATCTCTCAACCTCTTTTTGTTAGCTATTTTTTTTGAGACGATTATTTGAGCAATTGTCTCATGAATAAATGTAACTTTTGCTGACACTGTGAACGTTATTGGTTGTTTTGCACACAATTAGGTTGCTTAATGTGTTGGTATTACAGGGCTTCAATGGAAGAGATACTACGAGGATCTCAAGAGGATAGCTACTTCGTTCCGTGTTGTTTAAGGCATTTGCCAAAACTTTTTTTTTGTTTTGACTCATCGGTTCTTCTACAAGTGACTCGGGAATTTATGGATGATCAATCGTACATAATGTATAATTGTATTAGTTTTTTTTTTAAAAAAAAAAAAATATAATTGTATTAGTTACTCTATATAACGTTGAGAATCCTGAAAATTTTACAGTAAACCAAATACAAGCAGACAAGCAGTAAACTAAGTATGGAGCCTCTTTTCTTTTCGCTGATATTTTTAGATTCAAAAGTATGGAGCCAAAGACTTTATTTATAATAGCTCAATGTTTAACACTTTAAAGAATTCCGGATTTATCGTAGGATATAAAACATCTAAATGTAAAACATTAAGTATAAAATCCAACTCAAACATAATAAGTTTAGTTTTTTTAAGAAGTAAAAAAAAAAAAAAACCAAAACAAATGAGAAATCAGAAGAAAATATAAGGTAAAAATAAGAAAAAGATAGGTAAATATATGTAAAATATTTTGATAAAAATAAATATTATATATTAGAAAACCAACTACTGTAGACTAAAAGACTAATAATACCTTAGAGAAACTAATCATCATTAGAAAACAAAATTGATTATAGGAAAATGTATTATATAATGATAAGCCCAGCAGACCCAAAACCAAAAAAATATCATACACATGTTGAATCATAAATCTATGATGAGTTGATGGAGATATCATGGAGATATATAATAGTTGATAAGGCAAACATGGCTTTGTAGATTAAATATTTTAGGCCACATCAACGTTTCGGGGTATCAATTTGCTGTAGAAGGATTGATGCATCACATCCCTAAATTATCAAAGATGTCAGAACAGAGATTACTCTGGTTTTTAAATTACCTTGAAAAAATGGAATTACGACGACTAACCTTGACAAAGCAGTCATGGAACTGCAATCAGAACAGTAGGGCTGTCAACTTAATGCGCTGAAACTTTTCCTGTTTAGTTAAAAATTTTCTATAAATTTATATTTATACTCTCTTCTCAGTTCTAGTAACAGATGGAACGTCAAAATCATGGAGTTAATTAAGTTCTATCTGAATGAACGTAAAATTATATAATACATTGAACAAATACAAAATAAGGTAGAGTACAACCATGAAACATAATTAAGATAAGATAAAACATAGCTGTCAAATGAAAGGTAAACGAGCTATATAGTATTATGTAAGAAAATATTAGGAAATTAATTTTTAAAAATTACAAAAAACATAAAAAGTAGAACAGATATCTAGCCTACATTGGAAACTTTGTCCGAGGTGTATTTTGTGTTTCAGAAATATTTTAAAAACCAAAATTCTCAAAAATTTGTTGGAAATACAAAAAAACCGTGTTTCCTAAAAATTGCAGTTTGGAAACACGATTGAAACACTCGTATCTATTTTGAAAAGACGATAGAAACTTACTTTTATTTAACTTTTGGCGTCGTGAAGAAAAAACCGTATTTTCCAATTCCAAAATGAACAACGCCCTGAGCCGAGAAAAACAAAAGTGGTCTTCCATATTGTAAAATCATAAATCGGGTTGTTGGGCTTAGGCCCAAAGGTAAGTGAAGCCCAGGAAAGGGTTTTGTGTGTGTCGTCTCTGTTCGTTAAACCCTAAACTAGTTAAACCCTAATTTTTGGGATCCTTTGCAGTCGTCGCATAATCTGCAATTCCTCAGAATCGGCTGTGATCTCCGGTAACCCAGTTTCACCATGGTTGCAGAAAACGGGTTCCTTGTGAGCTCAGTTACTGAGCTCCACCGCAAAGAGAAACAGAAGAAGAAAGGCAAATCCGGAGGATTCGAGTCTCTAAACCTCGGCCCCAATGTCTTCAATGCAATCAAGAAGAAAGGTTACAAAGTCCCTACACCTATCCAGCGGAAGACGATGCCTCTCATTCTCTCCGGCGTCGACGTCGTCGCCATGGCGCGAACCGGTTCCGGTAAAACCGCCGCTTTCCTCATCCCTATGCTGGAGAAGCTCAAACAACACGTGCCTCAGGGAGGCGTTAGGGCGCTTATCCTATCGCCTACTCGCGACTTGGCCGAGCAGACTATGAAGTTCGCTAAGGAACTCGGAAAGTTTACAGGTTTGATTGATTCATTCATCTGAGCAATTCAATTAACATTTGGTTTCAATTGCCTTATAAACACCTTTTGATTCGTTTGTTGTATCAGATCTTCGTGTTGCCTTACTCGTTGGTGGTGATAGCATGCAACTCCAGTTCGAGGAGTTAACAAAGAGCCCCGATGTCATCATCGCGACGCCTGGGAGGCTTATGCATCTTCTCGATGAGGTTGACGACATGTCGCTTAGGACTGTAGAGTATGTGGTCTTCGATGAAGCAGACAGTCTCTTTGGTATGGGTTTCGCCGAGCAGCTGCATCAGATTCTTGCAAAGCTAAGCGAGAACAGGCAGACTCTGCTCTTCAGTGCCACTTTACCAAGTGCCCTTGCAGAGTTTGCAAAGGCTGGTTTGCGTGAGCCTCAGCTTGTTAGGTTAGACGTTGAGAACAAGATAAGCCCTGACTTGACGCTCTCGTTTCTGACCTTACGACCCGAAGAGAAGTACGCTGCGTTGATATACTTGGTGAGGGAGCATATACGCTCGGATGAACAGACGTTGATCTTTGTCTCGACGAAGCATCACGTGGAGTTCGTCAACTCGCTGTTCAAGCTGGAGAACATCGAGCCGTCTGTGTGTTATGGTGATATGGACCAAGACGCGCGCAAGATTCATGTGTCGAGGTTCAGAGCGAGGAAGACGATGTTGTTGATTGTGACGGATATTGCTGCTAGAGGTATCGACATACCGTTGCTTGATAATGTTATAAACTTTGATTTCCCTCCGAGACCGAAGATCTTTGTCCATCGTGTCGGAAGAGCCGCTAGGGCTGGTCGTACGGGTTGTGCTTATTCCTTTGTTACGCCTGAGGATATGCCGTATATGTTGGATCTTCATCTGTTCCTCTCGAAACCGATCAGGCCTGCACCCACTGAGGACGAGGTGTTGAAGAACATGGAAGAAGTAATGAACAGAACTAGTCAAGCGATTGATAGTGGAGTCACTGTTTACGGACGTTTCCCTCAGAAAACCATCGATCTTGTTTTTAATAAACTCCAAGAGATGATTGATTCGTCTGCAGAGTTGGATTCCCTTGAGAGAACATCCACAAAAGCTTTTCGCTTGTATACAAAAACGAAACCTTCACCGTCAAAAGAGTCCATTAGGAGAGCAAAGGATTTACCCCGAGAAGGCTTGCATCCCATCTTCAAAAGCATAATCGAAGGCGGGGAATTAGAGGCAATGGCGTTTTTTCAGAAAATTAAAAACTTCAGGTGAGTAGTATATAATTATTGTTCAACAAACCAGACTTGAAGATGGTCTCTCCGTGTGTAATTTTAACACCATTATTATTAAATTATAATGATGGTTGATCTGTGATAGACCGAAGCAGACCATACTTGAAGCAGAAGGTGAAGCTGCCAAATCCAAAAACGTGAAGGTGATTGTTACTTTTCTAGCCATGTTTTCTTTTGACTGTATACTATTTATATGATCATATCATCGCTTTCGAAAACCTCTACCTGGCTTGTGTTTCACTTGTAGCCGAAGCCATAATGTGTTGGTTCTTGTGCAGGGTCAGCTATGGGTCGATGTGATGAAGAAGAAAAGGGCCATTCATGAGGAGATCATTAATACGAGACATCAGCAAAGTCAGAAGAGTTCTAATAATCATTTGGAGATGGTAATCTTGTACAATTTCTAATATCAAGTTTTGACTTACTCATTTATCTTCCATAAGTTTCACTCACATAAGTGTTTGAATATCTAGGAAGCTGAACCTACTACCAGTTTTATTGAGGACAAGATAATAGGAAGCAAAGGTATACATGCCTGCTTGTTCCTTTAGTTCGGTGTAAAAAGCCTTTTCTTGGTTGATCTTTTAAATAGTTTTATCTGTGGTGCTTGGTCGGTCTTTCACTTCTTTGGTTGGCTAGCTTCAAATAAACTCTCCGTTGATTTCAGTTGGCAGTAAGAAAAGGACGGCACAACAAAGCTTCAAGGACGAAGACTTCTATATCAGCTCTATACCTGTAAATCATGTATGTTTTTTTCCGTGAAGTAGAACATTTTTCTTTGTCATACGCATTAGCTATCAAAGCTACAATGCTGATGATCGTTTTGTTTATTCTACTGATATTGAGATGACGCAGAGTTTGACAATTTGTTGCTCTTATACACGCAGCATTCAGAGGCAGGGCTATCTGTGAGGGGTAATGAAGGATTTGGATCAAATAGGTATAAAAAGATTTTCATGGGACTTTTTGTTGCATTCAAATCTTGTAATTCTTCTTTCTGTCTGATATTGACATGCCTTATGTCCTTATTTCGGATTGTAGGTTGGACGCTGCTGTTCTAGATCTAGTTGCAGATGATGGCCAGGGCATGAAGCAGCAAAAAACAAATTATCACTGGGACAAGGTAAAAAGATTTAAAGATTACATCATAACAATGGCCCAAAACCGTAATCTTATTTTTTTCTAAAGTGGATTTGTCTTTGGTGACAGAAAAGTAAGAAGTACATCAAGTTGAACAATGGAGATCGCGTTACAGCCAGTGGAAAGGTACAAGTAGTACCGTAATTACACTTATGGTTAAAGAATGTGTGAGATGATTCTGAGAAATGCTTTGAGCTGACTTAAGTCTCTTGTAACTAAATAGATAAAAACAGAAAGTGGAGCTAAAGTGAGAGCAAACAAGACAGGGATATACAAGAAATGGAAAGAGAACACTCACCAGAAAGTATTCGGGCGAGAAGATGGCGATGCAGACGATACGACAAGCATGTCAGGTACATATGGTTAAAAAATATTCCCATCCAAGTTCGTCGTTTTGACAGCTCGATTCGTCAATAGGTCTAAAGAGGAACTTGGCAGGTAGAAATGGCCGAGGCGGCAGAAATGGGAAAAGAGGGCAAGGTTCAGTGCCTAACGCGCATGTGCGTTCAGAGATCAAAGATCTGGAGCAGGTGCGTAAGGAGAGGCAGGAAAAGGCGAGCAAGAGAGGTGGTGGGACCAGGGGAGGTCGTGGAGGTCGGGGAAGAAGTGGTGGGACCAAGGGAGGTCGGGGAAGAGGTGGTGGCAGTAGAGATTCTGGTGGTGGCGGTAGAGATTTTGGTGGTGGTAGTAGGGAATTTGGTAGTGGAAGCGGGAGGGACTTTGCCGGTAGAAGCAGTAGAGGCGGTGGTGGAAGCAGTAGAGGCCGTGGTGGAAGCAGTAGAGGCGGTGGTGGAAGCAGCAGAGGCCGCGGTGGAAGCAGTAGAGGCGGTGGAAGCAGTAGAGGGCGTGGTGGAAGCAGTAGAGGCCGTGGTGGAAGAGGAGGAGCAAGATAGCCGTGAAGACTCTATTGACGAATTAAGTAGAGTCGTCAAAACTTTTGAGCTTAGGCAACTATTTATTGTTAAAATGTTTTGTCACCCAAATGTTTTGACACTTTATGTTCTTGTTTTTTGATTTTCTCAAATTATTTTTTGCGTCTATTCTATTTATTAAACCAGAACAAGATGAATACATCCATTTGTTCACTATCCTACTGACGCTAATTGACAAATGTCTTCGCAGCTTAAAAATTAAGCTGTAAGACATGTGAGTAAATAAGTATATAGTTAGAAGTAAGACAACAAGGTTCTATGGTGTAGTGGTTAGCACTCTGGACTTTGAATCCAGCGACCTGGGTTCGACTCCCGGTAGGACCTATTGCTTCTTTTTGGTTATATTTTCCCTATAGCTAGGTGGTATCGGATGAATCATCACGTTCTTTTTCTTTCAATCTTTAAAAATCCAGAAAAGAAATGGTTGCTTGATTAATAATAATAATGTCAACAATCATATTATAAGGAAATGGAATAATCAAAAAGGAGGCATGAGATGAATGAATGATATAAAGCACTAAGTGGACAGTTAAAAAGAGAGAGTGAAAGTGAATCTCCCGCTAAAAAGCGGCGCAATCAAAAAGTTGCATAACTGTAAAGACATCTCTTTTTTTTGCTTCTTCAAGCAGATCACACCTTCTCTTCTCTTGTGTCAACTTCTTCTTCCCCACATCTCCTAAAAGTTTCTTCACACACAGGACCAAACCAAACCTTTCTTTTCTTATCTACCACCAAAATTACATCTTTTGTTTTGTATAACTTGCTTTGATCCGATCATGGTGAAGGAAACAGTCTACTATGATGTTCTTGGTGTCACTCCCTCTGCTTCTGAGGAAGATATTCGCAAGGCTTACTACATCAAGGTTTGGTTTTTTCTTCTAACATATCTTCTAGAGTTGTCATAGATCTGTTTGAATTGTCTCTGTTTTCGGAGGACTGATTCTTAAATCTCTAGGCAAGACAAGTTCATCCTGATAAGAATCCAGGCGATCCTCTGGCTGCTGAGAAGTTTCAGGCAAGTTCTTTTTTTTTTTCAAAATGTCATCCATTTTCTTGTTTTCACCTTTCGTTCTGTCAAAACAAAAGCTTTCTCTTTGGGGACAGGTTTTAGGTGAAGCTTACCAGGTCCTGAGTGATCCTGTTCATCGTGAAGCGTATGATCGGACAGGAAAATTCTCAGCTCCCAAGTAATGTTTTCTTTCTTTTTTTTTCTCCTTTTTGAGTAATAAAAATGTGTTTCTCTCTTCCTTCTCTGAGAATCATTAATGGTTTTGATTACTCAGAGAGACAATGGTTGATCCAACGGCTGTTTTCGCTCTTCTCTTTGGAAGTGAGCTATTTGAGGATTATATTGGTCACTTGGCTGTTGCATCAATGGCTTCCACTCAAATGGCCTCTGAAATCGAAAACCCTGATCAGATTCATGACAAACTAAAGGCAAATCTAAATCATATGTTATAAACTATATCCATCTTCTCATGTAAATCTTACATAAAAGAAAGATCATTTAATTTATTTTTTTGGCAGGCTGTTCAGAGAGAAAGAGAAGAAAACCTTGCGAGGTTTCTCAAAGATTTCCTAAACCAATACGTTCATGGAGACAAAGAAGGTTTCATACACCGTGCTGAATCTGAAGCCAAGAGACTCTCAGATGCAGGCATTGTCTTCTTCCTTTAGTGTGATTCACTTGTTCATTTCACATTCGCATTCTGATTAGAGATGTAATGAATGAATTTTGTTTTTAAAAAAAAAAAGCTTTTGGAGCGGATATGCTGCATACAATTGGATATGTATACACAAGACAAGCAGCTCAAGAACTTGGGAAGAGAGCTCTTTACTTGGGAGTTCCTTTTGTAGCTGAATGGGTTAGGAACAAAGGGCATTCTTGGAAATCACAGATCAGTGCAGCCAAAGGTGCTTTTCAGTTACTTCAGCTGCAAGAAGAGAGTAACCGGAGATTCAAGAAAGACGGGACTGGTCCGGCGAATGACCTGGAGTCTCATATTCAGACAAACAAAGAAACTCTGATGGGATCTCTGTGGAAACTAAACGTGGTTGACATTGAAGTAACTCTGTTGCATGTGTGTCAGATGGTGAGTGATCTTTTGGATCTTCTGTTTGCTTATATTTGTTGGATCTCAAGACACAATAAAACAAACTGGTTTAGGTATTGCGCGAGAACAATTTGAGAAAAGAGGAGCTTAAATCTCGAGCAATGGCTCTCAAGATTCTTGGCAAGATTTTCCAGGTTTTTTCAATAACATAATCATATATCACATGATCTGGATCTGTTTTATTGTGTTCTCGTGCTGATTCAAGATTGTTGTGGTTTCTGCAGCAAGAAAAGCAATCGAGGAACGGTACTACATCAAGAAGAGCAGATGAAGACAGCAGTGACGACGATGACAGTAGCAGCGATGACGATTCTTCACAACCACTTTCGTACAGAACTCCACTGCTCACTCAGGTGAGTTCTGTCTTTCAAGTCAATTCTAAAATGATACTGTAGATAGAATAAACAGAGATTTAGATTCTTGACTGCACTTTTCAACAGGGGATTGGTAGACTCTTCAGATGTCTCTGCAATCCAGCATTTGATGTAGACGATGATGAAATTGTATACAAAGGCAAATGATCCAAACACCACACATTCTCATTGCAATCGATGGTCTCACTCTCACATGTGAATGTGTGATGCAGCCACTAAGTTACTTTATTCTTTTTATATATAGTATATTTTGTAATGATGATGATTTGATGGATCAAACTTTAACAAATTGTTGAAATAATTCCAAAAGTAAAGAAAAGAATATCCACTATTTGTAATCATTACAAGATTGCTATTATGTGTTGTCAACAATCATCAACCACCATAAGGGCCAAAGAATAAATAAATGGGTGTTAAAATGGAATTACGTATGTTCATTGTGTATTGGTGTAAACACTCAAAACTGAGAGAGTATTCAACAATCAGCCCAACTAGAACCTGGATTCTTCTTCACATGCTTCTCTCTCATCAGGTTTCTTACAAGAGCAGAGCTTTCCCAATCTCCAGAGGATGCAAATATGGCAGACAGCTGCACATAAGCAACTGGGTTCTCAGGTTCGAGCTCTATAATCTTCTCAGCAGCTTTCTTTCCCATGGCTTTATATCCATTTGCTACACATCCTCTTAGAACAGATGACCACATGCTCGTATCCGCATCAAAAGGCATCTCTTCCACAAGAGCTATGGCTTCTTCAAGATAACCAGCACGAGCCAAAAGATCGACCATACATGAAAAGTGTTCTCTGTCTGGCACAAAACCATTATCCAACTTCATTGCCTCAAACAATTTCTTTCCCTCTTCCACTAAACCACAGTGATTACACGCTGCTAGAACACTCGTAAAGGTTCTCTGAGTGGGTCTTATACCAGCAACATTCATTTTCTTGAACAAGTCAATCGCTTCAAATCCATGACCATTCCTAGCATATCCTGATATCATCGAGTTCCATGGTACTTCATCTGATTTGACCATTGTGTCAAATACTCTCCTGCCATGCTCCACGGATCCACACTTGCAGTAGAGATCAATGAGAGAGGATGATACTACTTGATCAGAGTCGAGACCAACAATCGTAGCCCTCGCAAAAGCCTGCTCACCGAGTTCAAGAAACGAAATGCTTGCACACGCACTAATGACACTGGAGAGGCTAACCTCATCCGTCGGCAAATCCAGCTGTTGCATTTGGCGGAAGTACTCGAAACATTCAACGGGAGAACCATTCTGACTGAACTTGTTGGTCATCGAGTTCCAAGATCTCAAGCTCTTATTTTCAATTCTCTCAAATACCCTTTTCGCATCTTCAACTCTTCCACAGCTGAAATGCACCTTGATCATACAGTTCAGCAAGGCAGTGTCATAGGTTTTGACCTCGCCGAAAGGTTTGCAAGCTTCCATGGGGCTTCCACACGTTGAGTACATGTCAAGCAATGTGCTAGCTACAACAATGTCGTCGATCAACCCCAGTTTACAACCATGGCCGTGCATTTGTTTACCAGTCTCAAGGAGCCCTAAATTGCGGCAAGCTTTTATAACAGATATCATCGTAGAAGAATCTTCCCGAGCTTCATTCCTCATCTCACTGAAAAGAAGCAATGCCTGCATTTCCATATTGTTGGCGACATACCCCGTAATCATAGAGTCCCACAGAAAGACGCATCTGTTACTTCTCCTATCGAAAAGTCTTCTAGACTCACTCACTTTCCCACAAGTTGCATACATTGTAACCAAAGAACAATACATTTTCGATTCATACTCAACACCGTCGATAAGAATCCGAGCATGTATCTGCTTCCCGCATTTCAAAGCTCCCAACTAAGCACAAGCCTTGAGAAGTGTCGTCATTAAGATCACATCAGCGCTTAGTTGCAAGTCTTCAAACAGCTTCACAGCTTCCTGGGCATAACCGTTTCGGATGTATCCATGAAGCAGAGAGTTCAACGTCACACCATCTTTTTCCGGCATGGCATCGAACAACCTCCTGGCAACACCAAGCTCACCGGCCTTAGCGAACCCGGAAACAACCACGTTCCAAGAGTATCCATCTCTCTCCGGCATCATATCAAACAGCTTCAAAGAGCTCCCTTTATCCCCTGAATTCATGTACCCTTCGATCATCGTGTTCCAGGAGAAACAGTTTCTCTCAGGCATTTCGTCGAACAAGTTCCGCGCGTTTCCCACTCTGCCGCACCGAGAGTGAATGAGAAGGAGATGATTAGCGACAATAACAATTGAACTAATGAAACCCTTCTTGAGGAACAATCCATGGGTTTGTCTCCATAGAGTCTCGCGATTTCTGTTGCTGCAGGACTGAAGAAGACTGACGTAATGACGCCGATAATCTCCTTCCATGGCTGGAGAAAAGTACCAAACTTTAACGGCTCATAAATTTTTGATTTTTGGAGAAAATGAGGTGTGGAAAAGAAAGAGACCAAGAAACAAACAAAAAAAGAGACAACTTTATCTAGTCTCAACAAGAAGTCCACAGAAAGAGTAAATCTTTGGTTGGTCTTTGCACAATAAGAATGGGAGGAAAACTATTACAGAACCTGCAATTTCAAAGCCAATTCAAACACCAATGGAAGCAGAAGTAGAGGCAGTTCGCTTGCCTTGTCACTGATCTTTGTAAATTAGTGTACACGAATGTCTCTTTCTGTGGGTGATCTCAAGTTCGTTTATGCAAAAAAAAAAAAGATATGTATATATATATTCTTGATTGAACATTTACACAAGATTCTCTGCAATCCAGCATTCAGTGATAGAGTTGTTGTATACAAAGTCAATAAGACATGTGAATGTGATGCAGTCTCTTCTTATTTCTGAGTTATTTCGTTATGTGATGATGATGACTGATGGATCAAACTTAACAAATTGTATTTTTGCAGTCATTTCAAGGTTGCTATAATGATGTAAAAATCTTGAGATTGCATGATCAAAGGCGGGAAGAAAAACTCAAAGCAGACAAGCTTTATGAACCCTAAGCCTTATATGTACACATACCATGGAGAGACGTCCCTCTGGCTCACACTGTCACTGGTTCAATGAGCCGGGTGAGGGAAAGCCGTGTGGGTGTGGGTGCGGTGAGGCTGGAGGATGCAGGCACAGTGAACCGATGTTAAATTCAGACAACCGCTCATGACTAGCGAATGCCTGCCTGAACAAGTGTGGAGCGCAGGGAACGTATCGCAGACCGCTTGAACCGCCGAAGGTGTGAGGTAAGTGCATTGGCTAATGTTGAGGTTTCTCAGTCCTTCTTCATCGAATTTGCCTTTCTTGACCGTTCGCCACCTCTCGTGCTTGTTCTTCACTCCGCTCTGAGCCAGCGAGTACATGGCTCTGTCCGTGATGTTCCTGCAGTAGTACAAACCCAATGACCTCAAATGTACACACCGGTTCGCCAAAGCCACCACACTCTCATCTGCAACAACAACAAATGTTAAAGAAAGCTCTGACTCCAGGTTCTGTAAAGTCTTAAACTTAATGAGGTTTACCTGTAATTAGAACACAGCCACAGAGATCAAGGCTTCTTAGATCAGGACAGCCATTGGCTAAACTCAGGACTCCATCATCACTTATGCTCTCACACCATCCCAAGTTCAGTGACTGCATCTGGTTGCAGTTTTCTCCAATAGCCTGCATAAGTTTTCCGATCGTTGTTTCGGTTATCGACACAGAGAAAACAGAAGGCTGATGATATGGAGAGAGAGAGTTGAATGTTCAAAAGGCACCTGCAATGCATTGTCAGATACAGCTCCCACACAGCCACAGAGATTCAGAATCTTGAGTTTCCGGCAAAACCTTGTCAGGTACGCGAGAGCAGTGTCGCTGAACGAAGTGCAGCCGCTAAGGTTGAGTTTAGTGAGGTTAGTGCAACCGCGAGCCAGAGAGTAGAGGGAACGGTCAGTGAGTTTCAAGCTTTTGCTTAGGTCAAGATCTTGTAGCTCTCGGCAGTGGTTTGCGACGGCTTCCACTGCGTTGTCCTCAAGTTGCGGATTGTCCTGTCGCAGTACTAAAGTCTGAAGCTTTACGATTTTGGGAGCAAGAGACAGAAGCAAACTGTTCATGTTCTTCTTGCACCTGAAAGAACAAACACGTCAAACATAAAAGCAAACAACAGAATCTGATCAATCATATACAAATTGGGATCTTGAAACTGTAACCATCATCAAGAAACTGTCCACACAACAGAATCTGATCCACCATCACACACAAAAATATATGTAGATTCCTTCATTTACTTGATCCTATCAATTTTATTCAAAATCCAGTCTAATAACCAACATAACTCTCTCTTTTTTCACATATCAGTATCTACTAATTCAAACATCATATACAATCAATCACATAAGACACACAAACAACGAACCAGAGACAAAAGAAGAAGAGGCTATGCATACCAAGAGAGAGAGAGACGAGTGAGGCCAAAGGAAGTAGCATCTCTCCAGCCACTGCAGACACCAGAGGCAGTGATCACCGTCCGATCATCTACAAGGTTAAGGATCCTCATCAGAAGCTCCACGGGAATATCTTTCCACTCAGTGATCACGACTCCTTCCATTTTCATCTCCTTCATCTTCTCGAAGCATCGGTCAATTTCCATTGTTGTTGCTCCTCCTTCACTCACCATCTTTCAAAGTGCTTTATGCGGTTTCTTGATTCTACCACCACAAAGAAAATTGAAGATTAGAGAAAACTGAAAGATTAGAGAGAGAGAAAGAAAAATGAGTAAATATCTTTCTCAATTAGAACCTCGAAAGACGACAAAATGTAGGAAACTAAACAACGCAGTAAAACATTGATGTCTCTGCGTAACTCTTTTTGACATAAATAACAAAAGTTCAAATTTTTTTCTTTAGCTGGCTAGATTTTTCCAGAAAGTGGATGAATTAACGTGAATTATCTATAATTGCAATAAAAAGGACAAAAATTAAAGAGAATTTCGATTGACTAAGCGTAGGACCAGATGATTTTTTTTACTCACTTCGTTTTCTGTGCAGCAAAAACATAAATCTTCTCACTTGAGAAAATAAAAGATTGAAACTTTTGGACATTCCGATCATACCTCTGAATTAGTGTTCTTCGTGCCTCTCTTTCTGGGTTTTCTCTTCTTTCGAATTATTAAAAATCTGTAATTTTCCTTGACCTTTTTAGCTCTTTGAAGTAATTAAAAAACCGTGGACACTCGTGAGGTTTGATAACGAGAGGGAGAGAGAAAGTTAAAAAGAAAGGAGTTTGTATATCAAAGGGAAAGAGGCAAGAGCAAACGTACGGGTTATGTAATATGACACGTGGTACGCCAATCGACCGGTAATACATTACTCTGATTATAATATCCCAAAAAAACGAATTCTCTTCTTCAATTCCATAAACACAGTTGTAGTATGATAAATGATAATAGTTGTTGTAATAATATTATATAGTTACACGAAAATTTCGGAAAACACACAACATAAGATATAAATCTAATTAATAATGATTAGAAAATAGTTAAGGGAAAAGTAGAGAACTTTGTATACGATTAAAATCGGAGGAGCCGAGTCGCAAAATGAAATTTTTCGTCTTTTGTTATTTACTGTTTTCATACATCACTTCTCCTCTCCTATATAAAATTGTTCATACATCCATCTAAAAGTTAATTACCATAAAAAAAAGTAACCTTAAGAAAGATAAGATCCATATAACTAAAAACAGAAAAATGAGATTCGTATAAAAACCGAAGGAAAAAATAAAATGCAACTCGTAAGAACTACAAAAATGCTCCTTGGGGCTCACGAGGCCTTTGGGTTGGTGGGCACGTTTTTTTTTTTTTTTTTTTTTGTTATAACGACACATGATTGGTTCTATAATTAGTTACACGTTTTGCTACTAACCAAGTTACCGTAAGTTCGAATTATTTTAATTAGTCGACGGTGATACATCAATGATAATCACTGTGTTACATATTCTAGTTGATTAATCGAAATTAAAAATAAACCTTTCTTGGATATTATTTTTACTATTATGAAAGTTATCTGACCGTTCGAAAGAGGTTTTAATGAATACATCATCTTTCGACATGTCAACCGAAAGATAATGAAAATATGTATTGTCATATCTTTAAGAATTCGCCGGTTTGTTTTGTTTGTATGCTCACATACAGAGCCGTGCCTTATATGTAATTAAAAAGGCATTTGCTTCATGTTTGAACATATATATAATTTAGAAGCTGCCAACTTTTAAAAATACCATCTACCAAAATGGTTTTATTGTTGGAATATCTCTTATAGAAATTCAAGCTCCACATGCATGTTAAGATTTTATTTTTTAATATAGTTTTTGAAAAGAAAAAATCTAACTTCCAAGTTCCAAATCAGGAAAAAAAAATCTGAATCCTAAATATATTTCTTTCGCTAATTAGTTTATTTTTTCTATTATTTTGCACATATTTCTTTTATTTTTTATTTATTTAAAGAAACAAACATGATTCAATAGTTTCAAAATTTTTATTAGCTATCGACAATAACATATTTATTTATTTATAGTAATGCTTAGATAATATTTAAAATAATAATAATAAACTTAGATTATATTTGAGTTTATATTAAAAATTAAAACTAGATTATATTTACTATAAAAGTTTATATTAACAATTAATTTTTAAATTTGCCTCACCCCCTATTGAACCTAGGCACGGCACTGCTCACATAATATATAAAATTTTCTTCAAGAACAGATATATTTAAAAGGCACTACTAGCATTATTATTATTAACCTGGATGTTAATAATAAAATGTATGGTTGAGAGAAAAGAAGAAAAACATAACATTGTATAGTTTGATTGTTTCCGCGGGAACGAGTTCATGTTTAGGAGGGTCACGCAACGAGTTTTAAAATTTAAAAAAACATGGACAAATTATGGAGGAAGTAATAATATTATAAGAAAGGACATGGAAACAGCAAGTCGTTTACTTTTTCCCGGTTTCGTGCATGTGTAGAGAGAGCTAGCCTAGCTGTTAGCCTTATCCGAGGCCGCACTCCATGCCGTTTTCTTTTATTGCTTTACGACTTTCTCACATCTCTACTCTCCCATTAGCCTTTCCTCAACTCAAGGGCCTATTTTAAGCCAAATTCAGCCTTCTTTTATCAATTTCATAAATTGAAAAAATTACGCTTACTATTTATTTTCAACATAGGTTAGGTTCCCTAAAAATAATCCACATATATAATATAATATACAACTTTTAAATCTTAAAAAAAAGAAACATGGAGATTATACATTTGCCCAAAGATGATAAGATCACAAGAAGGATTGAGTTTCATACACAAAAGTAAAACCTTTTCAATAGGAAAAGTTGCATATTATTCTATTATAGACATGTTCAAACGGTGGCATTTCACGGCCATACTATGACTATAACTGGAAACCCGGTTTTGGTTCGGTTTGATTTCGGGTTACCACCAAAATCCCTGACCAAAGTCAAAACACCCTCTAGACCTTCTAGATCACATAATACACATTTTACAGTACATTTTTTTATCCACACAATGAAACTGATTGATAAGTTACCTTTTCTCTCAAGGCAAAAACTTCTCCAGCAAATTCCCAAAGAAGAAACTGGTTTTGGCCCATCCTCCTCCTGTACCGGCTTGACCTTCTTCTTTCCATCTTCTGCTTGGAACCTTGTTCTTGAAGTTAATCATCATACTGTGTCCGATCTCTCCGCGTAACGCCTCGATTGTCTTCACGTCCACTGGGTTCCCTGAAGCATCCCTCACATAGAAAACGTTTACCGCTTGTTCTCCTACTGTTGTCACACCAGCTCTTGTCACTGAAAGCCCGTGCTCTCTCAGAATCCTAGTTACTTCCGACAGTAATCCAACTCTGTCCTTTGCGCAGAGCTCCAAACTCCAACCCTACAATTGAATTTCAGAACATAACCTAAACCATTCGTTGCTTCTAGTGCAAGAAACACCAAATAAATATGCGTGGGGTTGACTTACCTCGCTGACTCTTCTATGGATTGCGGCTTCTAGACATTTGATAACTCTCTCTTTCTCTCCTTCGGAGTCAAGTGTGCAACCGTCTTTGTGTCTGATGAAATACTCCTGAGAGGCATGAGGACCGTTGGATGAAATCGTGGCGTGAAACACAATGTACTGCATATCCGTAAGCGTGCATACAATGTCGAACATGAGCTTAGCCCTGTCCTCGCAGCTCACGCTTATCACGGAGTAACCTTTCTCTTCGCAATGCTCAACCGTGATCTTGGGCCCGAGTCCAAGAGAAGCAGAACCATCAAGCTTAGTCACTGCTTCGTAGTCTCTATCAGCGAAAAGCATCTGATGCAGCCTACGGTCAACGTGAGTCGACCCAATGGAGAGACTCGTCCGAGCAACTTTCTCATCTTCCTGTTCACAACCACGCAGCACAAGGTTGAGCTGTTCTTCCATGGCAGACAATCTTTCTGGGTCATCCACGGCTCTAGACGTTTCGTTGTCATTCACATAGAGAACACATGCGATCCTACGGTTATGAGTCCATGCTTCAGCTGCCACCACATTGAAGTGGAGGTCTGCTAATACGGCTGAGATCTCAGACAAGAGACCAGGACGATCACGCGCAATAATCTCGATCGATGTGTGTTCCCCTAACGAATGGACACCGACTCTTTTACCTGGCCATGTGTTTTGTGAAGCCGAAGCATGACTCTTTGGTCCTAACACCTTTTGCAAAAAAAAATAAGAATCAGACTGTGATTTCCAATTGCATACATTATACAAACCATACACTACAGTATATATAATTAAAAAAAAAACAGCTTTTTAGTGATATACCTTTTCGATGTAATCAATGGTCTTGCTATCAGTAACCTTGTTTCCTTGTTGGTCAGTGACATGGAATACTATAAAGATGTGAAACATGGAATCAATGCGAGATGTTTTGTTGACACTGAAAGAATATGTAGTGAATGGAACAAAGTGTGCAATTATTACCGTCCATGAACCATCCACCATCAGAAGAAATATATGCTTTGCTGATCGTGAGATCAAGATCGGTCAGGACTTGCACAACTTCCAGTAGTATTCCAGGTTTGTTCATACTGTCAACCTAATAAGTAACAGTCTCAGAGGCATCAAATATCAGTTAACAAGTCACCAAAATTGACTAATCCGAGAAAGAAGAGCTTACCTTGACAAGAGTACATTCTTTGCAGCTAGTGTTGTCAATGGAAACACTGCAACAACAGCAACATTAGTGAGTATTCTTAAATGAAACAGACGAAATGGACTCAGTGTGTTATTTGTTATTACCTTGGAGGATTGATTCTGGTGCTCAAGTTCTCATATTCAGGATCGAAATACGGCCAATAAACTTTAGCCATGAAAAAAAGAAACAAAGATGTTCTGGATTTTGAGCTCTTCACACGTTCTGCGGCTAAAGAAAAGAAGTTATTATATATATCAGCAAGACACAGAACAAGACAAGGGATAAGAAGAAGCAGGCTTTAAGTCTCGCAACAAGTTGCAAGAAGATAAGATATTCGGAGGTTTTGCCTGCCGAGTCAAATAAGTGAATCTTGGCCACTAAGTAACTCGACAGAAGAAGCGGAATCTAGAGAAGATAGAGATAAAAAGATTTCATAAAGAGAGACCACAAACTGAGATTCTCTGAAAAAAAACAAGAACCTCTCTGCTCCTTCTCTGGTCCTTCTCAACCAAAGAAAAACACAAGAATAGATTCCTAAAAGATCTCTTACTATGAAAATCAAAACTAAAAAGATCTTTTTTCTCTCAGCAACTGTCTTAAACAAAAACAAATTCTAAGACTTGACATGAGATTCTCTCTATTTGCATAAAGGAATCGATGCTTCAAATAAAACGAACTTACAAGTAGCTGTCAAAGTGAAAAAAAAACTTGAAGATAAATAGTAAATAAACCAAAAGAAGGAAGAAGATTTTATTGGTCAAATATGGAATCTAAAATGTTACACATCGAAACACTGTATAAAAAAGAATTAAATAAAAATACGGATTAGACAATATGCCAACTTGCAACACTAACACACAGCCACCAACAATATGAAGATGAGACAAACTTTGTTAGTCGATTCCTTGAAATACACAAAATCTAATTCTCAAAGTGTAATATATTCATATATAAACTTATGGTTTGTCGACATCAGATTTAGCTAAAAACATCGTTCTCAAACTCTGTTGAATCAGCCATGTGCGAATTTTAATTGAGCTCGTGTGTGTTTGCCTCAATTCAGCTAAATCTTATAAGAAGCTTCTGGGTTTTCTCCACACAAAATTTAAGATTAACGAAAACCCATTTGTGACAGAATCACAACTTGAAAAGGTCAAAGAAAAAACAACAAAACCCGAAATTGCGAGGAGTAAAACCGAAACAAGAATCAAATAATCAAAAATCAAACAAAGAAATGATAAGAGGGAGTGGGAATAGTTACCTTAGTATGAGAAGTTAAAAGAAAAAAGCTCAAATTTTTGGAGTCGGCGAGAGGAGAGACAGAGAAATCTATGGAGATTATAAAGGGACCGATTATTCTAAGGAAATTCAAATCTTACATCTTCGAAAACAAAAGATACAGAAGACAGAGACAGAGACAGAAGCAAGTGTCCACAAAAAAAAAAAAAAAAAAAAAAATGTCTCTGTCTGCTGCTGCCTCTTCTCTCTCTCAAAACGCTCTCTCCTCTTTTAATGAGATTGAAACCCTTCTTTCTCCGTCAGAGGCTTTAATAGGAATCTAGCGAAATATATAGTACGACAGCTTTTTTAATTTAACTGAAATTTTTTTTTTTTCTTAAAAAAATACCTTTTAATTAAACGAGTATTAGTCAGACATGACGAAGCGAACATTATAATTAGTGGTGGATGGTGGTGTTAATACGAACTATTCCTTTACTCCCACACACACACCCTACAGCGCGTGTTCTACACTCTCCATTACGATTTGGCATTGTCTGTTGGTTTAAGGTTGGTTTACCTTTATGATTTGCAGCATACCATACCGATTTGGTTAGCATTATGGTTATATTTCGTTATTCATTTCATTAAACCTATTAAACTCTATAGCAATGTTTTTTGTTAAATTTCTTCAAATTTGCACTAAAAACAAAAACTCTGTTACCGTAGAGTTTTTTTTTTTTTTTTTATCTGGCATATATTAAAAAACACTGTAAAGAGAAGTTAGAAGTTGAATTTATATGTAGTCTCCAGATAGCAATATAATCCATTAAGATAATTAATATGAAAGCACTAAATCATTGGTCAACTAGTAGATCGAAAGGATTCCAAATTTTAACAGTTACACCCAAAATATCTTAAGAGTGTGTTAAGGGGGTTAATGGTAATATACTTCACTAATCTAGACGATTAATTTAGCGAATAATGCCAAAGAGCGCGTGAAAAATGGGGAAGCACTGATTTAGGACATTGGAATAGTACGGGCGGTTGTTTTTGTCGCTTAGCTGCTTGATTTAAAGACATGGAAAGCTTCATAAATTACATACAACTCTCTTACCACAGTGGGAAGTATCCACGGACCACATTCCACGTCCACGAACGATTTCTTTTTTTTTTTAAGTTCTCTCTACTTTCTGTTTTTGTCTTTTTTTTTTTTCTGTTGTTGCTGTAAAACGTTCTAAACTAGTATAAGAGTTAAAAACGATTAAAGTAAAGGTAAACGAACTAACGATAACAAATACAGAATAACGGTTTAACCTATCTTTTTCCGTCAAAAAGAATCTTTATTCATTTATCTTATAACCTTTTTTGTAGTCAATAAATTCAGATTGAATCCTGTATATATAGATTGGGGAATTTATGCATTTTAGTTTTGGTGTGATAAATAAATGAAAAAAAGGCAAAGTCACAAAGCTAAGAGAAGATTCGGTATATTTGCCCTCCACTCCCCACATCCTAACGACGTCACTCTCTTTCTCTCTGTATTTCATTTATCCAAAATTATCCCAGACAATGGTCCATTAAATTTCTTTATTTTGCTAAATTACACCATCGTTTTGTCTTATATATCGATGATGTATATACATCACAAACAGTTCACTTATTTCTGTTGTCAACCACAAACAGTACACATATAACCAGCCAAATTTGCAATAATTCATACCCTCTACCAAGATTCTTGTAAATAAATTAGAGAAATGGATCTTTGAATCTTACTTCTTGTTATTATAAGTAACAAGAAGTCCAAGGCTTGTGTGTTGTGAGTCTGAAAGCATCGAGTGCTAAATGTCACTTATCTTCTCAGATAAATAAAGTTTAAATATATTAATACCATATTGCAAAAATTCTGGAACAAAGAAGATAGCAAGAAGAAAAATCAAATTTTTGTATTAGAGATGTGAAATATTGCTTCTCCTCATATTTGGGTGGCTGATAAACTCCATAATGCTTTATTTAGATACCTAAGTTTGAATCGTGTCACGAAGATTATTGCAATAAAGTTTTGATGACGATAGAAGCCTAGAGATTTCTTGAAAAAGAGTAACCTTTAAAAAAAAAACGAGTAGAGATATAATTTGATGTGAATGTGGAGAGGTACACAAAAGGCTCTCAATAATGCATTCCACATTTTGTGTTTGTTGTTAATTCTTGCATTATCCTCTATTTTCGTACAAAGTTATATATACCAAAGTGCTTTTCCTACAAAGAACATTGCGTAGTGGAGCATGTGATGGCTTCAACCTCTCCCACCTTAAATGTTGAACAACAAAAGATATCTTCAAAAACACTGTTTTTAAAACAACCCTTATGCTCTCAACTCTCCTAAAGACAAAATATAAAATACAAATAGACTTGTTTCTTAATGCTTACCACTTTGGTCCACTCATAAAAAAAACTGGGTTGTTTCTGTTGATATAGCCTATTGTCACATGATGGATTTGAGTCTAAAAGTCAACGGCTACTATTTTTACTTGAACAAGAAGAACCAAAGAGGATAATGGATCTTGAAGCTGTCTCTCAGGCTAAATTCCTGAGATTCCTCAAGGAGAACATCACAAAATTATTTGATGGGTGACATATAGTGTAGGTAACAAAGCTATCAATGTTCTACTAGTGTTATCCACACTCAAATTGAGTATTCAATAATATAGTTTGCCTGAAGAACCGTCTAGTTGCAGATTCTTTTACCTACTTTGCCTAGAGGTAAGAGGAAGTACTTTCTAGTAATGTTTTGAATTTCCCTCAATTGATTCACATGTCTTCCAAAAAAAACAACTTCTTATTGCATAAAAGACATGTGAATCAACCAGAGAGTTTCAAAATAGGAATTTTCCCACTCCATGTGCAGCATTTCCACTGACTCGAACTTGGCTTGTTGCTGTGCTTCAACTAGTGTTAATTCACATTCCAATTGAGTATTCAACAATCAGCCCAACTGGAACCTGGATTCTTCTTCACGTGCTTCTCTCTCATCAGTTTTCTTACAAGAGCAGAGCTTTCCCAATCTCCAGATGTTGCAAATATGGCGGACAGCTGCACATAAGCAACTGAGTTCTCAGGTTCGAGCTCTATAATCTTCTCAGCAACTTTCTTTCCCATGGCTTTATATCCATTTGCTACACATCCTCTTAGAACAGATGACCACATGCTTGCATCCGCATCGAAAGGCATCTCTTCTACGAGAGCTATGGCTTCTTCTAAATAACCAGCACGAGCCAGAAGGTCGACCATACATGAAAAGTGTTCTCTGTCTGGCACAAAACCATTATCCAACTTCATTGCCTCAAACAACTGCCTTCCCTCTTCCACTAAACCGCAGTAATTACACGCTGTTAAAACACCCATAAAGGTGCTCTGAGTGGGTCTTACACCAGCAACATTCATTTTCTTGAACAGATCAACCGCTTCAGATCCATGACCGTTCGTAGCATACCCTGATATCATTGAGTTCCATGGTATCTCATCTGATTTTACCATTGTGTCAAATACTCTCCTGCCATGCTCCACGGATCCACACTTGCAGTAGAGATCAATGAGAGAGGATGATACTACTTGATCAGAGTCAAGACCAACAATCGTAGCCCTCGCAAAAACCTGCTCCCCAAGTTCGAGAGACGAGATGCTTGCACACGCACTAATGACACTGGAGAGGCTAAACTTATCTGTAGGCAAATCCAGCCTGTGCATTTGGCGGAAGTAGTCTAAAGTTTCAACTGGACAACCATTCTGACTGAACCCTACAGTCATCGAGTTCCAAGAAATCAAGCTCTTATTTTCAATTCTCTCAAACACCCGTTTCGCATCTTCAACTCTTCCGCAGCTGAAATGCACCTTGATCATACAGTTCAGTAAGATAGTGTCGTATGTTTTGACCTCGCCGAAAAGTTTGCAAGCTTCCATGGGGCTTCCACACATTGAGTACATGTCAAGCAACGTGCTAGCTACAACAATGTCATCGATTAACCCGAGTTTATGAGCATGGCCGTGCATCTGTTTACCAGTCTCAAGGATACGCAAAACGCCGCAAGCATTTATTAGGGGTGCTAGGGTACGAGAGTCTTCCCGAGCTTCATTCCTCATCTCACTGTAAAGAAGCAACGCCTGCATTTCCATGTTGTTGGCGACATAACCCGAGATCATAGAGTTCCATACAAAGACGCACCTGTTACTCTTCCTATCGAAAAGTCTTCTAGACTCACTCACATTCCCACAGCTTGCGTAACCTGAAATTAAGGCAGACAGAGAATGGTCGTCAGGTTCCCCAATCTGATCCACCAAACTGCTAGCCATTCTCAAATCGCCGCACTTTGCATACAAATTAACCAAGGAACTATTCATTACCGAGTCATATTCAGCACCGCCGATGAGAATCCGAGCATGTACTTGCTTCCCGCATTTCAAAGCTTCCAACTTTGCGCAAGCCCCAAGAACAGTCGTCATTGTGATCACATCAGCGGTTAGCTGCGAGTCTTTAAACAGCCTCAGAGCTTCCTGGGGATAACCGTTTAGAGTATATCCATGAAGCAGAGAGTTCAACGTCACAGCATCTTTACCCGGCATGGCGTCGAACAGCCTCCTTGCAGCACCAAGCTCACCGCGCTTAGCGAGCCCGGAAACAACCACGTTCCAAGAGTATCCATCTCTCTCCGGCATCATATCAAACAGCTTCAAAGAGCTTCCTTTATCCCCAGAATTCATGTACCCTTCGATCATAGTGTTCCAGGAGAAACAGTTTCTCTCGGGCATTTCGTCGAACAAGTTCCGCGCGTTTCCCATTCTGCCGCACCGAGAGTGAATCAGAAGGAGATGATTAGCGACGATAACAATTGATCCAAGGAAACCCTTCTTGAGGAACAATCCATGGGTTTGTCTCCATAAAGTCTCGCGATTTCCGTTGCTGCAGGACTGAAGAAGACTGACGTAATGACGCCGATAATCTCCTTCCATGGCTGGAGAAAAACAAAGTAACAAAAGGTGAAAAGGATATCGAACACCTCGATTTCGTTTCGTTTCCTAGCTTTAAGCCTTTGAACTATAAGATATCAAGAGTTCAATTCTAGAAGGAAGAACTAAAGAATAATTAACACAGTCCATGTTTTATTTTTTTGGTCATTGTTAATTTAGGCAAAGTAGTAACTCCTCTTTTTTTTTTTTTTTTTTTGAAAAAAATGATATTTTCATATAAATATACACAATAAGTAACTTGTTTTATCATTATATTAATTAAAAATTAAACAATAATTAAAAAATGTTATAATATGATCGGTAGAGGACACAAAGTGTAGTGTGACTGAAAAAAATTAAATGTTACAATTTACATTTTACATAAAAGGGATGGGTCCCTCTCCTTCAAGTCACGATGACAACCACATGACATGATAACAACGTTCTTCGTCGTCTTGAATCTTGATAGAAGAGTAGAGTAGTACGTACGTTGGAGAATCAGGACAACGAGAAAGAACGTTCTTCGTCGTCTTGAATCTTGTTTAGTTTTTTTTTTTTTTTTTTTTTTTTTGAAAAGGAATCTTGTTTAGTTGACACATTACAAAGACTTAAAAATGAATTTTGCGTATCCCAAACGGCATTATTCTGCCATTCATAATTAGTCAAAAGTATGGTAGGTTAAACAATTCGATTGTTTCTAACTACTAGTAGAAACAAAAGAATGTTGCAATACAAAACTTCAGTGTATTTTTTCTTTTTCATCATCGCATTACCATTACTAATAAATGATTCAGACCCTCTGTGCAACAAGAAGCATCCTTTTACAAAAAGAAACTAAAAAAAACCTACTAAACCAATTATTAAATATTAATGAGCAATCATCCCTACTATATTTTCTTATATCCCATTACGGGGATGTACCAAGGGTTCATATTTCCCATCATAAAAAAAAAAGGTTATAAACCCCAAAATGATAATAATACTTCTAGAAGAAGAAAAAAACATTTCGTTAAGTTCCACTAGCTAGGTAGGGTTTCGAGACGGCGAGAGCATTAAAACGCTCTAAGGTAACGTGTTAGTGGTAAACAAGGAGGGACGAGTCATTTAAGCCCCAATGATATTGCTGTTGAAAGATATAAAAATACTAAGTACAGTATCATCATATAATGTAATAGAGACGTAGATGATCTTTATTAATTTTCAAGTATTTGATGGCTTAGATTATCTCCGTCGCACGCTTTCTTTGCCTATATCAATCATCATTTCAAACCCAAATGACAACAATACCCTCAACCCAAAAATAATTATTTACATTTAATTTTCAAGTCTATATATTGTCGACATATATAAAATAATAAATAGAGTGTTGCAGATGACAAGGGCGTGTATAACGGGGCTTTTGTGAACAAGAAGACTCTAAAAATCGCATTTTTTTTCTCGGATTGTTCACTTGAAATCAAAATCCCGAAGATCAACGACCAACCATCGCAATGTTTGATCCTTCGTCGAAATCGTTCAACACCCATTTGATTTTCCCGACAACTTTCGGTGATCATCCGGATTCCGGCGTGTGTTCACCTCCTCTGTGGAGAACCAGTCCACCGAAGAGTCCTCCTTCTCAGCGGCGCAATAGCTACCAGAGCCTCTCCCCTGTCTCGAAAGCTCAGGTCATCGCTCGTGGTCAGCGAGAGCTTATGGAGATGGTTAGCAAGATGCCCGAGTCGTGCTACGAGCTTTCCTTGAAGGATCTCGTCGAGGTGAAGGCAGACGAAGACAAGGTGTTCGATGAATCTCCTCAGAGAAGGACCAAGCGGAGCAGAGCCGTGAGGAAGACGAAATGGGTCGGTCCGGTTCGGAGCAACAGTGGGTTTCTTCTGAAACTGGTGTTTCCTGTTAGCTTGGGTGGTAAGAAAAAGACGACGAAGAAAGATGGGGATGCTTCTTCTGTGACAAGCAAAGGCTCTTGGATTTCCCCCAGACCTTCTTTGTCGGTGAAACCAGAGGATAAAGATTGGTGGAAGAATGGGTTGTCAGAATCGCGTAGGAGTCAGAGAGGCGTCTCGAGGATCAACAGTGGGAGCTCAAAGAGCAGTGGTGGCAGTAGCAGCAGAAGCAACGGCGATCCAAGTCTAAGGTATGCGCATAAACTCTGGGAATGAGGAACTGATGCCTAATGAAAGCTGAAACACGATAGACGTATCTCTTGCATCTAGGTCGAGCTTTGGTCTTGTTGATCTTTGTAGATGCTTTGGTTGCACGAGATTTTGACTTGCAAGTTTTGGACTTTTTGACTGAAGATGCTAATCATGTGACACTGCAGAATGATTACAAAAGAAACTAGATTCTTGCCTAACTCTCTCTGTTTCTTAGTTCTGCAACACAATCTCTCTGCAACTTTTGGGTTTTTTAAATGTTTTCGAATTGTGGGGTTTTTGGATACAGGGATGAAAATAGCGGATGCTTATCTTTCCTCTGGAGTGTACATCTACGAGATTAAAACCAAAAGTTCTTCATTGGTCTATACACTTCTTTGGTTTAGACCGATTCATACAGCTCCAGCCGGATTTAGTGCCTTCTGTAAAAAAAATCCATGGGCGAATGAATCCAGGAATGGTGAAGATGAAAGCAGAGGACATGAACATCTTCTTCACTGTACAATCAAAGATTGTATCACTTTTATTTCTTCTTCTTCTAGTTCTCCTTTAATTGAGTTTTCTTTTGTAAGCCTATGTAATGTATAGATAGATACTCCAGCTTTTGCTAACATAAACCGTCAAAAGTGTACCCCCAAGGCGTAAATTTTTCTTAGCGTTTAAAAAACGAGGTGTAAAGAATATTATCTACCACCGATGGTGACAGTATAATTTGAGTTTTTGTCTTTTTATATACATGCTTGGAAGAGATTCAAAGTTGTACCAAAGCAGGAAGTAACAATAGGAACAGGTCAAATTGCTTTTGTAAACAAAAATAGAATGAGCAACCCCTTCTTTGTAGGAACCATTGATTCCCCACTTTGCCAAATTTTCATGTGTTTGTAGGAACCATTGATTCTAGTTTCAAGTTTCTTATTTTAAGGAAAAAAAAAACTTTATTAGGAATTAACCTCCTTCGTCTCCTCCTCGACAAGCAAGCTACTACAATGAAGATGGTGCTTTTGATGGTGCTCGTTGCCCTCTTGACATCTCCGATTAAAGTCGCGCGTGCCGCGTATAGGCCACCGTATACGCCACTGCCACCGGAATGCAGAGATTTAGAGGTTTCCGTTTGCGTCAACTTTTATCTAAATCCAGAGGGGACTATGTCAAGAAAACATGGAGAGCCAAGTTGTTGTGACAGATTTAGGTCGAAAAATTCGAAACCATGCTTGCGTAAACTTTTTACATCGTCCCAGGATCGAAGGCTAAACCATGTTGCTGAACGTTTCTTTCTTCGGTGTGTTGTTCGGGATTGTGTTCGTGACCCGCGGAACTAGATAGATTACTACTACTATTCATATTGTAATTAAAACAAGTAACAAGATAGCAAACATATGTACTAATTATGGTTTGCTTTTATATGATTAAATAAATTATTATTATTATTATTATTAATGCTTTTCTTCTGTTTCTTGCGTAGAGTGTTTCTCTGGACCTGTCTAGAAATGAGATGATATCAGCTTATCCGAGAGTGTTTCTCTGGACATTGCCATAACTACTTAATGAGATGATATCAGCTTATCTGAGAAAACGCTCAATTTCTAGTCACAAATTAATAATACTAACCTAACCGAAAATACGCTTAATAAATCATGAACTCTATAAACCCCAAACATTTTAAATGAGAGAACATTGTATGAAATCTAACCCCAATCCAGACATCATAATTAAATGCTAACACACGTCAGCAAACGTTTTAATGTTTTTCTATTAATCCACACGTGTTTGGTCTTAATATTCAATTAACAAGTAGTATATTTTTACTAGCTGATAACTCTATGGACATTTTTTGTAAATCTTATGTATTGATTTGTAATTGTCAAATGATGAGCGAAATTTTGGTGGAGCCAGTGACTTGGTAACCTGTGGAATTGCGGAATCGTGTCTAAAAACATAATTCTGCAACTTTTAGACCAATCAGAAGAATTAATATACAAAATGTCTAAAAAAATTCAAAAACGCAAGAGTTGTGTTTTCATAAAAAAAGAATACATACTTCCTCTGTTTCAAAATAAATATCATTTTGACATTTTTCACACAAATTAAGAAAATTAATAAAAATTGTTTTTATCATTATCTATTTAAACAGTTAAACTACATGATCATCTCTTTAACCACTCAAATAAACATTGCTTTCTAATTTCTTATCAAAATGGTAGAGACAACAGAAGTTATAGATATACTTTTTTAGTTAATGTTATCATCATCATGTTCAGATCGTTGGAATAACTTCTCCACATGGAGAGTTTATGACCGTGTTCATCAACTTTTCTCTTCTTCCTAAAGCCGAAGTGTTCTCCTCTTAATTATTGATTTCTCTTTTATACTTAAACTTGCTTAAGAAGTTTTCTAATTTTGTTTTTAAACATTTTGTTAGCTTAATTGTGATGTTTCAGGCGTTAAATATGAATCGCAGTAACGTTCATCAGCCTCACCACATTGAAAGACAGAATTCATGGTATTTGAGTCATATGATATTTAAATCTATTTAATTTTTAGATAGTTAATAGTAAAAAGAAATTATTTTATTAGAAAATCTCCTTTTGATAATGATCACGTTTCTTCTCTCTTAATGATAATGATGGTTTCGCAGGGTTCGTAAAGAAGAACCAATTTGATCAAGTAGAAAATGAAGTTGTGAGTTTAAAAACCTGTAAAGACAATCACTTTTTATGATTGTTTATATTATGTAATAACAAAGTGTTCATCTTGTGACTGTAGGATGCGAGGAGTGGTTGTAAGAGTCAATGGAACATCGATGAAGAAGCTTCTAAAACAGGAAATGTCGAAAGAAGTTGAACTTTTATGTTTCCCACAAAAACCTTTCAGCCAAGGTCCTCCTCAATAGCCTCCTACTAACTAAATATTTTAATTGGTAAGATATCGATCTACATGAATAACTTGCAGTAGTTCAGTGTGTACCTAAAACAAGTTTGGTAAATAAATGTTTCAATGTTCATCTCCTTCTTCAGATAAATCAAAACTATTTTATATATGTAATTTATTAATTGTATATAACTGAAATTTAGTTTTATTTATAGGTAAAATTAAATTTTCGTGCTTAACACGGAAGATAATACTAATTTGATTATAGATTTGCATTGGAAACCTAAAACGACATTTTTTATGAAATAAAAATAATATTCTAAAATAACACTCTTTATGAAACGAAGAAAGTATAAAACATCATTAAGAAAATAAACGAGGTTGTACTAACTTTTTCATGGAAACAGTTGCAAATTAATTGTTTTTAATTCTCCATACTATAACGTTAACTTATTTTGAAAACTCTCACTAATTCAACCACCGTACCAGTTAATTGTCCAATAGTCAATTATGCATGTTGCATAATTAACTCTTATTTAATTGTTACCAGTACTTATTCTTGTATGTAGAGTATAATAACTAGTGAAAAATACTATTCATATTTTATTAAAATTTTAAAAATGTCATCCATTTTTAAAAAATATTTAAAATATAATTTTAATTGTTTTATTTAAATTCATATGTTTGATTTTTTTTATGTTATATCAACTAATATCTATTTAAATAATAAAATTTTATTTCAAACTTTTAAATTCTGCCATTCTGCAAAAATTTATTCCGCAGTTTTTCATTCTGTTACTGCAAAATAATTTTTTTCCGTCATTTCGCGATTATGTAATGTTACCAAATCGGAGTCACTTGTATCCGAGATTAGCAGCAAGATACGTTTTTGCAAATCATGTTAACGTTTCATCACTATGCAAGTAACACAACAAAGATCACTATTTGTTTTGTAATTTATAAAGATAGGGTGAAGGTATTAAACAAGTCAATTGTTTGTCTTGTAAAAAAGATATAGGATTCATGTAAGAAAAAAAATGAATTAGCATCCTCCCCTTCTTCATAGTAGGAATCGTTTTTGCTAAACATTGAATGATGTTGATCACATCAGTTATCTCATTAATTTTTTGATGAATCATCTTTAATGCCTTTCTTCTGTTTCTTTCGTAGTGTTTCAATAGAGCGAGCGACTTCATTAACTATCTAGCAGGAAACTAGCACAGGCAGTAGTACGTAGTAGCACATTGCCATAACCAATTTATTAGTATCTAACTTTTTTGTGTGTTTAAAGGAGAGTGATCCCCTTTATCTTTCCGACATGAACAGTACTGTATATGCAATGACAAGAAAAGCATCAATTTTTTGCAAATCTTTTTTTATTTGGACTAGCATTTACTTTTACTAATAAATTGTTATTATTGTTTTATTGCTCTTATTTATGATTGGTAACGGCACTTAGCATGTACGGTGCCTTTAATCGCACTATTTAGCGTATACATATAATTACCATTTAAACAAGGATATATTTACATCAAGCCCCAATAAAAAAAAAAGGGAATTTAACAGATTAATGTACACTAGATTGTTTACAAGGGACATGTAGGGGAAGAAATCTAAAATCCTAAGTTGTAATAGAAAACCCAAAGACATTGCCATAACTACTTAATGAGGTGTTATCAGCTTATCCGAGAAAACGCTCAATTTCTAGGCACAAACTAACCTAACCGAAAATACGCCAAATCGTAAAAATTAACATACTCTTAAATCATTAATTCTAAACCCCAAACAGTTTAAGTTAGAAAATATAAAATCAAACCCCAATGCAGACATCATAATCAAATGCTAACAGCCGTCAGCAAACGGTTAAATGTTTTTATAATCCAGACGTGTTTGATCTTAATAATTAAGTAACAAGTAGTATATTTTACTAGCTGATAACTCTACATACGGACATTTTTTATAATTCTTATATATTGATTTGTAATTGTTAAATGATGAGCGAAATTTGGGGAGTCAGTATCCGAGATTGGCAACAAGGTACGGTTTTGCAAATCATGTTAACGTTGCATCATTATGCAACAAAGATCACTATTTGTTTTGTAAATTATAAAAATAGGGTGAAGGTATCAAACAAGTCAATTTGTTTGTTTTGTAAATAAAAATAGAATTGACGTAAAAAAATTGAAAATAATTAGCATCCTCCCCTTCGTTTTTGCTAATCAAGGTATTGAACAAGTCTATTGTTTATTCTGTAAACAAAAAATAGAATTAGCATCCTCCCCCTCTTCGTAGGAGGAAACGATTCCCACGTTCCATATTTTTCATGTTTTGTTGGAACCAATGATTCTAATTTATTTGCTTATATAAATGACTTAAAACAAAATGAAAAAAAAAAAGCAGAGACTATTCCTACAAAATAAAGAAAGTCATAATATATATTGATGGAGTCTTGACCAGATACGATAATGAAGATGATCATTCCATTAACGCTCATTGCCATCATCATGCTCTTGACATCATTTCTGGTTCCCATGAAAGTCGCCGGTGCTGCGAGTGTGCCTGTGCCATCTGAATGCAAAGGGGAGATTGAACCTTGCATTCGTGCCGCCATAAACGGAGCCCCAGGGCCAGGAGGTTGTTGTGGAAAGTATACATTGCCGAGTTCGAACTCATGTTGGACTACACTCATGAGATCCAAGGATCCTAAGCTAAACCTAGCTGCTTATTCCATTTTTGAGAGTTGTAATGTTCCTAACCCTTTTGTCCGAAGAGGACCTAGATATTAATACACATCTTACTAGAAATTATAACAATATGCCAAACATGTTTTGAAACAACGTGTAAATACATGTTGGTTTTATATGGTTGAATGAATAATTAGTTTGCTTCGTGTATGTCAGCAGCGTTTGTAGTACAATGTATATCTTTCTTTCAGAAATTAATACATATTGTTGAATGTATAACCAATTTTTTTAAAAAAAAAACTTAGAAAATTAATATATATTGTTGAATGTCAGCGTTTTGCTCCTTTGTTCTGTGTAACCACGGAATCAATGTAAAAAGCGAAAGTTCATTAAATAGCCATTGCCCCGCCCATAACCGATTTATTAGTACGTAACTTTGTGTAACAAAAGCAAAAGCAAGGCATGGTCAATAAATTGCGTATAATAAAACACACACATCACATGGGTTAAACATAAAAGAGTTTTCCCATGGAAATCAAACTGGAAGCAAAAATGAAGGTTTTGAGAGAGAAGTATGCGTGGGCGTTGTTATTGCTTTGCTTACTTGACGCGTGTTCTGTCTCAACGACGAAGTCCAACTGCCGAAGCACTTGTGGAAATCTCACAATCGAGTTCCCCTTTGGAATATCCTTGGATTGTGCGTACGACGAGAGGTTTCTCTTAAGATGTGACGAGAAGGAGCAGAAGCTGTTTACGAATAGCAGTAATCTTGAAGTCAAGAGCATTTCGCTGCAAGGAGAACTGGAAGTGCTATTGGGTGTCATCCGGGCCTGCTCTAACGTGAGAACGTGATATCACAAGCACAGGAAGCTACGAACACATAGAAGATGGTGGCTTCGCTTTTTCCAGCAAGAACGATGTCACAGTAGTTGGTTGTAGTACTGAAGTCGTTTGGCTATATTTTACGAAAGTTAGAGAGACAAGTGGTACATGCTCCACAGAGTGCAGATCCTCGCAGCAGATGGATGATTCATGTTCTGGTTATGGCTGCTGCAAAGTACCAATCCCAAGCGGAGCCTACCATTTAGATGTAGAGCCTGTATCGAGCTACCGTGATGGGTCAGAACACATGGGGAAGTTAAATCCCTGCATCTACGTATTTCTCGTCAAGGCTGGATATTTCATCTTCGACCTTCAAAACCTCCGCAACGTTACAAGGTTTCCGGTCATACTTGACTGGGCCATGAAAGGAACTTGCGACACAAGCTTCTGTGGAGAGAAGAGCAATTGCTACAATAATATTTCTATAAGGGGAGATGAGCATTCCTGCAAATGTTTAAAGGGGTTTGAGGGGAACCCCTATCTTCAACATGGCTGCAAAGGTATACTCTCCTTCTTGTTCCTTATACTCTCTTCTAATGTTATATTTGCTCTAATCGCTCTGTTTTCTTCTTCTTCTTCTTCTTACAAGACATTGAGGAGTGCAAAATGAATACTCATTCCTGTGGGAAGCATGAAACCTGTAAGAACCTTGTTGGATCTTTTCGGTGCAAGAAGAGCACAGAGTGGAAAACAATCCTTCTTGGTAACTTCTTGTGGTTTTTCCCCTTCTAGTATACAAAACTATCTCGCATTAACTGATCCAGATCCAACATTTAAATCTTTTTGACCAGTAAGCGTCATTGGATTCTTGCTCTTTTTGATCGGAATCTGCTGCCTCATTCTAAAACTCAAGCTCTGGAAACGGGCCAAGCTTAAAGAAAGGCGTTTTGAAGAAAACGGTGGGATTTTGCTAGTACAGAGACTCTTAGACGAGGGCCCACAGTCATCGAATGCTTCTATCAAGATCTTCACAGAGAAAGACATCAAGACAGCGACTAAAGGCTATCACAAGACCAAAATCCTTGGTAGAGGAGGCCAAGGGGTAGTATACAAAGGGATACTCTCAGACGGCGTTCAAGTTGCCGTCAAAAAATCTCGAGATTTGGACCGTGACCAAGTTGCACAGTTCATCAATGAGCTACTCCTCCTTTCTCGAATCAACCATCCACACGTGGTGAGCCTTTTGGGTTGCTGCCTAGAAACACAAGTTCCCCTTTTGGTCTATGAGTTTGTCTCTGGTGGAACTCTTTATGACAACTTGCTCGGTTCTTGTCTGTCTTGGTCTGATCGCTTGAGGATTGCCGTGGAGATCGCCGAGACTCTATCGTACCTGCATTTCTCTGCTCCTGTTCCAATTGTGCACCGTGACGTAAAGCCTGCGAACATACTTTTGGATGAAATGTTATCTGCAAAACTAGCTGATTTTGGAGCGTCTAGGCTTGTCCCTGCAAACACTGAGCAGCTTACAACATTGGTCCAGGGCACCCTAGGTTACTTGGATCCAGAGTACCTGCAGACAAGCACATTCAGCGACAAAAGTGACGTCTACAGCTATGGCGTCGTCCTCATGGAGCTGGTTTCGGGAGAAAAGTCCTTGTGCTTTAACCGGCCACCTGTGAGTCACTTGGAATCTGCTCTGAGAGAGAACCGGTTGAGTGACGTTATGGAGCAGAGGGTGGTGAATGCAGAGAACCACGGAGTGGTCTATCAAGTAAAAAAATCTAACGTAAAAAATGTTCCAAAAAAAAGTATCTAACGAAACCTCCCAAACAGTGGCTTAGAAAGCCATAATATTGACAAAGATTTGCAATTTTAGCTGATTCAGGGGAAGAAATGATTGAAAATTGATTAATATTTTTAGACTTTTATAATTGGTATACGATACGAATATCATAGAAAATTATCAATATCAAAACTAGATACATAGATATATTCTTTTTTGAAAAAGAAAAAAAAAACAATCTTTACATAATAATAGTTTTGTAAAATTATACCGTAAACTAGACGTCAACTGAATACATGATGTATGTTGTTTCAAGTTCTGTGTTCATCAATCACATATTCATGTAGCGTAACGAACCAACTTAAGTCTCATACATTTTGCAACAAATAACAAAGTGATGCAGACCGAGCAGCTGATAGCACGTGGCAACCTCCTAAAATTAAGAACTCAAATCTCCACATAATTAAAGAGAACTAACAATAGGACGAGAAAAGCAATTTGAACGACTCAATATATTGTTTTGTTTATTCTCTTTTATTTACAAAAATAATTAAAATAGAGAGGATTACCTACTATCCTCCGTTCGTTATAGGAATCGATTTCCCACGTTTCCTATTTCCATGTTTTGCATGAACCATTGATTAGAATTTCCTATTTAAAGACCGAAAAAAAAAAACTAAATAAATTAAGCAGAGATCATTTGTATAAATTAATTAGCAAACTTCATCTTGACCAGGTACTAAATCATTAGACATGAAGATCATTGCATCGCTGCTCATTGCCGTCATCATACCCTTGACATCATTTCCGGCTCCGATCATAGCACCCCCCGCGGCTAGTGGTGGTGGAGGTGGAGGTGGAGTTGGAGTCGGAGGTGGCGCCCGCTTTAATGGCGGCTTTAGCGGGTCTGGCACCGGCTATAGGGGTGGGGATAATACCGGCGGCGCTAAGCAGGTGGATCCTAGTCAATATCCTAAGCAAAGGGGTGCAACGAGCTATAGGGGTAATGAGAATCTACCCGGCAAGCCTGATAATGGCGGCAACGTGGGTGTGGCCATTGTGATACTTCCCAAGCGCCCTGCGGGAGGGACACTGCCACCAGAATGCAAAGCGGAAGTTCACAAATGCATCGATAAGTATATATACGGAGGCGGTGGGGCGCCTCCACGCAATGGGGAATGTTGTACGAAAATCAAAAACTCAATACCATGTGTTTGTAGGTTCATTACGTCCAAGGATCCTCTGGTAAGAAAAGCAGCGGATGTTATACTCCGTGGATGCCATTATCGCAAACCCATTTGTATAAACATGGCGATGCCGGCGACATGCAGACCGGAGGTTAGACATTGCGTCAATACGCATCTCTACGGATACGGCGGGCAGCCTAAGCGCGGAGGGGCTTGTTGCACGAAATTCAAAAACGCCAAAGATTGTGTCGTTAGATTCCTTACCTCCCCGGATCCTAAGCTAAGCGAAGCTGGTAATGCTCTACTTCGAGGTTGCCGTTTTCGTAGACCCGCAAATACCTAGAGATTATTTCAATTAAAATTATCTATGTAAATTATAAAAGTATATACTTAACAATATTTATTGCAAAATAATGTACCAAATGGTTGGTTTTTTTATATGGTCAAATAAAAATAATATTATGTATAGTTTCTTATCAAATAAAATAAATGATCAATGAGTATTTCTCTAGCTAGTGTTGAGATTTCAGCTCCAGTGATCCGAGAATGAGAAATTTAGGATTTCTTGAATCTCTTTATCGTTGAGCAAACCTTGGAACTCCAACGTATCTTCTTCAAGAAACTGACCAATACTTCTTCCATCTTCAATCTTCGTGGTTATCGGACCTAGAAGTATTGTCGGTGCTGGAATTAGGGATCTGACCGTTAAAGAAATTCGCAAAAACCGCAGCCAGATCAATCTCCGGACAAGGACTGTTATCCCGGTCATCATGATCCGATTGATTCTCGTTCCGACAAAACCTACTGCTCTGTCTTCTTCTTCGGCTTCTCTTTCCGCAGCCTCCACCGGCCGGAATGTTGCGGAGAGATCCGCCTTTTGTCCAGTAACGGCGACAGTTTTTGCAGTAGTACCTAGGCTGAGACAAGCTGTAGTTGTTGTAATAACAAAACTTTGTGTTTGATGATTCACAGCGAGGACACGACGGAGCAATTTCGTGTCCGTAACAAAGTTTGATCTCTCCCGACGACGGAAACATTGTTCATGTGATGATGGCCTCTCCAAGAGAAACCTATATATAGACGTGCGTGTAGTAGGTGTGAACGTAGAGTTGCATTGGCAAGTGTGTGAGCCATTTTCTCTACTTCAATTCCATTTCTTCCTCCACAAGTTACATGGTTTTTTTTTTCCTTAGATCCTTTGCATCTTCTTTTAACGTGTAACGCAATACATTTATATAACCACACAATAATAAAGAAAACAGTATGATTAATTACGATGCACGGCACCAAAAACATTTGAAAGTCTCGAACTTTGGTAATGTTCCACAGAAAAATGACTAAAGTCTCAAACTTAGGCATTATCCGAAGTCTATTAGAAACGTTTCAGAATGATGAGAAATTGACGCCTCTTGACAACGTTAAAGAGAAAATAGTGTGGAATATTATTTGATAAACTAAAAAATAAAATAAAATAAAACTATTTTTAAAGAAAAGACTTTTGTTTTCTCAAAGTCTTCTTGACACCACAAGACGGGGCAAAAATAAGTCATTCGAGAGAACACAAGCACAAAGATAAATCTAAGTCTAAGATGTTTTCCCTGCTGCGATTATTCCACTAGCGTCATCTGTGGGATAGAAATTTCAAATATAACTGACCTATAATTATTATAGGAAACAAAACAGAACGAGAAATCTTTTTTTTTTCTCATTCAAACACAACTAAAAAATATATATTGGCATTTGAAAGTTTCACAAGAAAATTATTTGGAAGGTGTTTAATTATACACCACTATAATTTTTCTCTGGTTATAAAAATCTATTTTCGACCCATATTATAAGTAGGAGTAGCAAATTAAGGTCTATAAATACTAATTGCCAAAGTTCACATGAATCATCACTTTTCAATTCTTTTACAACCAAAATAAGAGAGAAAAATGGCTTTATCGAAGCTACTTGTGATTAAGCTTTTCTCATTCATGGCACTATTCATCATACCCCATGCTGAATCCTTTTCTCCAGGTACGTTAAATATTAACTCTCTTTTTTTTGGTATATATAACGTTAAATATAAATTTGAAACACATGTGAAATATATCAGCGATTATTGTATAGTTATATTATTATTACAGCTTTATATAATAAGATAGTAACAGTATTATCAATTACATTCATAAAACAATAAACACATACGCGACTTATATTTGCAGGTCGGAAACTATTCCAGTACCCACCGGCGTACTCTCCGGAGCTCCCACCGGCGTACTCTCCTACTCCGGAGCTCCCTCCGTCGTACAGTCCAACTCCGGAGCTCCCTCCGTCGTACACTCCAACTCCGGAGCTCCTTCCGCCGTACAAGCCTACTACGGACCTTCCTCCGGCCTACTATCCTACTCCGAATCTCCCACCATCGTCTCCGCCATCGTATGCTCCTTCACCGTACGTTTCTGCTCCTCCACCAGCGCCTTGTTAATCCAAATTATTGCGGCCCATGAGAGTTCCAATTTGGTTACATTATCACACATCAAATAAATAAGGATATTGATTTAATACATATCAAATAGAATAAGGCTTCACTATTTGCTATAGAATAAAAAGTTTGCTCGATGATGTTTCCCGTGCTTTCTTATTGATTTGCATAAGGTTATCTATCTAAACTGCAGTTTATAATGTATATGAGATCTCTCATGTACGAAGATTTAAATTGAAAAGAAAAGAAAAAACATATCAAGATATGTAGTCTAGTTAATTGTATATTACTGTATTGATGTCGTTGCTGATGCAGTTGTTAAACAATGATGCATTAGTTTAAGACGCTAGACGTTAACTTAGCCATGAAAGCCCATAATAACGTCCAATGTCAGGGCCCATCATGGTTCATCAAAAAAAAAAAAAATTGAGCGATGTGAAAATGAAAGATGTAATATGTTTAATCCAAGAGCCTCAAAAGGAAGCCGAGCAATTGTCCCTCTCATTCTATCACAGGCAAGCAAATCAAATGGGGAACAAAGTAGAGTGACATTCCTTTTCATTTACTTCCTTTGATCAATGCCATTACAACTAGAAGTTGTATTCCTTCTTGGATTCAGTTTTTCTTGTAGAGACTAATTAGCCTCGAAAATTTCCCGTAACAGAAAAGGAATTTTGAAAAACAAAAGAAACAAAAAAAAATCCATGATGTAAAAAAATTATATACATAAGTTATCAACTTGTTTTTGATCATGATAATAAAATACCGTCGGGCTTTTCGTAATTAAATGTTTTTTTCCTGTGGATTTGGAATTTTCCGAAGGACTTAAATGCGTGACACAATAAATAAAAGTAGGACTACCTGAATCTATCTAATAATATTTTAAATTACATGTCTTTTCATTTTTGCATATGTCATCAGCTCTGTCGGCAAACTAAGGTCCACTTTGATCTTTATTTTTCTTTTTGCATTTCTCCTTTTGTTTAGTGAGCTCCATAGTATGACCTTATTATATAGTTTACATATTATATAAAGGAGCTCAGCTCGATTATTTTACTTGCAACTTTTTTTCAATTTTTGTATTTCCGTTTATAATATATATGTATATACTATAATATATTCCGATAATGTAAGGCAAGTAGATATGTATGTGTTAGTGTGTAAGTGTTTTTGTCGGCGAAATTGAGCGTAAATGTTGGGGGCTTATTTATTAGCCGAGCTTTGCGTTAGACGAAAAGATTGAATGAATCATCAAGTACGATGTGTAAATTGTAATACTTCAAAACTGCATAGTTATTTTCTATCTTTAATCCAAATCGTATGTTGGGTAGTAATTGTGATTTATTACATGTGACCGTAAGACGAAGAGATGTCAGATACTCAGATCGCTGAATAAATGTCTGATTTGACTTTTTACTTATTTAGGCTAATGATTTTCATCTAAACATGATGATGCATTTAGAACTAACATGCATCGGGGGTTATATATTTTTATATTAGGATAGTTTAGACGTTTTCTTTTTCCATTGCTTTACGATTTGATTTGTTATATATATGTTTGACTGGCATATTAGAGAATAGTCAAATAACTGAAACATACAAAATCAAAAGCATTAAACGAAACAAAAATACCCGTAAGCTGACAATTTTAAAACATAATTTTTTTTAACTAAGTCATAATATATAGACAGTTGTAATTTAGTCAAGTTAACCCATTCAAGACAGGACCGAGGCAGTGGGACTCACGTAGTATTTTGTTTTGTAAGTTAAAATTTTCAAAGTTAGTGTGGTCCCCGATCATCTATCTTTCCTATTATAGTATTAATGTTTCAATCCATTTTCTCCTTCTTTATTCGTTTTTCTCCTTTTTGTTTTGTGTTTCTCCTTTTAATTTTACTTTATTTCCATCTTCCTCACTAGCCCTACTCCTCACAACTGCCATTTCAAATTGACAAATACATTTTCTTTATTCTTACTCATTTTTTTTGTCATTCTTCTTACTATATACCAATATATCATTCACATTCACTCTTATGGAAGTTCATCGTTTATATATGATGGAAAAAATGGGAAAGTGCTCATTTAATTCGGTCCTGAACTTTTTGTAAAACAAAGATCCTTACCACTGAACTAACACTAAATTAGATTGCTTTCATTGGTTGTATGGTTATTAGCAACCGCAAAATAAACAATAAAAAATATTATTGGTCGTAACCGTGAAAGCCATATATAATATTTTGCAAATTAACATATACTATATGAATACCCTAGATACCCCCTCAAAAGTATAAAACATCCTACCCACTCCCACCTCTAGACAACACAATCTTTCATGCCTTTAATCAAGCAATTCTTCTTTCTAAAGTACACCAATCTTTACTAGAATTAATTAATTCAATAGCAATAACTTATACTATAAAACATTAAAGTCGCAATGTGGATGCTTATAAAATGCTAATAATCAAGTCTCAATTCATACAACTATTTGAAAAGTTATGGTTTATGGATCTTCTTCTTTTATTCTCCTATAAAAAGGAAAAACTGTTTTGCTGGAGAGTTTATGATAAATGGTGTTGTAGAACCCCAAGCTTTTATAGTTTTCAATAAAACAACAAAATGAAAAGTAGCCTATAAAAACCAAATTTAATATTTTTCTTAAGTGTCGATTTATTTTGTTTCGCAAAGAATTGTATATAATAATTTATCCTTATCCAAAGCTAATAAATTTTATTTAAAGATATCGCAAAACTTCAAAAGAGATTTCAGTTTACCTGAATAATTTTTTATCTATGTAAAAAATGTCATAATCAACTCCCCTCTATCCATGTCATAATAGCTAGTACAATTATTTTTCATATAATATAAACCAGTCTCCCTTTATATATAAATATATTGAATACTCACCTTAAAAGACAAAACACTTATAGTTTCTGCATTTCTTCCTCATCTTCCATCTCACCTGTTTCGTAAAAGCTTTTACAATAATGGGAAATAAACGCATAGAAGCAATGACTGTTCTAGTGGTAATCATGATGATGTTCTCATGGAAGATTTGTGAAGCGGAGAGCTTGAGAAGACACACATCATCATCATCATCATCAAGACCACAAAGATTTTTTAAGGTGAGAAGACCAAATCCACTACAACATCATCATAACCGTGGTTTCATTGATGATGATTATCCTCCAGAAAGTTTCTCAGGATTTTTGCCCAAGACAATGCCAATTCCACCTTCTGCTCCTTCCAAGAAACACAACGTCTATGGGTTACAGAGTACTAACTCCCAAACATATCCATGATTTTTATCACCAAGATACTTACACATATTACATATATATACATAACTATGCATGATGCATATTTATATAACATAGAGATCTAGTCATGTCTATCTTCTTTCTCCACTTTGTGTTTTTTTCTTCAAGAAAGTTCTATAGGAAGGAATTATTGTATTCAATAACCAAATTGAGGTCGAGCTATTTTTGGATGCACGCCTACTTATTTGAACCCTACTTGTAGTCTTGTATTATATAGTTTGGAGAATTATATATCATATATGCGAACTCATGATTGAATCATTGTAATGCATCATGCTAATGTACCTTGTTCCATCAGTAAACACCTGCATATATGTTCTATACTTTTTTGTTTTTATTTTATTTCAAAGTCCAGATGCATTTAATCCTTGATCAGCGGTAATCATTTCTCTCCTAGTAGTATTAATTACCAACAAATATGTACTAGCATATTTTAACAAACCAAAAATGTACCAATATTTGAACAAAAACAAAACAAAAAGCTAAATAGTAGTATGTTCCAGTACCGTAAATGTTTTTTTTTATTATAAATCTCGAAGAAAGAAAGAAATATGTCATAATGGCCGCCAACTACATTTTTTCTTCGGACTACGTACATACAGACATATTACATGTGGGACATGTAGACGCTATTTTTTCATAAATGAAGTCACCGATTTAATGAAGAAAATTAAATTAAATGAAGTCACCATAAATGATACTACTACTACAATATATATATATATTCTTCGCATATATAACTATCGAACTTATTATTTCATACAAGTGATTGTATGTACTACCATCATAAATCTTGGAGCTGACGTAAGTTTGTTTTGAAGTTTGGATTTGATTATCCAACAGAGACTTTGAAAATGTGTATTGAGGGGGAAGCAACACATTTATTAACACCAACCAACCAACCATAAATCAGTGACCTTATTGCAGCCAATCATTCCAAATCGAGTTTTGTTGACCATTGTAATCAATGTATTGAGGTTTCTGTTGTTTGTGTCTACTTCTGCGTTCGACTACAATTTTTAACAAACGAACACACGGTCTTAATCATTTTCAGTAATAGTTCATTCTAAACGTAAACGTTACATGCAAATGCAAAAGTTTATTACGAGTCGCGCGCGTTTGAAACAAAGGAGTACATACAAGTCTTGCAACGATAAAATCTATCGAGCAAGAAGTTTCTTGATTATATTGTATGATCGAACTAAATGAGATTTACTTGAAAATGCATTTAGGTTGATTCCAAAGCATAGAAAAGTCAAGGAAAAAATAGGTCGATGATGTTACCACAAAAAAGATATATATATATATATATATATATATAGGTCGATGAATAATAAGGTCAAGAGTTGTTATGAGATATTATTTGTAGGTATCATATAAGTGAACTTTTTTAGTTACTGCTTTTTAAGGCAATGACAAGTTGAAAAGGGCGTCGGTGAACATATTAATTAATCAGAGTTTATCATATACTACGCAAAATGATGTATTAAATAAAATCTAAGATAAATAGATATATAAATATAATGATTGATGATGCATGACCCAAATTATTGTAAAGTTCTAAAATGGTAGAACAAAAAGAATATGAAGAATGAGAATTAGAGGAAAAAAAATGTAAAGCCTAGAAATTGATGGATTTTAGTTGCTAAAAATTCCTTGTGGGGTTGACTAATATTTTGGTAACACATTTGTCACACAATTAGGTAATGACAAATGGGTTGTCGTCAGTCTTTTAATCACACAAATCGAGATTGATTTCAATGTAACAAGAATATCAAAAGCAAGAATTAGGCAAACTTAATAATACTCCAACGATTTGTTCTTACTATATGTTTTTTTTTTTGTTCTTAAACGTGATCTGAGAACGGGATAGTCTTTATATATATATACACAACATACATGCAAATTAATCTCGCACATATCGAATCGAGATAGAGAAAGAACAAAAGAAAAGAAAAAAAGGAAGAAGAGTTAAGGTGAAGGAACTATGAAGAGTTTCCGGGCAAAACGTAGAGAAACTAAAAATTATGGGGGCAAAATCATACAAATGTTTTTTACGACTACTATTGAGGAACGTCTTCTTCTTCGTCTCTGTCTCTATGCGTTTGAGAAGCTGTTGATTTCTCCGACACTCTCACATTATATTTCTCATACACTTTTTCCCGATTCTCCGACCACCATGTCTCTGCTTGGTGTTCTCCGAATCTTCTTCGGCTGCACGAAAAAAGAAACCATATAACCTTTAGCATCACCACACTTGGTAGTACACTGTGATAAAATTTGGAATGTAATTCAAGAACACGAAGCAAATGATAGATAACCTGAAGCGGACTCTTCTTAGATCTCTAGTTCCATCGTGGAGGGCGACAAGGGTTATATACACGCCTGGCTCATACTGTTCGATCCACTCTGCCTCTACCTGACTAGTATTGTTGTTAACATGGCTCGAACCATTGTCGCTGTTGTTCTGGAACTGGAAAGGCTCGTGTCTCTCACTGATCACTGACCCGCTGCTGCTTAGCCGTGGATCAGCTGGATAAGCGTTGTTGTTGTTGTTTCTGTCGCTGGCTCTAGGCGTGTGCTTTGGTGATTGGAGATTGGACCAAGACGCATTTGCAAAGGCAAAGTCAAAAGGAGCAACTGAAGATATAGAAGAGGTCATCGATTCCGACCTTGAAGGATGGAAACCATTTTCTTCAGGGAAATGGAAACCGTTGTGCTCGAGTTTAATGCTCTCACCAGGAGGCAACTTCTCTGCTACATCCTTGAGCTGTACACAAACCAAAAGATTAGCTCACGAGTCAACAGAGTCCATTGTGAGAGTAAATCCAAACATATAACATTACCTGCGCTATGAGCGACTTTATAGCCTCTTTCGCGGCTCTTGATTTAGCAGATTCCTCCTCTGCCAATGCTAAGGCCTCCTGAGTCTTCTTTACCGAATTCTGGAGCTCTACTTCTTGTAGTTCACACTTTTGAGTCAGAGTGTCAACCTAAAACCAAAATCCAAGGTTTTAACATTAAAACTCGAAGGAATGACACAAGAAGAAGAAGAAGAAGCACGAGTGCCTGATGTCATTACCTGTGTTCGTAACTTATTGATCTCCTGATTCAAGATCTCATTGGTTTTCCTCATATTGTCTGCTATACCCACCGGGAAATAGATTCCGGAAGTTGAAGGCATAGGAGTGGCGGAGCGGGGAGGGCTACATCTCCTGGAGAAAGGCGACACCGACCTGGAGCTAATAGCTGAAGGAGCCGGAGCTAGCTTCGGAGCAGACCTCCGCATGTCGCCTATATTAGACTGCACGGCATCTTTCAGCTGCAGCAGAGAAGGCAGCTGAGAGTTGCGGCCGAGAGAGAAATTGTCAGCCTTCTTTCCTTGCTTTGCAGCTTTGCTATCCAGTTGCTTGATCAAGTCCATATTGGATGTACCAAACTTGGCTAACCTTATCTCAGATTTATCAAGCCTGTCTTTGTTCTCCCCTGAGAGACGAGGCACGGCGTTGTTCCTCCTGTTAGCATCGCTTATCTCAGAGACTTTGCTGAGCTTCACATAACAAGAGTCGCAGACCCGGTACAGCCTCCCGGCGCTAGGGGCCAACGCAGCGCGGAACGCCTTCTTGGAACTGCACGAGTGGCAGTGCACAAGCCCACAGTTGTAGCAGTTGTGCCTCTTCCGTGTGAACCCAAAGGCAAGCCTACAGGTTGAACACTGAGACTGCTCAGCACCGGAGACCCATTTATGCAGACATATCGCTGCGGTGTAATTCGATCCACAGGCAATGTACTTCACGTGTCTGTCCTTCAAAGCCTCAACAAGAGTTGGTACTTTACGATCCTCAACATCACCATGGCCTAATCTCCCGTTGGCTCCTTTACCCCATGTGTAGACTTCGTTTCTAGAAGTTAAGGCCGCCACGTGGTACGCCCCACAAGAGATCTCCTCGACAAACTCGCTCCCGAGCTTGTCCTCCACCAGACACGGCAACTTCCCGTCGGTCTGTACGTTCCCGAGCTGACCATAAACCGTACTCCCCATCGTGAAGACTTGTCCAGATGTGGTCAAACCTACTGTCAAGCTGTGTCCACATGCAATCTTGTGGAAATTGTAATCGATCAGCGCAGGCACACAAGTCGGTTTAAGCCGAGGGTCCTTGTCCCCGTGTCCGAGACGGTTCTTGTCTCCATCTCCCCACGTGAACAGTTTTCCAGACGACACGGAGCTAGAGTTTGACTGTGTGACAATGATCTCGACAACAGCAGCGGTGTGCCAAACCCCGCAAGAAACCGCGATGGTTCTCAGTCCTGATAAAGATTCAACTTCCCTCGGATACTGAACTGTCTCCCTGTCACCGTGCCCTAAGACACCAAACGTTCCATCTCCAAATGTGAAAAGCCTCCCGTACGATGTTATCAGAGCGGTGTGCCACGGTCCACAGCTCACAGAAGCCACATGGAGCCCTTCGAGGGAACCAGCGATTCTCTTTGGTATCCAGTGACTGATATCAGAGCCATGACCTAAAAGCCCAACGTTGTGTGTACCGTCACCCCAAGTGTAGAGCTCTCCAGCTAGAGTAACAGCGCAAGTGTGGAACTCCCCACAAGCAACCAAGTCAACAGATGAAGTAGCTGTGAGAGACTCGACGAGACGGGGATGGAAAACATCCTTGCCAATACCATGACCCAACCTTCCTCCAGATTCTTCACCCCAAGTGAAAATCTCACCTTGCCTTGTCACAAACGCAGCATGCCTGACACCGCACGCGATCTGATGAACATCCAAGACGATATTCGACTCCAATGGCTTCGGCACAAGGACGTCGGTTCTTGTGGTCAGATAACTTGCGTTCTTATCAACCCCTACCTTGACGACATTGTCACATATAACCTCACCCCAAATATAAACGTCACCTAGAGCATCAGAGTCATCTGCTGCAGAGCCGTGACTAGAGCTGCTTTGGGCACTCGAGACACTAACCCGGAAACCATCTGAACCACCGGATACCTTTGTTTGCATGTTTTTGGTTTCCAATGCCACATGTGATTTCTCTGACTCGGTTAAAGGAACCTCAGGCTCAGAACTCTTGGGAGAAACAATCGGATCGCTATTAAAAGGAGTCCCTGGAGAGCTGTGACCTCGTGAAGCGCTCGCAGAACTGCTGCTTGGACTGCTCGACGTCAAGTCTCTGCTGGCCTGGAAAACAAACAAATGCATTGAATATTTGATATCAACCACAAAGAGTTCCAACATACACAGAGTGAGTACTTACATCGACTGAGAGGTTTCCGCCACTCCAGCCATCAATTTTTGAACGACCGCCTTGCCCACCCGATATTAGTGTTTTAAGGCCTCCAATCCAAATCTCAGCCTCGACCTTGTCCTTACAAATCTATGAACAAGCAAACAGTTATGCTTGGAGTTAATTATCAAGTGCTGTCGGCAAATGCCAGTTTCACGATGACTAACCAAGTCAAGAGACTTCTTTTTCCCGTTGTATAAGAGAGAGAAGGATAAGTAATCTTTCTCCGGGCGAAGATAACGCTGGAAAACAGCCTATTGCAAAAAAAGATTAGGGATGGTTTTATTAGATATGCTTCACAAAGCCTTGGAGAGGAATTTTTCACATAGAAGAAATGAAGATATCTTACAGTTCTTTGCCCAGGTACGATTTTAGATACAGAAGCTAACTTCAGTCGCTTTTCACCGCTACTCGAAATCCAGATCAAAGATTTTTCATCCTGCAAATCCGACACCAACAAGCATGAGATGAAGCGATTGTCCAAAGAAACAATAGTAAAAGAGAAAGTGGTTGAGCAGACAGCAACTCACACTAGACAGTCTGAAAGGATAAAACTTCGGCTTTCCTTTCCGACCATATTTCAAAAGTTGTGTGCCCTTCTTCAATGTAATCAATGCCTGGCCAAATGTACAAGATCCGCGTAAGTAAACGACAACTAGCTACAAGTTAACATCGTTTTACGGCTGCGTATCCCCTAAGTACTTAGTTTTCAATGGTCGTTTTGTTACATGGAAGTTTCAAAAACAGCAATTGACTATATATATAACCCCATAGCTTACAATGTCAAGGTCCTGTCTTTTCCACAAGCCTAAAGAGTTCACTAGAGAACCAGACTCTTCAATTCTATAACTCCGAATTAAGATTTCAAATCCGGTGATAGACTTCTTGGGGAGAAATCATTGTTACGAAGAACAATTAACAGAGACTTGATGTTTACTGCAATATTTTAAAATTTGAACATACAAAGCTCCAAACTTTCGAATTTGGACTTCATACCACTTCCATCGCTAAGAGCTTAATAATCACTTTGTGGTAACAAGATTTGAGCTTTCTGCTGCTTAGAACAGAAAAAGACTTCCCAAGTGATCTTTAAACTTTGCAAATCGAAAGCATAGAGAGGAAGAGAGGTAGAGAGACGAACCTGCTCGACGTTGTGGTCAGCATTACTGTAGGTCGCAAGATCTGCCATTCCATGTGAGATATTCACCAGAACACCACCACCCTCGTCGATCCTTACCCGACGGGCCGTTCATCATCTACAAACAAAAGCCCCGGAGGTCCTAGCCGCCGTGGAAACCATCAATAAAAACCGTAACCAGCCGGTGAACCAGTTACAAGAGAGAGAGAGAGAGAGAGAGAGAGAGAAACGTAAACGAAAAGCTTAAAACTTTCAAGATGGCACAGCCCTTTCCGCTTAATTGACCTCCCAGATCTAACGAGGCTTCTCTAAGATGGAAAATTCAGAAACTTTGATATAAAAAGCTACACGATCTTCAGAATTTTCCCCCAGGAGCCAAATTTGATTCGCAAGTGCTGCTTTAGTATACTGTGGGAAACAATTCGCCTCTCCGGAGAAACAGAGGATGTCCTACCGGAGAATATAGTGGTGGGGAGAGATAAATCCGGCGGAGAAAAACGACGGGAAAGCAAAAAGGAAGAAGGAGGAAGACAGGGAAGTCAGAGACAGCGATGACAGAAGGAAGAGAGAGAGAGAGAGAGAGAAAAGAAGAAATGAAAGTGACGACGACGGTGTGAGAGACGGAGTCAGAGACGGTAAAATACGAAAAATAAATAAATAAATAAAGGAAACTGTTTCTTTCTTGGAATTACTAATTACTTTATTCTGTTTTTTTTTTTTGGTATAAAATCTTCTTAAAATAATTTATATACTTTTAAATAAAATATTCTATATAGAGGAGGCATCCCTATGAGACTAGTGAAACAAAAGAAAAGTAAAAGAGGCGTTCCCCATGCAATAGTACATTCGAGTAAATCAAATTATAATCTTTTTCCTAGTTATTAAACTTATAATAAGCATGTTTTGATTACAAAAAGCACATTTTGGTTTGAAATCAAGGTGAACGAGAAAAGCTAGAATTGAAACCTGTCCAGAAAAAGTGATGCACGCAAACAAACCAGAGTCTACTATGATCTGAACCATCATAATTGATTTTGTTTTAGTTTCAACAATTATTAATTATTTTTTTTTCGTATCTATTTTAGAGCTAGATAGACAATCCACAAGGTCAACTAAACCGACTAAAACTGGTTTGAGTTTTTTAACACCACTTTTAATTTAGCTATGGAAAAATTGTCTTTTTCTAATACCATCGTCTAAAACAGGTTTTTATTTTTCAAAAGGCAATTCCGGTTTACTTCATAGCGCGGATTAAATTAGGCCGGTTCATTTAGTCCGGTCTTAAAACTCACGTGCGGAGATTGGGGCCTATAGTGGTAATTTTCAAAGAGAAAAGTGGTTTACTCTTCGCCGCAGTCACGTTGAATGTTGGTTGCCGGTTGCCCTGAAAAGACAGAAACACCCCTAAGAGGGGCTAAGTGGGCCCGTTTGGTCTGGTGCTTTCCCTCCACATTTCGGGGAGTTAGTCGAGGAGAATGTATCATCATCACTTTTTGGTGAAAACAATAATAATAGTGCATCTCCATTTCTCTCTACTCGTTTTCTTCCTCATTAACCAATTGATATTATTGTTAATATGAATTTCTTATTTGTGTGTAACCTCCTTTAAATTCACCGACAAAGAAAATAGTTGTGTGGTTATAATAGGAATATGAGTGTGATTTGTTTGGTAGCAATGCATAATTACATAGGATCTAGCTCGTCTCGACATTGTAAAAGCAAATCGAAACCTTGGATTTGTGATGCATGCCCAAGGATCAAGACACAAAGTTGCAGTTCAATTTTCCATACAAAATATATAAATAATATCTTATCATGGCTGTTTTAATTGTAATTGTCATTTAGACTTAGAAAATCAACATCTCAATACCTCTTAGATTGAGGGAAAAGAGTACCTCTTATATATTGTACGTAATTGTGTCTTTTAGAATCTTTGTGACGAGAGTGACATGACATTAATACAATACGAAGAACATTTTGGTTCATAAATCCTTTTTTAAAAATAAAATATCATATCAGAAATTGCACATGTTGAAGTTTATTGAAACGTCATGATATTAATACAAGACGAAGAACATTTTGGTCCATAAATCCTTTTTTGAAAATATATATCATATCAGAAATTGCACATGTTGAAGTTTATTGAAACGTCGTGAGACCTCGTTATAATACCACTTGAAATATATATATCAGTCTAGTTAATTATTTAGTGGTGTTTTGAAAAACTGAGGGTTTAATTAGGTTACTAGAAGTAAATATTATATTCCATATCACAAATGAGAAAAACTAATAAGATCCTGAGAATGTATCATTAGTAAGGTTTTTGGAGGAAAATTTTGATTTACTAATGTAAGAAGAGGGAATGCGATGATAGATTGTATGATTAAACTTTAGAGAAATAAAATAAATAATGATGATGAGATTAAGGCAAAGGCTTGAGAACAAACGAAAGTTTTGGTGAACAAAAAGAAAAGCTCCAAGGAAACATGGAAATCTACTTACTTTGTTGGTTGTTGTTGTCTATGGGCCCCTCTCTCATTTCCTACTTTTACACACTTGTAATATAATAAAATAAAATAAAATAAAATAAAGCTTATTCAATATAATTTTGTCAACTATTAATTCGCTTATACGGAAATTCTCATTTATTGTGATTCTGCATGTGACCACAAGTGACAGAATCACATAAATACTCCAAGACAACATCAAAGTATTTTTCCTTGTTACTCCTAAGAAAGCACCTATACACTAATACACATGCGACAAACAATACGTGATTCACTTTAACTACACACATTCGATAGTAATTATGCGAAATTAGACGACAATATGTTGTTGGATAGGGTTCTTGAGATCATAATTTGGATTGAAACCTGGTCCTAGATACAAACACAAGCGAAATCGGGTCATACGGCCCACGAGCAGCAATTTTTGTTAAACAGGCCTGCGAACTCGATGATTTAACGGCCCGTTATTTTCCCGGTACGGATCGGGTACAAGAGCCGGGCCGGGTCGTCGAGACTCGGATCCTTAACTCAAGCGTTCGAGAGCGAAGAATGAAATCAGAAAATTCGAGATTGGACACAAGAAATTGAAATCAAGTAGTGATTGAGAGAATTCTGGATTCGAGAGCGATTCGACGCAGAAGAGACGAACGAGCTTAGGGTTTCGTTGTATTTGAAACCAGATAGAATCGAAGCTGTTCATTGAAATTAGGGCTTCTTTTTTTTTTTGTTGGCCTCTTAATTTCCTTCTAGTAGCTTGTGCGATCCCTCGATATCCTCCTGTTTCTGTCGACTTCCATGGCGGATGGGTACTGGAACCAGCAGCGACAGCAGCATCCTCCAAGTGGTCCTCTGAAACGTCACCGTTCCGATTTCGGTAAGCTCCTTTCTCTTAGTTCTCGATAGCTAGAAGAAGAAGCACACAATACGCAGTTTCAACAACTCCTTGATTGATGAGGCCATAGTTAAGCAGCTTGATCATCAACATATGATAGTTTGCTTGAGATAGATAATGCCCGCCCGTAATCATTCATTGTTCTTATAGCTCCAGATTCTGCATTTTTTTGTTTTCATGTAGTTTCTCTGTTTCGGTTTTTAGTGTACCAATCCTTAGGTAATTCACTTGTCATTGTTCTTGTAGAAGCTCCACCATCTGCAATGGCTTCAGGGCGTGAGATGCACGGTGGTTATTTTCCGCGGGACGAGGATCTCGATGTTCCCGATACAAGAACTATTGGGTCTGCTTATGATCGATACCTCCAAAGCGTGGTACCATTCTTCTTGATTCGTTTTGAGAATTTCCCCGATCCATTCTTCTTTCTTTGTTGACCTGATGAAATTTTTTTTTTTTTTTTTTTTGTAAAGCAAACACCTTCGGGAGAAGCAGGTCCTCGTAATGGTGTAGCCATGGGGAGACCAGGAGGTAACGGGCAATCCATGGGCGAGTTTATGATGAGACGTGGTGGAGTTGTCCCTCAAGAACACGGTCTAGATGGTCGTGGTATGGGTTTTGATCCACAAGAATCTGTTGATAGGCGTAACCGTGAACCACTTCCTCTACCTCCAGATGCATCCAACACGCTATATGTTGAAGGACTTCCTTCTAATTGCTCAAGGAGGGAAGTAGCTCGTATCCTCTTTCATGACACATGACATGTTTTTTTTTTTTATATATATGTTGAAGGACTTCCTTCTCTCCAGTTTCCTTAACCGAGGTCTAGATATATTTCGACCTTTTGTAGGATATAGAGAAGTGAGACTTGTGACCAAAGACTCCAAACATGTAAGATTCCTTGCTTCAGAGTTCTTGTCCCACAGATTTTATCACTTTGATAAACTTACTAAAGAGTTCAACTTTGTGGGCACTGCAGCGGAACGGAGATCCTATTGTTCTTTGCTTTGTTGATTTTACAAACCCTGCTTGTGCAGCGACGGCTCTGAGCACCTTACAAGGTGAGTAATAAGCTTACGAAATCTCTTTCAACTTCATTTTTTCGTTTTCCTGGCTTGTTAATCATATTTATTTTAAGTCCGTTTTCATCTTTTAATCTTTTTTTCTGTTGGAACATCTTTCGATTAGTACATATTGTGATACATTTGGGTTCGGTTTCCAAAAGCGGGAACCTTACTCTATCCCTTATGTAGCTATGCTCTAAATCTCATGTTCTTTTTAAAAACCAATTCATTTCACAGGCTATCGAATGGATGAAAGCGAGCCTGATTCCAAGTTCTTACGGCTTCAGTTTTCAAGAAAACCAGGTTCGAGACCGGGACAACGAGGAAGAAGGTGAATGACTCGGGGACATTGCATTACATCTACCAAATGGTAAATTGTTGTTTCTCGTCTGCTAGTTTTAATGGAAAGAGTCATCCTCCTTCAAGTAGAATCTCAATGAAACCGAACCTTACATCACTTGTTGTATCGTTGAAGCAACCTGAATCGAGAGAGACAAAGAAGCGTGGAGATTGTAGAAACTAAGGTGAAAGAACCTTTAAAAGTTTATTTTTACACACATATATATATTGTTTGTTCTCTTCCTAGATTATAAACTCATGTCCTGTTATAAAGCTATGTTGTTGATATCAAATGTTCATTACAAAAAGCTTATATGGATGGATCGATCCTTGGTTTGATGGAATTTTATATGGAGAGGATTTTATTATTGTCGAATATCAATTAAACATTATCTGCACTGCTTTCTCCATAAGTTTTAATTTCATTCGTTGGTGAATTATTTTTTTTTTGGCTTTTTGAGGGTCTTTCAATAATCCCTATGAAGACGTGTTTGGGGGTGCTGTAGTCGGGGAAGACTTTGTGATATTTGAGATAAGTTTATGACATATTATTTATTTAAATCACTTTGTGGTCCGAATTATGTAATGTTATCTTGTTACATTCATTGTCTGAATGTGTAGTAAACTCATTGTCTGAACCCGTCTTCTAAAAAATTACTGCCTCAATTTACCACCCAACAAATAGCTACATTTTTTACTCATTATATAACTTTTTTTTTTTTTTTGAAACTGGATATTACTCATTATATAATTTTTACCGTCTAGAATTCTACCATCAAACACATATCTCTCATTTGTGACTCATAAAATAGATGATGGATATCAATTATAATCATTATCATCAGTGTAACATATTGCTAGTGTTTTTATGTTAAAAATAGAAGTAAGTTGGAAATGCTCTTACTGATCTCTTTGTCGAAGCAGATACTCCTCTCTGCGTCTCTTTTCGTTTTACGTATCAAAAATCTGTCATGTTTATGTTTGTTGTCTGTCCCCTTTCACGATTTTTAACCTGTTAACATTACATCAATCCATTTTTTTTTCTTTTAAACAGTTATTCAAATATTTGAAATTTCATTCTGTTTTTACTTATTTAAACATGTTCACTAAAATGTATTGTTAAGTTTGGATGTCATTAGAATTAAACCCTAAGCGAGGTTGTTTTAGTTTTTTACTACTGAAACCAAAGTACTTGTTAATATAATACGATAATGTTTATAAATAACCTACAAATGTTCGAATCAGCTAATTAACAACTTCGTAGATTATATTTGCTATGCATACTATTCCTCGTCGGTGATTAACGTGTTCTTTAATGGTGTCCAATAATTATTCTTGAGCTATTTTTTTTTTTTGTGTGGCTAGACGAAAGACTTTAATTTTTAGAGAATATTATTAACATAAAAGAAGAAAAAGAGATGCATTTTGATGAAGAAAAACTTGTCTTTGTGAATTTTTTTAAATATTGATTCAAGTGGAGCTAGTAGATCTATATGTGTTCTACCGAGTCAACATAATTATTATAGTCATAATATATTATAGCCCTAATTAAAAAAAAATTATTATACTTTAGCATAGTTCCAAGATGCAAAATATCTTTTTAACCTTTTGTTTGTAGCCTTAGCATTCAACCCTATATAGACGACTTTGAATTTTATAGTATTTTGTAACCTTGGAAGCTGGAAGCCAATGGGATCAAAAATCAAGCAAAGTTTATCTATGTCTACATTAATATGTATAGCAAAACAATTCATTTCCATAAATCAATAGAAACTGGTTGGGTCTTTTGTCTTTATATTCAGTAGTCCGTAGCTACCAAATATGTACATGTAGTAGTGCATTTCACTATCGTCGAGTCTTTTGTCAATTTATCAAAACTTAATTTTCCTTAACCAAAAGAAACTTCGTTAATTAGGTCTTGCTCTAATATTCAGTAGTCAGTACCTACTAAATGTGTGCGTGTAGTGCCTTTCACTTTCGTTGAGTCTTTCCTCAATCTACTTATTACCTAACTCTGAGAAAATCAATCACAACTTCTCTCATGGGTCATGATTGACCGTTGCTACACTACAACAAAAAGGTAAAAAAATATGTGTAAGTTTGTATACTTCAATTATGCTAAGTACAATGCACAGTTATTGGCAACTAAGAAATTCTGATTTATATAAATTTCACATTACTAGCAGTCATACATCTTGGCAAATAGATAAGAGAACAAGAGAGACGAATTTTTCTTGAGAGAAGACAAAATCCATAAAAGGATGAATAACAAAATTGTTCAGAAAGACGTATAGAAGCCGCCTGGCCCCCACGAAGCAATGAAGTCCACGAACCCCTTCCAATGCTTTCACATGGAAATTTTATTTGGTACTAATATATTACAATGAAAAACATATATTACTTAATCTTCTCGATACAATTAGTTTAAACAAAAATCTCTATGAGTTGACCAACAAAAAAAAAGGTTCTAAACGAATGCAATATAATATATATGATGTGAAAGGTAGCTAGATACAAAAATTAAGTGCAGTAAATACGTTCAGTATGGTTTCTTTAGCTTGGACCGGTTACTACCATCAGCACTGTGTATGTATGTCATGATTTACTACCAAAAAAAAAGAAAAGAAAAATTGTTCAGGTGAATATTCCCATAATGGAGGAGGGAGCCTTTTCACTAGCTTTAACGAGTCTATTCCATTTTTTATACGAAAATCAATCAATAGAAAAAAAATAATATTTACTTATACTTTTGCATGGGGTTTGCTAAAGTCATTGATTTGTTTGGTAGATCATGAAAATCCAAGCACGTCTTCTTTTTTTCTTTTTTTCCTTTTTTTTTACTATGGTTATGACTTATGAGTCTAATGGGGAAATCAAACAAAGTCACCAAAAGAGAAAATTACGTTTATATTTTGAATTTAAGTTTTCTTGAACGAATGAGAGCCGTTTCCGTCCGGTTTCAAAAAACTGTAAACCAATTGTTCGTAATTTATTGATAATGCTTTCATAAGAAAATATATTTTTTTATAATAACAAAAAAAACATTTGAAAATAAGATTTTTTGTTTATATTATTGATGAAATCATGATAAAAAGAGAGATATATAATAACATGAAAGATAAAATATATTTATATATATATATGAATTTATTTAGTAGTGATGTTTTGTTAAAACACACACATAAGAAAAACTTAGAGTATGTCATTAATATACTAAGAAAATTAGAAATGCATGAAAAAGTTAAAACCAAACATTACTGGAACAAAAGAAAGAACATCAATGATAACAGTGATAAACATTCTTTTTTTTTTTTGGTCGACTGTATATTAAATATTCCTTGTGAAGAAAAATATATAAGGGTATCAAATAAAGATAATCCAATTGTGGACGATTCATTTGTACACATTTTTCTTCTTCGTGTATTTGGAATAATACATTAAGGTCGGACAAAGTGTGCATTACGACGAAAACAAACTCCATAGGTGTTTACCAGTGAATAGTAACAATTAATATATGGTTGAATCGACGTGTGTTCTTTCTTTTTCATACATTTCAATTTGAATATACATATAATGAGATTATCATTATTGATATGGATATATTATCTCCAAAGAGGAGAGAAAAAAACCAGCTAGCTTATGCAGCTACGACCCACGTCGGATGATATTACATTTTTTTTTGTCGTCGGATGATATTTACATATTTACAATCAAATACGTACCCTTTCTGTTTATTTTTGTTTTTCGTGGCTGGCTTGGACTTTGAATCATCAAACGATGTTTCACATTTACCTAATTAGTGACTTTTTTTTTAACAAAACAATTTTGAACGTAAGAGACTCACACACACGCTACTAAAACCCATTTTTAAACATTTTGGAATATTCACACATATATTGCCACTAAATGCAACCTTTTGATTGTTAAGTATACTTTTTTTATTCTACAAATCTAGTAAACATATATATATATATATATATATTTCAACTAAAAAATCAAAAAAAACAAATTGAGTAAGAAAAACCGAAATTAGCAAGGCAAAATCTTTCGCAGCTTCCACAGTTTACAGTTTTTGATATTGTGTTTTTTCATATGCTTTTCTAACCAAGGGAAAACTAGTACCATGTTTGAATAACAAAGCATAATTAAGTTTTCTTAAACCAAATTATTAATGACGGTGAGTATACTAAGTTTGTTTGACGTCAATTTCTTCAGCATCAAAATTGTCAAGATTAGTTATATAACTTTTGACGCTTAACCAAATAGTCAACTTTCGAGAAAGAAAAAAAATTATATAGTGTTAAGTTGTTGATTTGTCTAAATCCTAATCCAGCTGGTAACTTACCCATTTAATAAAATTCACCCCAAACACCCCCACCCCCTTTTTAATCTATTATCCAAAATGTTTTATTGCCTAATGTTGACCAAGCTTCGGTTATAGCTTATTCACTTATTTTCAAGAAGAAAAGTGGCTTTCAATTGGATTATCCTCCATCTAGTGTATATATTTTATAATCACCGGTTCGTGATAATGTTATTTTTCCCAATTTGACAACATTATATATAAACTGTATCTAGATCTTTTCTTTTTTGAACCTTTTATACATTATATCTTTCTCGCTGAGTTGTTTACATCATTTCAAAAGTAAAAATACCTCTTATTTTTTTCTTTCAAATTCTGTTAAAACTTTTGACCTTAACATCATTGTTAGATATCTTAATAATATGTATTTATATTAGATTTAATGTTGACTAAATAATAATTAGCCATTATCGGAGACAGATATTAATGCTTGTTTTCCTTTTCTTTTATGGACTGCGAGTTTTGGTTATTCTTGTCACATTCCTCTTTGGCATGATCTTTTTCATTTTAGCAACAACAACAAAAAAGTAAAGAGATTTAAAATTAATCTGAGAATAATAAGAACGTGTGAAGCAAATCAATCAAAGATTGACTGTCACCGGCACGAAATGAAATCCAGTACATGACGGACCACTTTCTCCTTCAGTGTTCCTTTCTCATTCAACTCGGCCGCCTATCTTTAAGACTTTAACGCGTTTGCATTCTTTTTTTACGTCCAAATCAAAATAAAAACGAGAAATTTGTTTTTTTCCTCTATGTTTTTTTTTATTTATCAATGTACTTATTTTATATAGTTACAAGTTACGAGAGAACAAAAGATAGAAATCTCGATATAAAAAAACCTAAGTTTGTGATGAACATGTAGCTGATAAAATACTTGTGATACTCCTTAAATACATGATTTTGGGTACTCTATGAAACTACCAACATGCAGTACTTTATTTACTTAATTTTATTAATAAAAAGAGAGAGTTGAAGAAACGGAAAAACTTGAAACACAAAATAGTTTAATTCATTGGCAGGATAAATATCCGTAAGACTATATATGTTGTACATCATGCTAAAAACATGCATTTTAAGTTATTACAAAAAAAAAACGTTCTTAATATTTAAAATATAGTGGTTTATTTGATATTGATCATATTACATGGTTTTGATTCTCCAAGTTTATTTTTTGATAATCCCATATGTCATCATTATTAGTTTACTAGCTAAGATCCAAAATTCCAAACCCTTATATTGTATTTGTGGAAAAAGAAAAAAAACTTTCTGATAGAAGAAAAATGAAATTTAGTATTTTCCTGGTAAATGGACTCATATTAACATTTTACCAGATTCAGAATGTGTAATTCTCTCTCGTATTTTTCATCTTTCACTTATCTTTTTACCATTTTCTAGTATAGTATCGGTCATTTTTTGGTTCTTTTAGTTCCTCTAGTTATCTTATGATAAAATACTGTTAGCTTTAGATTCAATGTTCTCTATATTATATTTGGTATGTTCGGAACATACAGAAACATATCGATCAACGACGACCAAAATAATAGAAGGGGAAAACGAAAAATAATATTGAATCCCGAGAGAGACCAACCTCATTTTCTTTCTTTGTATTATATATTCATCAATCATTGTTGTTTTTCTTACGTATGACAAAAATACCATTTACCGCGAGAGATAAAAAAAATGAAACTGAAAAAGCTATATAAAGGGTGAGAAGGGGAGAGAGTAAGAGCATCAAACACAAAGAGAAACACATAGAAAAATGAGGTCACCAATGGCCTCTTTGGCAGCAACTTTGCTTGTCTTAACATTCTCTCTCGGTTTTGTATCTGAAACCACCGCAAATTACTACTACTCTTCTCCTCCTCCACCGGTCAAACACTACACTCCTCCGGTTTACAAATCTCCACCACCACCGGTTAACCATTACTCCCCTCCTCCGGTTTACAAATCTCCACCACCACCGGTTATGCATTACTCCCCTCCTCCGGTTTACAAATCTCCCCCACCACCGGTTATGCATTACTCCCCTCCTCCGGTTTACAAATCTCCACCACCACCGGTTATGCACTACTCCCCTCCTCCGGTTTACAAGTCTCCCCCACCACCGGTTAAGCATTACTCGCCTCCTCCGGTTTACAAATCACCCCCACCACCGGTTAAGCATTACTCACCCCCTCCAGTTTACAAGTCTCCCCCACCACCGGTTAAGCATTACTCCCCTCCTCCGGTTTACAAATCTCCACCACCACCGGTTAAGCATTACTCCCCTCCTCCGGTTTACAAATCTCCCCCACCACCGGTTATGCACTACTCACCCCCTCCAGTTTACAAGTCTCCACCTCCACCAAAGAAGGACTACGAGTACAAATCCCCTCCACCACCGGTTAAGCATTACTCTCCTCCTCCGGTTTACAAGTCTCCTCCTCCACCCAAGAAACACTACGAGTACAAATCACCTCCTCCCCCGGTTTACAAGTCTCCTCCTCCTCCAGTTTACCACTCTCCTCCACCACCTAAGAAGCACTACGAGTACAAATCTCCCCCTCCACCGGTTTACCAGTCTCCTCCGGTTTACCATTCTCCCCCACCACCAGTTTACAAGTCTCCCCCTCCTCCGGTTTACCATTCTCCCCCACCACCAGTTTACAAGTCTCCCCCTCCTCCGGTCTACCACTCTCCTCCACCACCTAAGAAGCATTACGAGTACAAATCTCCTCCACCACCGGTTTACCAGTCTCCCCCTCCTCCAGTTTACCACTCTCCTCCCCCTCCGGTTTACCACTCTCCCCCACCACCAAAGAAGCACTACGAATACAAATCTCCTCCTCCTCCCGTCCATTCTCCTCCTCCACACTACATGTACACATCTCCACCTCCTCCATACCACTACTAGGTAAACTTATCGTCGACTCAGATTTCTCATACTTACAATATGCATGGTACACATCAATCCAATTTGCTTATCTCACACGTTTGCATATATTCTTGCAGGAGTTGACGACAGTATACAAAAAAACAAAGAATCTTTTGGTGACATAATAAAAGACAAGATCATTAAGAGAGAATCGAAACGGATATATGTTCTAAAGAGAAAGTTTCCCATTTAAGTGTTTGTTTCCCCCATAAATAAGTTGTTGTAAACTTCAAACATGTTGATCAGTGGTCCATTCATGCATGCAAATTAGTCATATGTTTGTAAGTTCAAGTCCTGTTTTCTCATAATTCTTCAATTTCAAAGTTTGGTTAAATAAAAGTATAATTTTCTTTTCATCTCTCTGATCCACAAAGTCTCATTACTCATTTTAATTAACTGGCTGCTATGAAATCCTCAAATGAACCATTTATGCAAAGTCCCCCCTCTAAATGATTATTATATTAATTTTAATTAGTTATTATACAGGAATTCTGTTATCCAATTACAATCTATGTAGAAATAAATCAGACAATTTGGTTGAACTGGTCAACAGTCGTCGTACTTCTAAGTGTTGTACAAGTACACAACTTCTCAACCCTAAATTTGAACGGAGAAGACAAAACCGAGTTTGTTGGCGGTAAAAGACGTTAATGCCCTGACTTCAACGGCTATAACATTAACCGCCGGTAAATAAATATTACAGGATTGCCGTTGACTTATGCCATTTTGACAAAAAAGTAGGTAGAATTATCGGTTTTCTTTTTAAATGCTTCTTTTTCAGTAATTTCGTATTCTGGATAACATGTAGTTTACATTTACTTAAATCCGTGGAAGATTTTATATCAATTTCGCATTAAACATACGGAAGTGTAATAGTTTCATTCAATTATTAATACGAAACGAGTGGTAGTATATTTCTTGCAAAATTAATTACCTCGCTATTTGGAAAAAGTAAGCATAACCTCTTCATGCTTTTTTTTTCTTGTCTTGCAATTATTTACGTTGTTAGAAAGAAAATTAAGAATACGGAGTACTTACTTGGCTGGCTATTGCAAAATCAATAAGCTTACATTAGAAGACATAATTTGTTTTTGGTACTTAAAAAAAAAAGTGTTGGTTATTGATTTTTTATTTATTTTTAGTTAAGAAGACATAATTTATATACAGGTTAACATGTTTTTGCGTTTATTATGTCTTATTATTGTAATAACTCTTTATTATATCCCAAATCATATGTTTCCTCCTGAATTTAAGTGTAGACTAAGTGTCCTTTTATATATTTTTTCACTCTTTCCGTACACATTGACAATAATAAGTCAACTATATTTTTTACGTGGGATTCTTCCTGCCGCTGTTCTTGACAGTTGACACTACCCTATCTGATTTCTCAACGTAACTCCATCAGCTTTCTGACTGTTCACAACGGAGATTTACATTACACACTGAAATAAATAATTTTATGTAGAGACGAATTAAGCCAGAAAGTTTGGCAGAACAGAAAAAGAAAAAAAATGGTTGGTTTGATCACTAGAACGATGTTTAAGTTGCTTATAATCTCTGGAAATGAAAAGTTTAATCATTGGTCTCAGTTGCTAAATTCTTGAGATAGGAAACAGTGAAACAGTACGAAGTATAAAAACAGTAGGACGGCGGGAAAACAAAAAAGTGGACGAAACAGTGGTTCTCACTATTATTCGTTTGATGTTTTTCTTCAATGGAAATCGAACCAAACTTAACAAAATCAAAACCTGAATAACTATATTTTTAATAATTTATTTAAAAATCAAAACCATTATCCTAGTTACATTTTTAAAAAATTATTTAAAAATCAAAACCTGCAAACCGAAAACCAATATCGCCATTCCTAGTATAAGCCCAATAAGTCTTACCAGAGTCCAATAAATCTTTCTCAATTTGATGATGGTGATGATTTTGTTCCATTCTCTACAGACCAAACATAATGGTTCATGACATATGCATGGGCTATGGCCCCATTTTTACTTTGCAAAATGCTCAATATGGCATAAAATAATTTTTAGTAATTTAATAGCAAAAAAACTGCATCATCAAGCACGTTCCTTCGGTTTCAAGCTAATGATATCATCATCATATGCGTAAAAAACGTATGAAGAAGTATAAACTTTGAAATCAAGCATACATATGATTAGTGTTATAGTTGACTAAAGAACGAGATTAGTTTCCTTAATGATTCTCTCCATATGGTATATGGTCAGAAACACCACTTACTTTATTGTTGTTTTAAAAAAATTGACACAGACATTTCATAGATTACTTTACTGTGATAAATCACAATTAAGAAACCATAGCAACTATATGAGTAAGCTTGAAGCCTAAGGCAACTTAAACTTTATGTAAAGATGATCGTATGATGTATTTCTCAAGACCGTTTGAAAGAGAGATATATATAACCTCTATTAACTACATTCCATTAAACAAAGTCTGGATTTTTAGGGCAACACAAAGGCACAATGACAACATAGAAACAGAAACACCAACATTGATAAACAAAAGCACAAACAATCATAGAAATCAGCAAAAAACAATTTTTGGTAAACAGAGTTTCCTATTATGAGTTTGGAAAGAACAACAAACGGACCTTTTTGCTTCACGGCATCATCGTAAGCTTAGCATCGAACACAAACCCTCGACACAGTCCATCTGCATAACCAGGAACACCATCGATCCATCTCCATCCTTCAAAACAATCCCACATCGCAAGCTTCCCCATCCTTTTAGCAGAGAAGTAAACCCTATCTCCACCTCCAAAGACTTTGAACTTGCTCGATTCTTGAAAACCTCTGTACATATCTATCGGCATCCTCCCTGCTTCTTCCCACTCCAAGCTCTCTAAGTCAAGCCTAAGTATCAGAATCGTCGAACAAGCCGGGTTCAACGAGAAGGTCGACTTCAGGCCACCGATCATCAGAAGCTTAGAGTCGCCGTTTCCTCGCAACAGGCGCGGCCGTTTGATGATGTCGAAGATATCTCCCCATTCGTGTTTCTCAAGGCAAATCCAATTGGTGTGAGTGATTGTGAGGTTCGTCAATTTACAAGAGAAAAGCTTCCACTGGCTTCTCCACGGAGATCCAACGTCGCACAAGGCGAAAACAGAGCTCGACATCAACACAGGGCTTCTAGGTTTCGACGGTAAATTCGACGAGAATTTGAGCCACTGGTTAGCAATCACCGTACCTGAGTAATACAGAGCGGCCAGCTCGGTGAGCACCATGACTCGGTTAACCGAGTCGACCAGAACAGTGCCGTGCCGTGACCAAGCCGAGCCTAGCTGAGGCAACACCTTGAACTGACGAGTCAGCGGGTTGCAGGCGACGAGGGATTTGCTAGACTCGGCCGAGTCAATCGAGTCTCCCCAGAGGTAGATCAACCCGCTCGAAGACGCTACAGGCTGCGGCAATCGGAAAGGGAGGAAATCGAGATTGAATCTGAACCACTGATTCTCCTCCGGGTCGTATACATGGATGTAAGGCCGGATGTTCGCCGAGGCGTGACGGTGGCTGTGGTGATGAGGAGGCCGGAGAGCGAGTAGATTCAGCGGCGGACGAGTAGAAATGATCTCCGTGAAGCACTGAGAGGTCAGGAGCTGGTTGAAGAACTTGCAAACAGATCTGCAGATCATAATCTGACGGAGGGAAAGAGACGAGAAGATCTGGTGAAGCGAATCCGGCGGGAGACGGTTGATCGGCGACGACTCCATGATTGGCCTCCTCCGTTAGTTTGCGGCGGCGGCGGAGGACGGAATCGTGATTCCTCGAAAGGCGAAAGGGTAAAATGGGAATTGTCAGCGAAATCGCGTCCTCTGCGTTGTCATTGGTTGCGGTTTTCGGTATCGGAATGGGAGTAGTGAAGAAAATGGAATAATTTTTTATAGTTCCTATTTTGTCCCTCGCTTAATGGGCTGACTCACCTACTTGTCTGGTTATCATTGAAAATTTTCATAGACCTTTATTATTTTATTTCGTTATTAATACCTTAATACCTTCACAATTCTTATTTTACAAAACAATAATTTTCAAGGAATGTAATCAAATTCTGTATAAGTATTGAAATTCTAGTTTCAAGGTTAATTTTTTTTTAATTGTGCGAATAAAATTGTCTGAAAAGACACAAGTTGCTATTGTCGACCTCGTTGGCTAATCAGGTCGGTCCAAAACAATGGTCGGCTTCTTTAGGTTACCCCGTTTCCAAATTGAGTTTTGTATCAACCCAAAAGTCAAATTTCTGAATTCGGAATTCGTTAACAGTAATTCACAATTAAGATTTAAAAGTCATAAGAAAACAAAATAACTAGTGCATATAGGAAAAGATTAATAAACTGAAACGCTAGTTATATTCGTTTTTCATCGGATATGTGATTTTCTCTATATTATAAAACCTAATTTGATCGAGGCTATGGTTTGATCAAAGTAGGATTTGTGCTCCACTCCCACGTTGTTAAAAGTTAAAATCAAAATCGACGATAATGTTTATAAGAGAAGGCAATTTGGTGGTAACTTAAACCGGTTTCATTGGGCTGGGCTTGGGTTTCCCCATCATAGTGAATGAGAGCATGCCGTACGAGTGATGGCTCATGTGGCCTCTAAAAGTGGAAGGGACTCATACAAACCCAATGGGCTGTAATTTAACTATAATTATTTTTTCTCCGGGCTGCCAAAATCATTCTATATATATATATTTTTTTTTTTTGACAGCAACGAATCCATTCTATATAAAAGCACGATTTATTTTAACATAAAATGCGAATAATCCGGGATTTATTTACTTCCCAATATGTATTCGGCCGGGTAACAGTTCTTTACGTTTTCAAAAATAAAAAAAACGTGAATAAATCACAGGACACTATATCGCTGACCATGATATATATATATATATATGGTTTACTAGTTCATGATGATTAAATGTCATCTAAAAAAAAAATGTTGACCAAAAAAAAAATCATGTTGACCAAAATAATAGTTTATGTTGACAAAAAAAAAAAACAAAAATCATGGGACAGGAGATGGTAATTGCCAAGTTATTTTCCTTTTGTCAACTTTTCAGTCGTAATTAGTGTAACTTGGTAAATATATGTATATGAAAAGAGGGGTTTATACATAATATGCATGTAGGATGATTGAGAGAGGTATTTGATTGGAGGAAACGAATCAAATATTATTGGCTAGCGATCGAGTAGCTCAAGTGGGTGAGATATAATTTGGAATATTGTGATTTCTCTTTAAAGGTGTGGATTGGGAATACAGTGAACAGAAAGAAAGAAAGATAAAAAAAAAAGGAAAGAAGATACAGTATGAATAAGAACATGATAAGTGATGTACTTACGTCGAACCAGCTGTTTTAGATTTTTGTAAATGACTAAGACACGAAAAAGACAATGTTCATGAATTACATTCAGCAGTTCGAGCATTAATGTCGCTCCCTAAACATTATAAATATAGAAACAGAAGCATATGGCTTATATAAGAAAGAAAAAAACAAACATCTTGTTGAGACTTGAGATCGAAAATATAAGTATATATGTCTCTGAGTCCGAGAGACCCTCTTGTGCTAGGAAGAGTTGTAGGAGATGTTGTTGATCATTTCACGAGATCGATATCTCTTAGGGTTACTTATTGCCAAAGACAGGTTACTAATGGATTGGATCTAAGGTCTTCCCAAGTTCTGAACAAACCAACGGTCGAGATCGGAGGAGATGACCTCAGAAATTTCTACACTTTGGTTCGTCTTCTATCCGATATCTTCAATACTCCTTTCCCATTTTTTTATACGTATAGCCGGGCATATCCACATTTAATAAGTTATTGTTGTGGTTTTTTTTTTTACTGTCAGTTTTTTTTTCCTTTATATATAATGTGTTTTGAAGAAACATTGATTTGCCAAAAGAGCACGTAATTAAGTTACATTTCAGACAACCATTTATATCTAAATTAGAGAGCCAGTATTATCTTGATCGCTTTCATCGTAGATCTTCTTATATGGTGTATTAACGAGTGTAATGAAGGTTATGGTGGATCCTGATGTGCCAAGTCCAAGCAACCCTCACCTCCGAGAATATCTCCATTGGTTAGTACCATCTCTCTAATCATTTTATCTAACTTTACTCAAGAGATATTTGATATACACTCCTTTAACAAACAAACAAAAAGAAAGAGATTAATTAGATACACAGTCTCCCACTTTTTAATTGATCGAAATTAATATTCTTTAATTTTTTGTATCTAACATATAGTCTAATTCGAAATTCAGAAGCCTACGCATTTCTTAACTAACACACAAAATTTGATATTTTACTTGTACTAGAAGAGGACATACAGAATGAACTTTGTTAAAAGCAACTAGTCACTTTAGTTGTGCATGCTACTACATTCAATACAAGTACAGAACAACATATGTTTTTCTTTAGTCCCGTGGTCCCACCTATATATAATAATATATGGTTTTTTTCAACTATGAAAATAAATTAGATGGCGAGTTACTTATCGTGCATATGCATGATTGGAGAATTTCCAAAGACCTTGATGCATATATACATTCCAAGCAGCATTTTGTTAATTATGCGGTTTAAATCTAAGTGGATACAAATCTCATTACAGGTTGGTGACTGATATACCCGCCACAACTGGAACGGCCTTTGGTGAGCTTAATTAACTCTATAAATTCAACCAAGTAAAAAGATAGATAAAAACATTCATGCAAATTTAAATTTGCAATTATTCAAGTGTTGCCATGAAAGATTTCTTGTAAACAAATATTCCGAGTTAAAATATTAGTCGATTTCATATGTTTTCATAGTCTATTTTTGTCCGCTTTGGTCGAATATATGTTTGATGTTTATAATTTTTAGGCAACGAGATGGTGTGCTATGAGAATCCACGTCCCACCTCAGGAATTCACCGAGTCGTGCTGATATTGTTCCGACAACTCGGAAGACAAACGGTTTATGCACCAGAGTGGCGCCAACGGTTCAACACTCGTGAGTTCGCTGAGAACTACAATCTTGGTCTCCCTGTGGCTGCCGTTTTCTTCAACTGTCAGAAGGAGAATGGCTGCGGAGGAAGAAGAACGTAGATGCCTCTTTCCTCTATAACTTATCCATTCGTGTTTTGTATACCCTAAATAGACATTTAAGCATCTACGTTGTTTGTAATAACAGTTCAATGATTTGACTAAAGAGAAGGGGATGCTTCCTGACATCTTATATAAAGTAGTTATACTTTATGTTTAATAATTGAGTGGGACGACGAAAGAAATGAGAGAGTGTTCTCACTCGAATGTTGTATGATGCGACATTTTATGTCATTAATATAAAGCAGTCTATAAAAATCCTGCGTATGTTTTCATTTGATCTTTTTATACATGGACCGTTTCTTAATACTTGTCACCAATTAGAAAAGAAGGACTAGCTAGTGAAGCTAGTTATGGCATTGGAATCTACTTTTGGTTTTTTTCTTTTGAGTTCATAATGAAAATGACTAGCTAGTGAAGCTAGTTATGGCATTGGAATCTACTTTTGGTTTTTTACTTTTGAGTTCATAATGATAATATCATATACACTTCTACAAAATGGGAAAGGGACTTTTTCTGTATATAAGAAGGCTGTGAGATGATATTAAATTAGATACTAATCTTTAACAAACACAACCTACATGATTATCAAGTTCCATGTGCTAATAATAGGGACAAACTATACATGTTTGATCAAGATTACATTTGATAGAAGTAGAGACACCAAAATTAGGCTTCTTTAACTAAAAAATGCCCATTTTTATATTCAGTTGAGGGCAAGATATCAAGTAAGAGATCCATGTACATATATGATATATCAGTTAGAAAAATCTAATTATATTTATAAGATTATAACATTCAGAGGGAAAAAAGATGAAAACTTTTAAAGAGAATATAATCAAACTTAATTTGGAAAGCACAAAGCTCAAACAAACAGAAAAAAAAGGGTGGAGCTCATGCATGAGGTCTCACAGGGTGCAACGTCATCATTCAGCAGCCACAAGTGACAAGATCGAATGTGTTGTGTGACATCAGAAGAATAAATCCAAGATACTTAAAGTTGATCTATTATTACACTCAGAAGCAGAATAAAGCCAAGTGTCCACAAACCTTTTCAACTGAATTTATCAGTAACCAGAAATACTGAAGTCAAAAGTTCCAAAAAAATTTTGGCGCATAGTTGAAATAATTTTAAATTTGGAATATAATTCATTTAGTTTGATTTCTACTTGCTTTTTTAGATTGAAGTCAAACAATTCGTGCAAACTGAACCATACATATAAACATAAAATTTGGTTAAAATTCGAGAACATGCAACATTATACACACCTGTAGTCCCGTACAGATTTGAAAAAAAAAAAAAGAAAGAGGGGGAGAGATGTACGTGGATGATTTGCAAATTAAGATCACTGATCCAAAACCGAATCGGTTTAACCGCGACCCAGTTTGGACTTTAACCAAAACCACTAATAACTCTTTCTGTGCCCAAAATCAATATTACATTAACACCCAATGCTTCCTTGATTTGCCATTACCGTTATTTAGTTTCTTTATGGGCTGATTATATTTGGCCCCAATAACTCTCTCTGGGCCCAAATACATTATTACATGAACGCCAATGTTTCCTTAATTTGCCATTTTCGCTATTCAGTTTCTTTATGGGCCGATGAAACTGAGCCCAATAAAACTGAAAATGAGGCCAATAACTGTAATAGTCAAAAGTAAGGAGGAGCTAAATCCAATTTACATCAATTTGAAAAGGGCAAAAAGGTGCGAATTATAAAATGAGCTGTGCTACGTTTACTGAAAATGACCTTTTCCAATTGAATTAATCATGTATATATTTTTGATGAATATATACATTTTTACATGATCTGTTCAAATTTAATTAATCATGTATTATAAGCTTTAATTTCAATCTCATATAACTATTATTTTCAACATCTTTGGCCAACAAGGCGGACCATTTCAATCTCATATCTATCGGCGTGTGCATACCACAATCCCATATGGAAATTAACATCCAAAAACATATCAATCAAAACTTCTAAGCTTCGTCAACATAGAAAACGCCCTCAGTGATCATATAAATCTGTCATTTGTGGCGCATCAAACTCCGGTTTTCAAAATGACCCATAGTTACCAATGCAATAAGCTAGAAGCAGCGATAGAGGAAGAAGAAGAAGAAGAAGAAGAGGTTGTGTTAACAATGATGATGATGATGATGAAGAATCGCAAAGGTAACTACGAGATCAAAACATTGAAAAACCAGGGCACCACTCAGAAATTAATGTTTACATCAATGGGCCAAAATCAGAATCAGATGATGAGACACATTCAAAAAAAAAAATTCTTAAAAAACGAAGAAAAGCCCTCAGATCTCATAGCTATATATCTGATCATAGCAAGTAAATGAGTAAAACCCAGCAAACCTAGAAGACCCGAACACCACTAATTCGCCTCCGACGCACGTGTGTGTGATATAAATTAAATGGTGAAAGTGAGATGTGCGCGTGTGAATGTCGTCGGCGACGAAAAAGCGATGTTCAAGTCTTAAAGGACAACCACATGCCGGAGATTATCCAGATACAACCGCTCTATTGCATATTTTTTCCATCATTGGGCAATTAAACAACAAAATCTTAGAAAACATTCTTCAGAAATATCAAACTAAAAACAAAAACAAAAAAAAAACGAAAACCGCTATTCTAATCGACGGGAAGAAGGTGTGCAAAAGTCATATACAGATCTGGGGCGGGCCGTTTGAAGGTGAGATAAAAGAGATGGAACTAGGGCTTCAGCATATCGGGGAAAATGACGATTATACCCTTACAGTTTAAGCCTGTGTAATTTAGTTAATTACTAGGTTCGTGGGCTCTGAAGGTTCAAATAAAAGCCCATGTTGTGTTTGATGTCCAATTGTCGCTTTAGGCCTTTAGAAGGGTCAATGAGGCTCATTTGGTGCTTCACCACTCTCTTGCAATTGGCAATATTTTGAAGTTTTTAATCACGAAGACAACCTCATACTGTAATTAATTTGAGGTTCAATAAAGTGAATTTGATTTCTTGATTGAGATTGGTGAAGAATAAAAGAATGATCTTTATCCTAATGTTGGTATCCAATACATGAACAAGGAAGATAGTAGTGCAATTTTATGGAACAATTAATCTTGTGATTTAGCTGATTACAGATATCTTTATAAGAAAATGGTATTAAAACCCAAACGAATCTTTACAAATCAAAGGTGGCAACTAGAAATGAGCCATATTGACCCTTTTCGTTTTATTATGGCCCTTCGAGTAAACTTTGATCACCAACAATCAGATGGATTTAATATATTTAAGAAGATTGATTACATCATCACATAACTTGGTTGATGAAACTATATCTATCGTCGTTAGGTCAATTCTTATTTTAATTTTCCAATCTTTTTTACTTCCATCGCAAAAATTCACTCATGGTTGTTGATTTGTTGTTTGATTGTTCCACACCCAAAAATAAGATCACCCGTTTTCAATAAAGAGCATCAACAAATTGTTCACTGAGAGAGTTAAAAAAAACAAAAAATGTTCATTGAGAATGTAACACCACCTCTCCTCATATGAGATGACGTGTTAAACATTTAACTTCCCAACCAAGTTACCACAGTATTAACTCCAAATCAATACTCATTTCATAAATATAAATCCAAATAATCTTGTAAATAATCAACTTAAACTCAAGTAAATCATAATCAAGTCTCAAAACCAACTGAAAACCATTTGAAATAAAAACCTAAGTATCTTAAGGACCCCGAAGACCGAACTAGAGAACCAGTCACCACCATCACACGCCAATCACTGATGCTGCTCCTGCTCACCTGCGCAAGGGAGAAAAGGGACAGGGAGGAGATGAGTAATTTAGATTACCTAGGAGAATGCATACATGTGGTCCACCACACATATCACAACCTAAACATGTCGCTAGCCATCAGCTAAACGAACAAGTATTCACAACTATTCAATAATCAACAATCAACAAACAATCATAATAGGTCTAGGTAGGAACTACATCTACCATAAACACAACAAGCAATCACATTAGGTCTAAGTAGGAACTGCATCTACCATAACCTCAACAAGCAATCATATTAGGTATAAGTAGGAACTGCATCTACCATAACCTCAACAACCCTACAAGTGGAACTGCATCACTTTCAACTATCGGTATAGGTAGGAACTGCATCTACTGTAAACCCAAACAATCCGATAAGTGGAACTGCATCACTCACGGCGCTTATATCTAGGTAGGAACTACATCTACCGCAATATCAACAATCCGATAAGTAGAACTGCATCATTTTCGGCTCCTAATGCAATTGTGCTATTAACACTCTATATGCAATGCAACCCACAATTCTCACAAGCAATCAAACATCAAACAACAATCAACGATATTAACCGTGGTCCTAGATCTATGTTCAGAAACAAGTAAAAGTAAATCACAACACACAACAAGAAACTACAAGTTACGCCATAAGCGCAATCTGCAGGGGAAGGAAATCCGCTTATCCTTAACCAGAGACAAGCGCGGAAGATAATACGGAAGGGAAGGCATGGATACATCCTCACCTTTGACGGATTGAATGAACAGCTAAAACAAAAGAGGTTAAGGTTTAGGGATCTAACGACAAGAAGCACAAAACTCAACAAGACGGAGCAAACGAACGGCGACGGCGGATCCTCTCTCCCTCGACAGTGGACGGTGTTGGCTGAAGGTTAGGGTTTAGGGTTTCTATCTCTGAGTGCTCTGGGAATTGTGATAGCAATTCTGACTCTCTAACTCTCTTTATATAGTATAGGGAAGAGGGGAAATCTAAGGTTAGGAATTTTATAACCTAATAGGCTTAACGGGCTTTTGGGCTTTAAACATTAAAGAACAAAAATAACAGATCGGTTTAGTGAACCGGAATGTTAGAGAGAACGTAAATTTAGAATGATGCGTAATCGTGGGGGGTTTCTCTACTTGATGGACTCTTCACACCATTATTCACACACGATTGGTCCTTAAGATGTTGGAATTGAAGAAGAATATAATACTATATAATAGTAGAGTATTATATTATCATATGACCTCGAATAACTTAACTCTCCAAAACAAAAACAAAAACAAAAACCGACAAAGAAACTATAAATCTTGTACCGGAGAAGACAACCATTGAAATCTCTGTCTTGTCTTTCACCGGAGAGAGATAGAGAGAAAGACGTTTTTTTTTATCATTCGATGTTTCTTGTAACAAGATGTCGCGTCGGTCCGTACAGACCACCGTGGGAACTCAAGAGCAAATGTTCTGCCATGTAGCTTTTTCCGACAAGGATTACTTACCGTTTTCCAATCTGCTCTGATGTCAAGTCGGCAAGCAGTGTGCTCACTTCTCCGTGTCTGTCATTTGCTTTGGCTCGCCCTCCTCTTTCTCCCTTAACACACATTTTGATGTTTTACAGAAAGTACTTTGTCCATTACTTTTTGTTCTTTTTAAAACTCTTTTCAAACATCAAACATGTAATCAATGTAACCAAATGCATGTTTATGATTTCTAGGCTATCCTCGTTTTGCGTTTTGACCGTTACGAATACATCAAATTACAAATTTAAAACCGAACTCGGACAAACTTTTTTTTTTCTGATTCATTAACAAACAACATAAGCACAGATCAGAATAAATGATCAGATGGAAACCTTGAAACAAACCCTAATTCTGAGATTCTCCGGTGAAAATAAAACACCACTGAAGACAAAGAATCTCCTGAAACGAAAACCATTACATACAAAGCTGTCTCTCCCAATATCATTCGCAGGCGAGTTTCGTATCGAAACTGCTCAAACAGATAGCGAAAGCCTGAAACGCAGAGAGCGGATACCGAAAGTCCATCGTGAACATGTCTTTCCCCACTTTCCCAAACTGCAATATGATCTTGTCTGGACCATCAGTAGTCTGTCCTGACGCCTGAGCCTGAGCCTGAGCCTGAGGTTGGTTCGCTGCAATCAGCTGAAAGTTCTTAACCGAGGCGACGGTTACACGTCCCCTGAAGTTTAAACACCAGCACTGAAGCTGCTCGTGCCACCTAGGCGGCTTGTTCTTGAGCACAAGCGGCGGCGAAACCCGCTCTTTCCCTTCCTCGAACACAGCTTCTCCGTCCTCTCCTAACGGCCCGAGAATGTCGGAAAACCGAGCGCTGCTGAACTCGGTCGAGTAATCGCTGGTGAACTTTCTCGACGAGGTTGATGTAATGCTGCGGAACGATTCGTCGAGAATAGAGCGCGGGACAATACTCTCGGGTTGTCCAGGCACTGTTCCGCCTTCCGCGAGAGAAGAAGCCGGAATCGATTGCATCGCGCAGTGCATTCTCCTTGGACCACGCGTCCCAAGAACGTTTAGCTCGTACGACACCTGTGCGATCTTGTAGCTACCGCTCGGGACTTTGGGAGATACTCTCTTCGAGTAGAATCTCCGGCTAAGGCCTATCGGTTGGGCCACCTGAGAGGTTTTGTTGTTGTACGGAGGTTGCGTGTCGTATATTATGAACTTCGTCCCAAGAAAATTAGACCTGCAAAGAAAACAAGAAGGAGATCAAGATCATGATCACGCTTAAGCAAGAAACTTTCGCTTTTATTTTATAATTAGACAACTCTTTTACCTAATCTTGCCAATGTACGTGTCGCTTGATCTGGAAATGGTGTCGGCGTGCATAGAGATGACATACTCGGTGTATGTAGTTCTTCTAATGCGTTTCGCCGAAAGAAGAAACTTTCCATTCTCAACCAACAAAGCTATAAAAATAGTAGAAATACCAAACGGATTATCGTAATGCTGAAGCCAAAGAAAGAAAGAAAGGAAAAAACAAACAGAGACAATTAAACTTTACCAGGACTGAGACAAAGGTATAAATGGTAAGTGAGGTTAGATTTATCCCTTTTGATAAAGCATTGCATTGTTGCATCTCTTGGTCCAGGCTAATTCAATTCAAACCAAAGAAAATTAATTACTCGAAATCAACATATGTGACATTACAAAGCAAAGGGAAGAATCTAACCTGTTTTAGTGAAACAGGAAACGTGATTTTGCCCGAAAGCTCGGGGCTTTGAACAATCTCTTTGCACATATCTCTCCATGACCTGCAAACAGAAGCACAAGCGACCACGTGTTTACGAGCAGGCCACACGCTTTCGCTCTCTTCGAGCCTTTTGATCACATCGCGCAACAGCTCCGGAGGAAGATTCGCCCACGGTGTTTCTTGGATCAGTACTAGAGGAGGCTGCTCCTCGTGACAGTCTTGCACCGAACCACGAGATTTCCCGCCTTCTTTGACCTGGCTGCTTAACTTAAAGTCGAAACTACGCCTTGATAGACTTCCTATACTGTCTCTCACATCACGAACTATGCTACGGAACGACATTTTTACTTCTTCTCTCTCTTAAGGTTCTGAAACACAAAAGCAGAGTTTGATTCAAAATTCTGAACGATACTTAATAACAAAGCAATGACAAGAGATGAGAGAAATAAAGGAACCATTGGGAGAAGAAAAGAAGATTCTCTCATCAATGGACCAAAAGCAGGAAACACCACAGGCTTTTTCAAAAAAAAAAAAATTCAGAAACATTCTTTTGATTCCCATTTTATAATAAAGACAGATAAAGAGAGCATAAACAACTTCAAATTGAAAGAAAAGACACTGCTAATTTCAAAAATTTTAACTTGGGAAAAAGATGCTTCGGATTAAAACCTCGTTCAAATGAAGAATCTTCGAAACAAGTAAAAAAAGAAGCAAAAGGAGAAACAGCAGTCTCTGCTCCCAAGAACAAACAAAGCCTGATCAATGGTCCCAAATAATAGAGATCTGATTCCAAGTATAAACGCTCTTAAGTATTCTTTGGATTCAATTGAGCAAAAAAGATGAGTCTTTACTACTTCGAGGGTCGAACCAAAAAAAAAAGAGGAAACTTTGGAGATTTACATAAATAGCAAGTTGAAACAAAGACTAGTGATTCCGGATCATATTGTAGATCACAATTTTGGGTTTTCTTATCTTACCTGACAAATTTATTGAATGAACATGGCTATAGCTAACCGTTTAGTTATTAAAATTGGATGATAGATCTAGAATTTCAAAATCACTGATTCGAAAATTGACCAAATTTACATAGCGTAGAGCATAGATCTGTAACCATTAACCGAAATTATCAGACGACACTCCACACTTCAGAGAAACAAATAGAAAAACCAAAGCAGGAAACTTTCCAGAGAAACAAACAGAAACCAATCAATTTCACAGATGGGTCAGAACCAAAAAAAAAAAACAAGGATACTTACAAACTTCTGTCTTTCTTTTATGCTTTCCTCGTCTTCTCCGTTCAAATCCTTAGCTCTCTCTCTCTCTCTCTCTCTCTCTCTCTCTCTCTCTCTTGCTTTCTCTCTGTAGAAGTTATCTGTCTTCGTCCAGCACGCGGAAACCAACTACGTTATCTCCGCTACACGAACACGAACACATCTAATTTTTTTCATCATTTTATATATATAATACTAAAATATTTAGGAAACTGTTTTTTACTCTGACTAATAGCTCTCAGCTTGTGCTAGAAATTAACTAGTTTAATAAATAGACTGAAAGAATAAAATATTAATGTAAAAACAACAGGTATAAAAAATATATCCACTGACCAAGAAAATATACATATTCAGCAAGTTGTTTTTAGCCGTTGACCTCCTCGCCCACTTCTCATCTCTTGAAAATATCCGGAAAACAAATTTCAGAGATTATCACATTGTAAAAGGTAATATTCCTGTAACTTGTAGTAAGTCACTAATGTTGACCATAAACAAACATCGTAATCGTGTTATCATAATTGCTTAAGTTATAAGACCGTATCATTTAGACGGTGATCTCCTATGTCAAAAAATAGATAACATACAATCTCAAACATTATATTGTTGAACTGAAAGAAAAAATATGATCAATTTAAGGGTTGAGTTTAGTAGCTTACCTACCGTTCTTTCATGAGATCATTCAACATTTGTATTTTTCACAAAACGCTGTTTAAATGTTGATTAAAAATTAATATACTTAAATTCAATGAACAAGAATTACTTTCAGTAAAGATAGTTGATAAAAAGTATAAATCATATAAAGTTGATTTTTTATTTTTTTATTTTATTTGAAGCTAAAAAAACAAAAAACAAAATACAACGAAATGAAACGGAAAGGGTACATGATTGTCATCTGTCCAAAAAGAAGAGACTAGTTCATAATTTAATTAATTAATTAATCTGTAACGTTTCTTTTTTATTACAACAACTATTCAAACTTTTAATACTGCAACTCAGAGTGTTGTGTTTGGTTGTGAGCAATAAATTCATAAGTGGAAATCTCTGCCGAAACGACAAGTTTCAGACTAAATAAAAAAGCATTTTATCCTTTTGTAGCAAAAATGATATCCCTTTGATTGGACTTCACTTTATATTGAAATTCCACTATCATTGGTTATAGTCGATTTCTTTTCGACCTTCTAATTATATATGCCAACATTATTCAATTTCCATTAACACAAAAAGTGCTAATTTCTGTCTTTCATCCCTATTTATCAACTTAATTCAAAATTGAAGTTTATATTACTGTCAATTAAAAAGATTGATTACGTACAGAATGATATAGATATGGATAAGGTAAAAGGCTTTAAATTTGGACGGCTGAGATTGATATTCCGTGAGGAGATTAGTTGAGCGACACTCTCTCGTCATAAAGATGGGGCATATGAATGAGAAATGAGACTATTTCTCTATATCCAACCATAGCGTATAAAATATCTATAATTAGTGGAGTATTTTTCTGTAACAGCCATGGAGAATTTGAGATACATATAAATAAGAAACCTACGCAATACATTATCTGAATTTGTTTTGTCAACTTTATTACATGAATTGTTAATTGTAATCAACCAAGAAGCATATACGAGAAAAAGATCATGGATACGCATAGGTGGAGAAAGAGATGTTATCAATCTATCATGCTGTTTTATTACATATTGTTTATTTATTTGGAATCAATGCTGTGAAACGATTTGCAAGCTAGAAACAACTAATTCAGAATCGAGCTATAAGAAGACGACAAAAAAGAATAAATTTTGTAGAATTATGATTATTTTGGAAAGCGATACGTCGTGGCAGGTAAGGCGCATCAAAGAAGAGGCTGACTTTGACCTCAAAAGCCTCAGGCTGGGGTAGAGGCTTTAATTTCATAAGAAAATTTAAGGAAAATCATGGTTTAATGATCTACTAAGATACTAAATTGAAAATCCTAGGAAATGGCAAATATCGTGGCAGTTTTGTAAGCAAAACTATGAATATATTGACTATATATTTTCGATTAGCTTGGTTCCATAAATATTATAAAATTTGATAATGTAAAATACTTATTGATATATTTATAATGGAACCGGGCTATAAAGAATACCGTATAGTGTGTGTGTGGGTAGTGTAAGGACGAAGAAAACAAAGTCAGATAAAGCAGCTCAAAGCCTCAAAATATCATACTGTTTAAAAATATTTTAAATGAAAGTTGGCATAAAAAAAATAATGTATGAAAACCAACCCAAAAGCAAAAGTATCCACCGAACCAATAGTTTACAAAACAAGTTTAATGATTACTGTTAACTAATTTTAAAACAAACCAAAACGTATATTGTAGCGTAATTGTGATCAGTGAGACCTAGTCACCTTAGTCTAAGACTATAATGGGGCTTCAAAATGTCAAACGGCAAGAGAAAATAATAAAACCAAGTGGGTACTATATTTCTTTTTTCAGTAAGCTCATTTAAATCAGCATGCACAAATAATATATCTGTGCGATTAGATGACTAGAGCATAATAATAATAATAATGCAAGCGTGTTGCTTATACGAAACATATTTTCGCAAATGCTCATGAACATATACCCTAACAGCTTTGTCAATTTTCATTTTAAAAAAATTCGTATTCCGTATGAAGGTCTTCGATGCTGTCTTTTTTTTTCTCTCTATGATGTATATAAATGGTGAATTACGGACTAAAATATCAGACTATAATAGTCTATTATGGTTGTATAAAGATGACGCATTGCATTTCTTTTAAATACATGTATAATTTTAGTCCTAGTAGTGCCTTATTCCCATTTCCTACAGAATCTCTAATGATTATGAGCTTGATAATTGGCCATGATTATTCATTTTATTGTTCACGAAATTACGAAAGAGACGTTGAACGACTATAGTTAACCAAATTTTTCGTCTCCTTCAAGACAACACAAAAGAAACTATAAAGTTGTTTGTCGGAAAAGAGAGTACGAAGAAAATACAGTTGAAACAATTTGTAAAGTTGTCTGAAACTTGTATAGCTACGGTTAGCGAATTGATTGAGATATCTTGGTTACAAATTATTGTCGTTGTGATTGACGAGCACAAAGTAAAGACTTCCGAGCACCGTAAAATAAAATAAAAACACAAATGTTATCAATTTGATAATATATATCGAGTAGAAAGATCTTAATAATAAAATTTCAAAATTTACAATCATCACACAACACTTGGCCCATTGATGCAAACAAATTTCAAACTACAAAATAAAATTGAAAACTGGATCGGCCATTGTGCACGTACAAGGCCGTCACCTCACAATAACTTTTGTGATATTGGTTTATTTGAAATGATTATAAGTGGATTTGAAAGTAACGAGTTGGGCCTAGACCCAATGCCTTTTAAATATGGTAAGGCCCAAAACTTAACATCTTGTTCGATGGAACATTGTTATTACCCAGCAAGCGTGTATCTGTAAGATATGTGCCCGATGTACAGGATAGTTTCACACTAAGAAAAAGAAGCCATAGTAAAATTTAAATGCTATCCATACAAAAATCAATTTTTTTATTTTTTTATTAGTATTCATTTTATATTGTAGTTTACGTTTTTTATTTGGGTCAAGCCAAGCAAAGGTTAGTAGGTTACGGTAAGATCAAAATGTGTCAATTATTCCAATTATTGTAGCTGACATTGACATGTGTGATAACGATGGACGGTAACGAACTTGGCATGACAAATGAGGTTGACCATCGAAATATACAAATATTATCCAGTTCTTTTTACAAGCTTAATAACTTGAATAGTTATAATTAAAAGACGTATTTTCTTACCAATTTTATATACAAAAGAAAAGGAAATCAACTAATCACTACTGTAGTTATTTTTCTGTACACCCACTGTTTTAACTTTTAAAAATACAGATAAGAAGGATACACAGAAATATATATATATATATATAATTTAAATGTCCACGATTATTTCTGGACGTGATATTATTGTCAAATGGAATAAAGTGGTTTCGCTATTTTAAGGAGTTTATATTTTATTTTTCTTATTATTGCTCTCACATGGTTTGTTGGAAAATAAAGCAACTTATTTTCGTACACAAGAAAAAGGCTTGAGAAGTCCACGTAAGCGGTGAAATTTATATCCTACGTGGCAAAAACACATCGGAGCCGCGATCAAACTTGTACACGTGCCTCCCAAATGAACCATCGTACGACTTTGACAGATCGAACAGTCCTTAACCTGACACGTGACAGTATTTTAACGGTTCGTGATTTACGCCTTGCGCTCAAATGTGTCCAGTTCTTAAAACAGCTCAAAGCATCTGTCGATTTTTGGTTGGTCTTATTTATAAATAAAATGTACATACACACGTTAATAAATTGTTATACGAATATACTCTGGTCGCAGTAAATAAAAATTATAACAAAATTTAATTTGTTGGGTCAAGTCGATTGTGCAAAAGGAGAGTACAGGTAATCTTTATGGAGTTGGAATCATTGGTACCATCCTCGCAAAATAGGAGTCGATACGGTGACAAATCGCATTTATTGAAAACAATTTTGTCTTATCCATCGGCCATTCCGGTGAACATATTGAGTCGTTTAATATTCTATCGTATAAAGTGAACCCTATTATGAGCTTTTACTGTTATACTTATATATGTATATAATACGTATGCCTAAATAATTTATCTGTGTATATATAATAATATAAACATAAACAGCGTATGTATAGACATACGTAGAAAGAGATCAAGTTGGGGTCACTTTACAGAGCCATACGTAGTGGAAATACATCTGAATCCAGCTCATTGTAACCACTGCTTTTATTTCCTCTTTTTATTTTATTTATCCGCCTTGTAGATTAAAAAAGAAATGAATAATTCGGATATAAAAATATAATTTTCATAAATGAATAAGTAGTAGCAATAAATAAAATGAACAGAGCTTAACCAAATACGAAAAAAAAAAAAAAAAAAGAGAGATGCGAAAAAAGTGGGAGATGAGTTTGGTGTTTCAGACAAAAAACAAACTGCCAGTAAGATTGTCCATTTTCCTATTAATGTTTTGTTATACTTAAACAAAACATCTCCATAACTAAAATGTGATTGCTTTCCTAATCGTTTATACAGTTTTGCCTCTCTTTTTTTTTCCATGGTTATTAATATTTTATATATAAATGTAACTATAGAACTAAATTCATAAACTATCTTGAACCCCGTCAATAACAACAATTTATAAAATCTAGTTCAAAAAAAAAAATAACAACAATTTATTATAGTTATTAATAAGTTCGTAGTCGTAAGCTCGTATAGTCTACAATTTGACCAGTGAAGATCAATTCAGTTATTTAGCAAAACAAAAAATTAATTTAGTTCTTTAGCAAAACAAAATTCAATTTAGTTTTAATCTGACGTGTTATATGTGACCAATTAAGATGCATGTTTACGTTATTCTATCTTATTTGTCTAATACAAATGTGTCTACAACGTATAAACGGAAAACACGTTGATCTTTACTGACATGATATGGTCAGAAAATACGTACCGGTAAGCTTTTCAAGAAGAAAAATGGAAAACGATCGATACATAAAAAAAAAAGCGAATTTATAATCAGTGGTTGTCGAAGAAACAACAAAATATGAACATAGCTACGTAAAATATAGATACATTATTACTTATTAGGCACCGGAATATTTCAATGTCATTAAATAAGGTAGGTCATAAGCTAACTAAATCATGTCTCTACTTATTGCTTTTTCTCATAAATGCGTTGATACCCGCCTAATAACCATATATAACTTAGACATTTATCTAACTCCTCGTCTAATTTAATACCGTAATTTGATGTTACATCAAAACTTCCACATATATGTATTAATTACACCCACACCGCTTTCTATCTCAAATCGTCAAAATAAGAATGATAAAAATGTAATGTTTCACCATTTATATATTACACTGAAAAAAAAAATCATAAATAAATAAATATATAGACGGTGAACAATGACGTGTGTTTTATTGGTCGATAAACTAGTTGCATGATTAGTTAGATTAGAGAGGTCAACATAGGGGGTAAAAAGGTAAATTCAAAGTCGGTGTCGTGACCAATTTGCGGTTTGATCCAGCGGCGGTGAGAAGCTAATCTGGCCCCACGTGGGGCCGCACTACCCGAATATTATCCCTATCGTCTCTATCTGCAGCTGTTCTTGCTGATTACCTTTGATTATTTTTTTCCATTTATATAATAATATCAACGAAAAGCATCCATTATGATGTCAATCATTTTAAACACTAATGTAATAATATTCTTAGGCTTCTCTCCACAGCTCACAATCTTATACTACAGTTATTATTTCAACTCGAATCATCATCATTTTGATTGTTTATTACTAATTATTTACTGTGAATATACACACTTGCATAGTAACCAATTATAAAATTCTTTCCAATAATTAAAAAGGACGTGTAATAGAGAAAATTTCCAGAGTAATTCACAGGTCACAAGTGGCAAAGTGGGTCAGTTAAAAGACCCTCCAATTATATATCCACGTAAAATATTCCGTTGATGTAATTGTTTCTAGTATCGGGTCAGAGTTTACAAAATTCAATTCTAACAGTTTATAAGTAATTTATTTCGACGACAAAATAGTAATAATAAGATCTCTAATGATAATAACTCATTTCTAACTATATCCGATGTGCAGTGTGTGAAAAATTCATTGCCGAAAAATCTGATCAACCAATCATTAATCAGATGTTACGGTGAACCAGACACCTAGTTTTCCAAAGCCAATGAAATAAAATATACATAAATTTTATTTTATATGAAATTATTTTTGGTACCAAAATTTTCTTATAAGCAATGAGAAGATTCCCAAATTAAAAAGACAGAAGGAAAGCGAAAAAAGTTCCCCTTTTAAGTCCCACTCCTCTTTTTGTGAAATAGAAAAAAAAAAGATACAAAAAAATATCACGTACAAAAATGTATTATATTTATAAGATCTAGATAAATGGTCCATCCCACCCAATTAAATACCCATAAGATAAAATCACAATAGAGAAAAAAGAAAAGAAAAAAAAAGGAGAAAATTCAACTTCAACCTTCGTTCTTCTTCTCTTCAAGCTCTCCTAATCTCTCTTTCAGGAAAATCCAAATTCGAGTATGTCTGGAAACTCTTCAGGACTATTAGATAGCTCTGGCGGAGGCGGTGTGGGCGGTTCCGGCGAGGAGTATAAAGATATGAAGATGGAGGAAACCGCCGAAGGAGGCAGTAGCGGAGGAAACCGGTGGCCAAGACCGGAGACTTTAGCTCTCTTGAGAATACGTTCGGAGATGGGTAAAGCCTTTCGTGACTCTACTCTTAAAGCTCCCTTGTGGGAAGAAATCTCCAGGTTTGTTATATTACCTATTTAACAATTTTACATGCATATTTAGATATTCAAAATAATAAAGAAATTTTATGATCTTGTATATAAGTTTTACACATTTATCGATATGTATATGTAATCATATTTTTAGGTAATTCATTTGAATTTTCCTATTTATATGTTTATAGGTGTATACAATTCTCATTAATTACAAGCTAAGAAAAAGTTTATATATATTTTGGTTTTGTAATCATGGGTTTCTTGATTGATAAATAATTAGGAAAATGATGGAGCTTGGTTACAAGAGAAGTGCAAAGAAATGCAAGGAGAAATTCGAGAACGTGTACAAGTACCACAAACGTACCAAAGAAGGTCGTACCGGAAAATCCGAAGGCAAAACTTACCGGTTTTTCGAAGAGTTAGAAGCTTTCGAGACTCTCAATTCCTATCCACCTGAACCTGAGTCGCAACCCGCAAAATCTCCTGCAGCGACCACGACCACGACCGCGACCGCGACAGTAACCACTTCTTTGATACCGTGGATTAGCTCTAACAATCCATCAGCAGAAAAGAGTTCCTTACCGTTGAAACATCATCACCAGGTTAGTGTGAAACCCATCACCACAACAAGCCCTACCTTCCTCGCCAAGCAACCGTCTTCTACGACGCCTTTCCCCTTTTATAGCAACAACCAAGCGATTACCATTGATACTGGTTTTAAACCAACTTCGAATGACTTGATGAACAATGTTTCGTCGTTGAATCTTTTCTCGAGCTCAACTTCTTCGTCTACTGCATCTGACGAGGAAGAAGACCATCATCAAGAAAAGAGATCGAGAAAGAGGAGGAAGTATTGGAAAGGACTGTTCACGAAGTTGACAAAAGAATTGATGGAGAAACAAGAGAAGATGCAAAAGAGGTTCTTGGAAACTTTGGAGAATCGCGAGAGAGAGAGAATCTCAAGAGAAGAAGCTTGGAGGGTCCAAGAAGTAGCGAGAATTAACAGAGAACACGAAACACTAGTCCATGAGAGGTCCAATGCCGCGGCTAAAGACGCTGCAATCATATCTTTCTTACACAAAATCTCAGGAGGACAACAACAACCACAACAGCATGCACCTCAGAATCATAAAGTATCACAAAGGAAACAATATCAAAGCGATCATTCGATAACATTTGAGAGCAAAGAGCCTGCAAGACCGGTTCTGCTTGATACAACAATGAAGATGGGGAATTATGATACCAACCATTCGGTATCTCCTAGTTCTTCCAGATGGCCTAAAACCGAGGTCGAGGCCTTGATAAGGATAAGGAAGAATCTTGAAGCTAACTATCAAGAAAACGGTACTAAAGGGCCATTATGGGAAGAAATCTCGGCAGGGATGAGAAGATTGGGATACAATCGGAGCGCGAAACGATGCAAAGAGAAGTGGGAAAACATAAACAAGTACTTCAAGAAAGTCAAAGAAAGCAACAAGAAACGACCCCTTGATTCCAAAACTTGCCCTTATTTTCACCAGCTAGAAGCTTTGTACAACGAGAGGAGTAAAAGTGGGGCATTGCCATTGCCATTGCCTCTAATGGTAACTCCACAAAGACAGTTGCTTCCCCCACAAGAAACGCAGACTGAGTTTGAGACTGATCTGAGGGACAAAATTGGTAATAAAGAAGGTGAGGAAGAAGGAGAGAGTGAGGAAGATGATTACGAAGAAGAAGAAGGAGAAGAGGGAGAAGGAGACAATGAGACAAGTGAATTCGAGATTGTGTTGAACAAATCATCGTCACCGATGGATATTAACAATAATCTTTTCACCTAAAGTGGTTTTATAATCTTTTTATATATAATATACACTCTCTGTTAAACTACACAATGGTGTAAAAAAAAACATATACAACAAATGTAAGTAAATGGCTTGATTCTTTTTGTTATATAGTATTTCCTTTTCATGGTATTGAATAAAATAATTACATTTATCGAAACATATTATCACGTGTATCCAATTTGTATAGCTAGAAATAGAACCACAAAGTTCAATGGTATCAAGATGAATTTTGAATAAAAATTGGCTCAATTGGTTGGGAGAAGCCAAAGGTAATCAAGCATCCATCTATATCCATGGGTACCCGACACAAGTAATAAAATTTTTGGACCTACGAATTAAAATTGGGTCGTCGTTTTCATCATTTTTTCTTTCTTTTGAATATTATCTTGAATTTAAACTTGGTATTTCTTATCCCCATGTTAAATGTCTAATATATCAATTTACCTTAAATCATGTAATCAAAAGTATCGCCCGTGTGGTAGATGGCGTTGGTGCGTTTCTTTCTGTAATATGTGCCTACATACCACGAGGTGGACCCAACCAAACACACACTATATTCGAATTAGTACTGTAATTTTTTTAATGAAAAGACTATATTATTTTTTCTCCAACAAAAACAAAATGGCTACATTATTTTGTAACATTTCACGTAGACGGTAGACGAGCGTATTCAATTATTCACATATAAGATTCTACAACAAAAATCATAATTTTAAAAGGAAATATGTTGACTAAAATGAAGAAGGAAATACAAATGATTTTTGTAAAAATAATTAAATAAAAAATAAAATGATGATATTTAAATAAAAACAAAGTTTCACCAAATATACTAATTTTGTGGGGTTGATATGTCTTAATTTTTCTTAAATGAACTATCAAGTCACCATTTGAACTTTGAAGGTAGACCTTTGATTTGAAATAAAATTGAAAATAAACTATAGATGTAAATTTTGTAACTGCGAAAACCAAAGGTTAAAGATGTTCCGTAGCGTATATAATAGAACTTTGCTAGCTCCTCAACGCCATGAGAAATCATCTGCCTAAAACTTCTTTATGTCCCCCACGAAATGTTGACCTTTGTCGTGTCAAAACAAAAGTAAAAGCTATAACTTTGATATCACAAACTCATTTTTCAAAAAACCATTTATAGCAAAAAGAACCACTTTCTTTTTGGATATATCACTTCCTTTTGGTTAATTAAAGAATTTTTTTCAATAATGTCTTGAATTGAATTTGGGGTTACAAGATAATTGTATGTATATTCCCGTAATGCTAAAGAAGGCCTCATTTGCACACACACAAAAAAACGAAGTAATTTATGCATACTATCTAGTCTTTTTTTCTACGAAACGATCGTCAAAGTTTGTATATATATATATATATATTACTGTAAATGCGCTTTTATATATGAATATACATATTTAGTATTTGGGTCGTCATCATTGTTTTAGCTCCTCAAAAGAAAAGAGATGCAAATAGAAATTATAAAACATTTATGGAAAAGAAAAAGAAGAAGATTCCGTTCCTAATAAGTAGCCACCATTCTTTCTCACATCTCGTTTTCCCTTTTCCATGCCCACTTCTCTGCACTTCGAATTTTTCATGTTTTTCAAAAACAAAAAATTTGTCGGTTATAATTTTTTGACAGTTTACTTTCTAAATCATTCGACCTAAATTCAAAGCCAAAATCAATTATTCATACACGGGAGTAAATTAAAACCTGTAAAAACTGTAAAATTTATAGTTAGATCGTATAGAAACTAGAAACGTTTGACTGCTACATCAAAGCATCAAACTATCTAAATTATGTCATTTATTTGTTTCTAATGCAAAAGAATCTTATTGATTGAATATAACAGTTAATTTATGGTCATATGAAACAAAAATTAGGGTGTGAAAAATGACTGGAGAACATTATTTTGAGACATAGCGATCAAATGCTGCCCACTTGTAAATTGCTTTTCATAGCGGTATGTACTCGGTGTCACAAATTGTTCGAATTTATTACCGATCTATGGTCTAAAATTATGTTATACGCATTCAAAAATTTCCTGGTATATTCTTGTCATAATAATGTACGACTCATCAGAACAAATATATATTTGTATATAAAATTAGATGATGCTATATAGGATTTTCTCTATAAGAATAATTTCATATCGTACAAATTTTTAATCCTCACCCGAGTCTGGACTCTGGAGCTCTAGGTCGCGAGTTCGAATCTTTCTTTTTTTTTTATATAAAAAGCGAGTTTGAATCTTGATAACTCCTGCTCTAATCATTCACCTAAAATAACATCAAACCTCATTTCAACTCTATATATTTAGTCATGTAGACATCATATAATCAATTTGATACTAAGTAGGTCACTTGGTGAGTTGGTGAGAGATTATATATTACGTACGTACCCACACAATGAAAATAAAAACCGAATATCTTCTATAGTTACAAAGTAACATCCAATAAAAACGTAGAGAAATTTATGGACGTGCAAATATATCATACATCAACTTTCTACATCCATAGACTGGCAATTTCAATTTCAATACTATTAAATAAGGACATGCATATATTCAACAGGTCCTTTTCGTGTACTTTAAAGTCTACTTATTCCCTTGTTTAATCATTTTGAACTCGCAATTTCGAATTAGTTTAATGAGATATTTTTTCTTAATTTCAACGGTACAAACTGAGACTTGCTTATTCACGAGAAGATACTTTCATAGAAGAAGAAAACGTAAACAAAATAGTTAGCGATTGATCCGATCCAAATAAACAATAACACACACCAAACAAATTAAAGTGGGCTCACATTAGTCTCACATTTATATTATAATGTTATTATTAAGATACGAGCATAAAATTACAGCTACAGGGAAACGGGAGTGTTCCTTTCTTCAAAGGTTGGGCAAGAGCCTGTAGGTTCGTGTCCAGGTTTTAAGGAGTCATAAACATATAAATAGATATTCATTTTCTTTTAAAAACAGCTCTTACACAATAGAACACAAAAATGGATCTCTACATAAAGTAAAACGTACTATGCAATTTTAAGTTTTCATTTACGTAATATTAGAATTTTTAAATTTGATGTTTTAAAATATACAATCTAGTATTCTTTTTTATTTAAAAGTGTCATTTTATTTTTATTTTTCAGTTTCAAAATACATAAATATCATTTTTAGAATTAAATATAATTTGATTAAAAATATATATAATTTAGTCTCAAACCAAAAAAAAAATATATATATATATAATATACATACAAATAGTCTAATAGGGATATAAGACAATTTTTTATATGTTTTAATTTGTATGAAAATTATAAAACGATATTTATTATGAAACATAAAGAAAATTAACCAACACATGGTTGACATGAGTCGATGGCCTAATGACTCAAATTCTTCATGTCATTCTCAGCTTGCCTGGTTTCGAACCCCATATTGAGAGTAAAGATAGTGACAAAGAAAAGAAGAAACAACTTATGGTGTTCAATGTTTAAAGAGTTTATTATGTTAGTTTAATGTTTACAGTTTGAGCTCTCCAACTTTGATTTCAGTTATGATTTGTCACGGCAACTAGACATCTTTAATAACGATAACCGAGTTTTTAAATGATAATTATCCTAACGACGGTGTAAAGTTTCTCTGATTATATATGAAAAAACAAGTAGTATACTGTTTGCAAACATATATAATAATAAAACAAATTAATCTTCAGCTACATTTATGACATGAACTGTACTAACCCATGCATCATGATTAACAGCATCTTAATTTTATGATGTACAAGTATATTTACATATATATATATATATATATTACTTAACGTACAACCCAAGTTGGGATATATGATACTCTTCATTGTTAACATGTGCATCAAATATATATACCTTATAACAGTCTTGAATATTCACGAACCGAACAAACTCAATCATGATTTGAGTTTGGTCTGAGTAAATAAAAAAAATGGTTTAAACGTCTACTTAATTATCTCAATTTAAATCACATTTTGTATGATGTGTCAATCATACGTAAAAGTTAAAACGTTAGGAGTCAGGATCATGGGTATAGATACATCAATCTATGGTTATTACAGATCTGCAAATGCGACCAAACATGTGTCGATAGCACTTCGAAATCAAATTATGAAACAAACGAATCATCATCGTTCTCACAAATAAGAGTTTTACATCGTTGGATCTGTCACGTGCGTTCGAAAGTGGAATTTACGAAATAACCCTTACATAAAAAGAGAGTCTTGCGTTTTAGGGCAACGCAGAGAAGAAGACAGAGAGAGGAGATGAAAGAGTGAAGATTCCTTTTTCCACGTGGATCCAAAACCCCACGCTCTCTCTCTCTCTCTCTCTCATTGTGTGCATGTGAACTTGGCATCTTTCTTCTTTTTTTGATATAACGTTTTTATTTTCTTTTATTTTTTTAATTTATCCTACCAAGGAAACTGTTACTGAAAAGGATGAGTAACTCTCGTCTCCCAGTCCCACCTTACAATTAAATATTTTCTTATAATGTAGACAAAACAATAACAATAATATGTAACAAAACAAATACACATCGTCACCAACAACAAGAACCATTCATTTAAAGGTTTAAAAAAAAACAAAACATTACAAGTTACAGTTTTTATTATTTGCTTATGAAAACCCCCACATTGTCCCCCCTCCCCTCTCTAATTAAGATTTATTTATTTATATATCCTCCAAAAAAATAATTAAATCACATTTATTTTAATTTTGTTCCAACATATTAATTTTTCTTCAGTATAACTTAAAAATCAAAGATGAAAAAGAAGAAAAAAAAAAACATAACCCCCTCCAATATTTAAATTCTCTTCTTCTGTATTCAAAACTTAGAAAAAAAACTTACTAATCTCTCACCACAACATCAAACCCGAGTCGAGCCCGAATCATCATCCTCACTGATTATTCGTCGTCTTGTTGTTACTGTTCGGCACAAGCTCAAACTCACCTCCTTCCTCTTCTTCGTTCTCTTCGTCTTCTTCCTCGTCGTCGTATTCTTCGTCGTCTGTGCCTTCCTCATCATCAAAGTTCTGATCCGACGGCTGAGGAGGAGGAGGATGAGGATGAGGTTGATCGGTTTGAGCCGCCGCCGCCACGGTAGTAGTACTCGTCGTAGTTGCCGTCGCGGGAGGCCATTGCTGCTCCGGTTGAACCATCAAAGGAACTGAATTATCCGGTTTGATTAAACCGGAAGTGGAGGAAGAAGACGCGATGTTGTTGGTGTGGAATTTGTTCCTCTCTTTATATAAAGCGTCGAGCTGGTGAAAGTAAGGGCAAGTCTTGGAATCTTCGGGGCGTTTCTTGTTGCTCTCTTTGACTTTCTTGAAGTATTTGTTTATGTTCTCCCACTTCTCCTTGCACCTCTTTGAGTTCCTGTTGAATCCTAACCTTCTCATACCCGCCGATATCTCTTCCCACAACGGTCCCTTTGGTCCGTTCTCCTGATACTTGGAATCAAGATTCGTCCTCAGCTTTATCAATGCCTCTATCTCCACTTTCGGCCACCGCGACGAGCTCGCCGCTCCTGCCGACGCCGGAGTCATGTTCTGATCGCCGTTGTCCGTTTTCGTAGCGTCTAAGGTTGGTATCACCGGCTGAGGAACCGGAGGTGGCGGTTGAGGCGTTTGAGGCGTTTGCTGCTGTGTCGTCTGCTGATTATTGTTATTATTAAGCTGCTGCATTTGAGACCGAGCCTGTTGCGGTTGCGGCGGTGCGACTGATTGACCTTGAGGGTTTGGTTTCTCTGATAGCTTCTGAAGAAACGCCATAACCGCGGCGTCTTTTGCGGCGGACATTGAGCGTTCTTGAGCCAAGATCTCGTGTTCTCGGTTGATCCGAGCGACCTCTTGCACTCTCCAAGACTCCTCTCTGGCCATTCTCTCGTGCTCTCGCTTCTCAACAGCTTCCAAGAACTTGCGTTGAAGCTCCTCTTGCTTATCAACAACCTGTTTCATCAACCGCTCGAAGAACTCTTTCCATTTCCTCTTCCTCTTCTTCTTCGTCGTGGTGGTTCCTCCAATGTCAACGTCAGAGGAAGTCGAATACGAAGATGAAGACGACATCGAATTATCCGACAGAAAATCGCCGGAGATGTTTGGAAACGAAGGTATGTTCACAGGCTGAGTATAGGGAGGAATTGACGACGACGGAAGGCTGATGTTTGCGATCGGCGGCATAATAGTCGTTACCGGAGGAGGAGTGGAGAATAATGAGCTGTTGTGGTTGTTATGCGGTCGAAGAGGCGATTGCGTTTGAAGCGGTTGCGGTTGAGGCGGTTGTTGTTGTTGTTGCTGATGATGGAGCGAGGAAGTGGATTGAGTCTCGAGAGCTTCTAATTGATCAAAGAACCGATAAGTTTTGCCTTCGGATTTTCCGGTACGGCCTTCTTTGGTTCGTTTGTGGTATTTGTAAACGTTTTCGAATTTCTCTTTGCATTTCTTGGCGTTTCTTATGTAACCAAGCTCCGCCATTTTCCTGAGAAGAAACAGAAATTAAAGAAAGACCTCACAATTTCAACATCTTGCTGCCTCTATATATATATATTAATAATTTCAAAGTTCGTATGAAAATTTAAAAAAAAAAACACGAATTATGTTTGTTGAGAAAAATAAATTAGTGAAATGAGGATATATAGTTGAGAAGTGTGGATCAATCAGCATGAGTTTGTAAGAGACTCGCCTTCTTCAGTCTCATGAATAAAACATGACCCAACTTATTTTATCTAAATTAACAGTTAATTATTAAAGTAAAGTTTAAATTAATTAAAACCACTTCAAGAACTGTCCGAATCTGAATCTCGCGACGATGAATTTCGGAAATTTCATTGAACTATTGGAAAAAAGACATTTTACGAAATTCGGGGAAATTATTTCGCCGAACAAAAAACCCAAAAGAAAGATTAAAAGTGTCTAAACCGAATCTGTGACAATAAAACGCTACAAAGTCCAGATCTTTTTTACTCTGTCAGTGTAAAACAAGCTTAATCATCATATCCAATTAGATCAAATTCGCCAATGGAAAATTTTCAAAAAAAAATAAAGAGTCGAATAATAAAAATTACCAAAAAAAGGAAAAAGGGAATAAAGGAGGAATTGGAAACGCACCTGGAAACCTCTTCCCATAAGGGTCCTTTAACGCTAGCGTCTCGAAACGCTATTCCCATGTCAGATCGTATTTTCAGCAGCGCAAGCGTTTCCTGCCGCGGCCACCGATTTACTCCAAAACCGCGGTCGCTCATCTCTTCCGACACCTCAAACGCCCCGACCGCTGCTGCAGCTGCCGCAGCATCTGTAGCGGCGGAATCGTTCGACTGTGGCGCCGCCGCTGCGGTTGCGGCGGAGGAAGCGGCTGTGGTTGTAATACCACCCAGCTGCATCATTGTGAGGGTTTCGATTTAATCCCTTCTTTTTTTTTCCCCTCTCTCTGTCTTTGACTGAGAAGTTACAGAAATGAAAAATAAAAATTAAAAAGGGAAAAATAAAAATTCATAGAAGAAAGGAAAAATAATGGGAGAGATAAAGAGAGAGAGAGAGAGTTTACATGAGGAAGAAGAGTGAAATCTCCAGGCGCAGGGTTTTATGGAGTTAGAGTTTGTAAATACCTAAAGTTAATTTTTTATTTTCTTATTTTCTATATTTTTCTGGTGATGGATCTGCTTGTCAATCTCAAGGAGCCATTCTAAAAATATTTATACTACTATTATATTGTTTTCTTTCTCTTTGCCTATTTTATTTAAATTTATCGCCTTTTATTGATACTTTTCCTTTGTTTGAGCCAAAATGGAATCTTCATAATTTCTCTCTCCTTTATATTCCAGCTTTTGGGTAAATATTATTTCATTTACGATCCTTTTCTATTGTATACTGTAATTTAAATTTAGATTGATAAGTTAACTTACACGCTTAACTATCATCAAAATGATCCTAAAGGATTATAATTCTATGTAAAAACTAATCACTATTATTCTAAAATAGATACTGTTTTTTTAATATATAGATTTTAATTTAGATTTAGATTTTTCTGTAATGATATTTAAGTTGAATCAATATTACAAAATGCAAACTGATATAATAAATATTTTTCTCACATCAATCAATATGATGAAACCAATATATTTATTATATAATATTTTTTAAATAATCAATTATTTTTCAAAAACTTAATATATTATATTTAATATATATAGATTCGAAAGCGTTACATAATAAGTAACATTGCTGTAGTTTGTAGTATAGTGATTTGTATTGTTCTTATCGTGTCATAAATTAAATTTGAATCTAATTAATAAAACATATAAATGAATAAATTAATTACTATATTCTCTGTTTTTATTTAAATGTTGTTTTGCTTGATTACACATAAATTAAGTATTTTTATAAATAGATTATTTTATCCTTACAAATTATATTTAGTTATTTTAATTATTATATATTGTGTTAGTTTAATTGAAATTATATTATAAAGGTTAAATTGAAATTTGAAAACAACAAATTTTTGATTAAAAAAACTCAAAATGACACTTAAGCTAAAATGGAGAGAATTGTATTTAATTTTTGTTTTAAAATGAAGAAGGAGTGAAAACAATTTAGTGTTTCTGATGTAATAGTAAGATAAAGTAAAGAGAGAGCAAATGGGGAAATGGTGTGTGATGTTTAGAACAAAGAGTTTATCATCATGGGTTGTATGTGTAATGATGAAAAAAGTGGGCACAAAAAGATATATACGAGAGAAACTGAAGGATTAGTTTTTAACCATTTATTTTGTTTTTTTAAAGAAAGTTATTTGGTTTTGCAAAAAAAAAAAAATTTGGTGAAAAAAAAGTTATTACAGAGATTTCTTGACAGCTGCGCTTAAAGACGGTGGTGATTATTACTTGGTTTTTGTCCGTCCAGCAAAATTTGTCTTAAAAAGCCGGCTTTTTAATCTTAAGCATTTTGTTTATTTAGCTTACTTTCAAACATATGAGTTTCAAAATAAAGTTTAATTTAAACTTAAAACGATGAGAAACTATTCAAGTCTATAATTGAGGACTAAAAACAAGAAAGGCATTTAAGTATAAATTGACAAGCATATTTTACACATAAATTTATCTTCAGAACCGATTTTAAAATCTATTAGACGGTTAATTTATTGAACTTTTTTATCCGGTAATATACATGTTGCTACAAGTTTGGTTAGCACGGATAAATGGTTCAACAACTAATATTAATGAGCATGAACTAAAATTAAATTACTTCTCACTTAGTTACATATACAGTATATACATTTTTACTGGCTTTTGGAAATGAATATCGGATCACGAAACAATAACATGGTCATATGGTCAAGATAGACTAGATAGTTTTAAATATGACGAAAAAATGGCTATTCTAATTTCTAGACAAGGTTTTTGGACATTCAAATATAAAAGGAACACCATCTATATGATTAAAAACTGAAAATTAGAAATTTTTTATAAATATTTAAGCTACGGAGGCTTATGAACTTAGAAAGATAGATCAAAGAAGTTATATAACCTTCTGACAAAATGTCATAGGCTTTCGAAAGACGGATGCAACTAAACAGAATAGGTTTAATCATTCGTTTTTAGGTAAAACAAACAGAAGTGTTTAGTGAGTGGCAATTGGAAATTTTAAATGATATAAAAAATAAAAATATGTTAATGGAAAATAACGAAACTGTAATTATTTTACACTTTGAGATGTTTTCAGATATTTTTGTTCTTGTTGTTTAACATGATTGAGAGAAGAACCGTAAAAAAGTTTGGTGAAAATGACTCCACGGGGATCAACTCTGCTTTTTGGAACGTATATTTTGGAGATCAGTGGCGGGTGGCTTACGTATAATTCGAAATTACTATATTGACCCCTAACGTGGATCCCATTGACCTTTAATCATTGAAGGGTTTTTTAGCTATTAAAATTTATTAAGCTCAACATTTAAAATTAATCATTAATAAACTTATAATTTAATCCATCCTGATTACTGATCTGGATTTGTCCCCCCTCTCATTCACATATACAAATTATTATAATCTGAATAAGTATTGATCGCCCACACTCTACAAACACGCGGTTGATAAGAAAATCAATCCGTATATATAATTTTTTGATAAATTATTAGTGCTATAACCCAAATTAAAGCAATAAAATAATAAATGTGAAGGACGAAGGGATGTTAGAAGGAAGTGGTTAGATGTGAGTCATTTTCAGGATTGAAGTAAATGGTGACCATTTCCCGTTGAGGCCATACAAAGCCTCCGTTATTATTCTCATTTTTAATACTATTTGTTATTGATTTATGTATCATAGTGAAGTAGTGAACCGATTTGACGGCTGTTATTTAACGTAATTAAGTTAAATCAATAATTTAAATAGTTAAGAAATTTAGTTTCTCCAACATTCCGTTTAAGCCTACAAAATGTATATCTTGTTCTTGAAAACAAACTCAGCCTACTAGTGTATATTTTATAACACGACGATAATTTTGAAGTTTTATAGTAAAATGTAAATTGTCAACGGCAGTAAAATTTATATGTACAGATTAGGTCAGCCTATTCAGCATTGCGGATTGGAAAAACTTTACATCATGATTAGACAATAAATGTATTTTTTTTTTTTTTGAACATTTAGTACATGTATTTTTAATACTGTTAACTTAGTATCTTCACTGAAATTACACGAAAATGTATTGAAAGGTGTGATATCATCAGGACCATCCTTTTGTTAGCTCCTAACAGCATTGAATATGATTTTTCTACGAAACCATATAATAGCCACTCGATTCTCGCATGGCTTGACCCTTTAACGTTACGATTTTTATCTTATTCAACTTAATAAATAAAAAGAAAGTAAGTTTATCTGTCGTGGGTCTTTTTCGTAGGTGCACTTCGGAGTTGAAAGCGACCATTACAATAACGAGTCTCAAAGGATAATATTGCGAAGGGTGTTTGCTAAATAAAAGTTGAGTTTTGGATTTAGATAAGGTAAAACTGTCATAAAATTCAAGCAAATTGTGCGTAAAAGTAAACACCAATAAAATGGTGTAAAAACCCAAATTCGAGCTATGAAAGAACTAGGGTTTGGAAGGTTTTAAAGAGATCTTTTATTAGAAGAAACCGGAACTTGATTGAATACAATGATGTTTAGGTCGTCGGAATGAAAACGCCGACCTAAAACTCTTAAGGAAAGTTAACCAAAAAGTTAGAACAATCTAATTGCTTAGTTTGCTCTAGGTCTGGATTGATGATTTTCGGATCCCTTGAGAAGTCGAGGACTTTCTATATTTATACCCAATCAGGTCGGTCTTCATCCTGTTCGGAATAGGAAACTCTTGTCGGCAAGGAGTTTCCTTTTTCTCTTGGTCGCTTGATAAATGGAAGTTCATTTTATGTTGCCGACCTGGAAATTGTTAGATGGGCCGACTAGAATTCATATCGGGCTTGTTAGAGACGGTACGAATCTCATCTCTAACAGTAAACCCCCCCCCCCCCCCCCCCCCCAGTTCGACAAGTGAGGGTGCATTGCTTGTCGAATTCAAAGAAATGCTGTTCGATATAAATTCTGGTCGGCTGCAAAATGTTACCTGGATTTCTGATCGGCACGGTGATGAGGGCCAGATTGTGATTTTGGGCGCGAAAAGTTCCCGCCCAAAAACGAGGTAGGTTAGGCCTAGGCCCACGTATGCAGAACTAGAGTTGACACGTGTCAAACCCTAGCAGGAGAAGTCGAAGAGGCCGATTAAACTTTAATAAGAAGAAATGCGGGGAGTCGCCGTGCTCATGATGATTCTTGATAACCGTCCAGATATTTCTATAAATAAGAGG